AAAAAAATAAAATAAAAAAACCAAACTCGAGCAACAACTTGGGGTTATTGAGCTCCCTGCCTCCAATTTTCTGTCTCGCTCAGAGTTTGCTGCAGTTGATATGCGACTACGCATTTGACCTCAATTGCAGGGGCGCGACAGAGATGGAGATAACTGGAGATGACTGTAAAATCTACAGCGTGTTGTTTTCTGTTGCTTTTGGCTTTTCTTTGGTGGCCGGGCAATTAATTAATTAAATTGTAATTTATGTTTGCTGTTCCAGCGACATTTATTTGTTTTCAAAAATTAAAAACAATTATGAGTGAAACCACAAGAGGCAACCAAGAACCAAATCAATGGCACAAGGAAAAACCAGTTGATTCTTAATTATCAGTAAGCAAGACTATAAAGTAGAAGACATACTCGGCAGACAATCTTGAGACGAAGGAGAAGGACAAAGAGATACCGGGAAGAGTTCAAAGCCAACTGACTCTTTTGGTTCATTAATAATGACAGAAGACTTTCTTGGGCAGAACGTCTTTTTTTGAAAATGTATTGAAATATCTATTGATGTAGAGTTTAAGGTAAAAGGTTTTTTTCTATTTCAACTTAAATTTAATTTGTTTAGGTATTTAAATAAATTTTTACTTAAAAACTTTTTTTTTCTATTAAAAACGCACCCTTCTGAAATTTTCCTAGATATGCACACTGCGAGTATGTTTTTTCTGTCTTAAGCTCCTGCTACAAACAACAAAAAACAACAAGGCAAAATTTTGAGACAAAAAACGCACTAAGTGTGGTGGAAACAAAAGGAACTCAAACAAAAACCAGACTTGACCTGAGCAACTTGTTAGGCTCCTTTGCAAGCCACGTCTAATCTGTTTGTCCGCCTTTCCCTCCACTTGAAAAATTCCACGACTCCAGACACCGCGATAGAGACAAAGATGAAAAATTAACGCAAATAGAGCAGTAGGGAGGGAGCTTCAAGAAGGTAGCGAGATAAAAGATAAAAGCGAACTTAAGCCAGCCGAGTTGGTTGAACAGCACTTATCCCTTTTCATTTTCTTCATGGCTCTGCTCTTGAAATTTCGAGTGTTGAAAAGTGAGAAATTGACAAGAATTTGTATGGTTCTGTTTTAAAAGAACTTTTAATCTTAAGCTGCAAATGACAAGAACGCAGTTATAGAGTCAGAAAGCATTAAATAAGAACTATACTATTCAAAATCAGTTATACAATTATAAATGCAATTCTACTTTGTTTAAGCTCAACACAAATGATCTTGTGTTTCGTGACTTTTGTTCTGTTCTCTTTTTTGTCCGAAATTTCAAGGATGTTATTCCTGATTTTGGGTCCTGACGGTCGACAGAATTACCTGATGATTCATTGCCGAAGGCTTAACAAGATCCAACCGCAATCGTATGTGGAAAAATGAAAAGGAAAGAAAAAATGAGACTCCGTTAAAGCTTTGTGTCAGCTGTTTGTTTGTGAAATCCCATCGATTTGTTTGACAGGCTTTTACTTTCACCCACGTGTGTTCCCCTCTAATTTTCTCTTTTCCTTTTGGGACTCGAGCATCTAATTTAATTAGATGAAATTTTCACACTATTGGTTTTTTTTTTTGTTTCCACGCTTTTTGCTGTCGTTGCTCTATTCATGCATTTTATTGTACGATTTCTGTTTTGCACTATACGACAATGACACATACAGACACAGCTTATTTGAAAAGCATAACAATTAGTAATTTAATTATTGTTAGACTTCATTAATTTTAATTACCTTAAGAACATCTCCAGAAATATTAGAAAATTAAGTTATTAAGTCTTTGTACATGATTTGTATAGTTAAAAAAAATTTTTTCGGAAAAAGGGGGCGTAACAAGTGGTTCCAAAAAGCTGTATTAAATTGGTATGGTCTTTATAAAAAGGCATAATAAATCAAAATAAGCTTAGATAACATCGAAAGGAATGAAAAACCTAAAATAGGTTATGCCATTGTATTAAATTGAATTGCCTGCGAACTTAGGAAATCATTCGTTGTAGGCCATCGGGTTGTCTATAATTCTGAGCAATCTGCTCAGAGCCCTTGGCTTTTCTGTGGAGCAAAAAGAGAGAAACACCCCCACGCAGTCTCACTCACTCACTTGTGGAGCAAAGAAGAAAAAATAAAAATCCAGCGATTGACAGTCGACAACAGCCTAATGACGTCACCGGTAAGTAGTGCGTGGTGTGTGAGTGTGCGGGTGTTTGATGGGTCACTTGTGCTTTGCTTCTTTATTTCGGTGCGTTCGCCTTTACATTCACATTATTTTTGCTAAATCCGCAACTTGTCCTTGCTTTTATGTGGCAACACAGCTGCTGCTCACTGGTCACCCAGTCCGTCACCCTCCGTTATCCTCTCGCTTTCGTTTGGTTTTCTTGTATTATTATTGGAGCTACTTTTCGCCACACGCAACTTGGCTTTCTTTTTGCGGTTCTTTTCATTTCCCCATTCGATACAGTACAACTTCCCTAACAAAAACTAACTCAATCATGTAATTAACTTCTTCAAACAAAATGTAATAATATTGCACAAAATTCAAGTTGTAAAAAAATCTAAGAAATACAAACATTTTTTTTAAGTTTGTAAAAAAAAATTTTCTTATCAAGCAACTTTATAATGTCAGTTCTGTCTACTGCAATTCCTCCCCAATGGGTGGCAGGTGGCACCACCGGAGTGGCCTACGTTATGTTGCTTGCTGTTCTCGTTTCTAACTGAAAATTTAGGTTATCCCCGTCGCCTCTTTACCATTCCCTCATCATAACAGCTCGGCTATTAAATAATAAAAAGTAATACAAAAAGTTTGTTTTACGTTACATTCGCTGTCTCCATATAAAATGTGTGGAAATGTGAATACTTAAATGTGTGTGTGTGTGTAAGTTTGTTGGTTGGCTAGCAACAAAATTACGTTAGATTAGTTTGGTTAGTTGCCTTCCGTTTTCTTTTATTATGTACCGCCAGTGGCGTGTTAAATAAATGTTGTAACATGATTTCTGTTTTGCCATTTCTTACTTTTTTTTTGTTAAATAAACATGGAAGAGAAAAGGCTCAATCATCACCAGTTGTTGCTTAACCTACTTTAATTTAAGCGGGTCAGCAAACATTTTTAATTCCCTTTCGCTTGAAGTGTTTAATTTCCTGGGTTAATCCGTGTTTGCAAAATAAGGAGCTTGTAAATGAAAAACGTTTGGGTTTGAAATACAAAGTATACTTTATGTTCGCTAAGCCCTGAACCTTCCAACATCGCTTAAAGTCATAGCTGGACATACTATTAAATGAAATCAACGCCACAAGTGCTTGACATTTTTGTCTAAGTTAATAAATTATTTTTGACCTTTTTAACTGAATGCAAAAGCATCTTAATTACGTGCAATCAAGAATCCTAAGTCCTGGATCAACAAGGGTTCTACAACGACTCCCCAGCTTACCAAACTTTATGGCTTTAATTCCCGGAGGTCAAGTAATGAATCCCCGATAAACTGTGCCCAAAAGTCGGCTGTCTCGTACGAATCGTGATGAGCGACGAGCAAACAAGTGCTTTGTATGAGTAAACATGTGGCTGGAAGACCCGAAAATGCAGACAGCAAACATTGGGAAGACCCAATGGCAAACAAATGTGCGTATAAAGAACTATAAAACACAAACATACAGAGTCACGGACACAGAAAGACTTGGGACCGGCAAGAACCTAGAAATGCCAATAAGCGAGCACGAGGTAAATTCATCAGCAACGACTCAACTTTGGACCCACATCCAAGGCGAAAAAGGTGCCTTCCGTCGGCCTGACACAAGGAGGCCGATCAACTAAAATGCCTATAAAATATTTATAATGTGCGTGAGTTGTGTGCACTTCGTTTCCCGCTTCCTTAAACAAAGACCGAAGGCATACACTGTGCACCCACATATGTGGGCATTATGTATTGGATTGGAAACCCATTTCATTCACCCCCTTCTCTTCGCTCTTCTTCTTATTTTGGCTGGCGTGCCAGAAGCGAGAAGAAGCAGACGCCATAAACCAAAAGCAGCAAAAACACTTGCGAAAATAAAATAAAATCAAACACACAAGTTTAAATAGAAAAATCTCTTTGCTAAAAATAAATTCTTTTGGCAGAAAGGCAACAGCAACAACACAAAACTCAACGGATAGTTGAACTTTTAGCAATGCACAGTATTCACTAGGAAATTGAATCACTGCTAGTCCCTAAAATGTGCTTCAGTACTTCAGATCAGTAAGATCACAACTCTGTATAATAAGCTTATTTATGGACCATAAGTTAATAGATATATCTTATATAAATTATATAATGTTGAAGATGAACTCGGGAGTATTGGTTGTCTCAAATAAGAAAACTACCTATTTCTAAGGAACTTCAAACATACATTCTTTTTCATATTTATAATCTTATCGCTATCAAAATATCCATCCGTTTGATAGCGGTCGACCAGAGCAAGCATATGGGAAATTTATGGGAACAACCGACACTTTCGTCGCTTAAGAGTGTTGATTTCCTAGCTCTTATCAATGCAAAAGTGTAAAAATAGTCACAAGCTCATGGTTTCTACGCACAATTTCAGTGTTGATTGGGGTCGGGAAGTCGAGTTTGAACTACGAGTTGGTATGGTGCGTACCAAGGCCTCAGATTCCTAAGCACAGCGTAAAACCAGCGAGCATATTTTGTTTGGCTTGGTTTTCTGTTAAGAATTAAGTGCTAAAAATTGGATTTTGTTGTGGTAGGCAGGCACCAATCCAATAACTATTAAAAGGGTTACCACCACTTGCAAAAAAATTTTAATTTTTGCAATAAAACAGTACGTTAAGTTCTTAAGTTAAAAAATTGGATGAGAACTGATTCTTTGTAAATAATGCTTACATTTAAGATAATTTTTCGGCTCAAAAATTCTTTAAGTTTCAGGATACAAGTGGTAGGTAAACTCTTAAAGAAATCGGACGGCATTGGAGTCTATTAATATAGTCATAACTCACCTTGTTTGCCGTTCACGTCGCTGCATTTTGCCTAGCTAATCTCGCTTGAATTTTGACTCAAGATCTTGATCGCCTTTCCGTTAATTTTGATAATGAATTTTTATCGGCTGCCGCTGCTGCGTTTGATGTACTTGTTGTTGTTCTTCTTGTTGTTGTTCTTGCTGTTTGGCGATTGGTTTGATCCGAAATGCAAGATTTGTTTGCTGCACAAACTGGAGGATCAGCAGGATCTATGGGATGCGTGCGAATTGAGCGAATTATCCTCACCGCGCACTCACACGCACACTCGCGCACTCACTCACACTCACTTAGCGTCCGCGCATGTCGCGCATGCGGCCAACACACACGATCACAGAAGATGCTCTCTCCCACTCGTTTAAGGCTAAACGACAGGTGTGTGTAATGAGGCCGTCTCGCTCTCTGTTCGCTAGCTCACAGTTATTCCTGTTGTTCCTTTTCCTGTTCTTGTTGCTGTTGAGTCGTCGATGTTGTTTGACATTAAGTATTAAATTTGAGCAGCATCTCCTTGAAATTCAAGGCTTTATTTTGTTTTTAATTTTTTTTGCAGGTTTTTGTTGGGTGTGTGTGCTGTGAAGTTGTGTGTAGAGATGTCAGAAGGCGGGCTATTTGTCGTAGAATTGGTATATTACTTTTGCTAATCCGTTTGCCGCTGAACAATTGATCGAGTTTCGGCTTTAACTTTTGGTTCAGTTCTATATTATTCCGGTGCAACTTAGCCAGGTGTGTGTTGTTAAGGGGAATTGTGGAAAACAGTTTCGTGCTACGCTGAATAACTAGGTAAACAAATAATTTTGGCTAAACAATTTGACAAACACACTTTTGCACATTTTATCCAACAATTTGTGTGACAACAAATCCGAAACTCAAAATCGAATTTATTCAATTTGTTGCTATGTTTTTCCCAGTCTCGGCTGACATTTTAGTCAAAAGTGCTTCCTGCTGCTTTAAGGGTGTAGTTAAATTCCAGTTATGGACAATTTAACCGGTCAGTTGCACGCTTATACACTTATACCACATGTGTCAATCGCCTTAAAATCATAGCAATCTGTAGAAAAAAAAGAAAAACTCTTTTTAAACATGCTGAGTAAATGAAAAGCAGAGCGCTGCGGATTTCAACAAAATGCTTGGTTCGAAATCCGCTGCTGCTCCTTGAATTGTTATGGTTATTTAGAACCTACATCAACTATACATATCTTGCAATTGTTGTACTTAATCTGTCATCACCGTATTAAATTTTTTTCTGTTGGGAATATAAAAGAAATTCAATAGACTACAGACTGTAAATGAAGTGCGGTATTTTCTTGGTATATAAGACCTGCTCCCGCCGAGATTGGTCACACTAAGAGCTGAGAGCGCTAACTAAGTTTGCTATTTCTCATTGATTTTCATTAATTTCTGGACTGTTATTATTATTGATATAAGACTTTAAACTTTTTTTCCATCAAGGTCTACAACAGAAAGTTATAATTGACCCAAAAGTAATTGATGAAAATCTTAAAACATCACAAAATTAGGCCAATTAGCTGTCTGCCTCCGCACCAAGTGAAATGTTGGAAAATATCTTGGGGCACAAGGTCGAAGTAAATATTTCCGTACGTGATTTCGTTTATTTTTATAATTTTTCACGTTTTGTTATTCGATGCAAAAAGAGCCAAAGCGGCGATGGCCGAAAAGAGAGTGAGTGAGACAGAGCGAAAGTGGGGGAAAGAGGGTGTAACTACTCGACTTTTGGCCATATTTTTTTCAATGGGCCGCCTTTCTGCCAACGCATCATTTTGTTTGGTTTGCTTTAATTTGTACGCAATTGAATAACTTGTGGGCTTAATTAATTAGCAATATCTTTTCTGCCGATTTACCTTTTATACAGTTTTGCACGCATTTTCACTACGCCTCATTTTTTCACCCATACACTCACATACGCACGCACGCACAGACACAGTTACACACGTTCGGACCGAATTAAAATTTGCAACTCGATTTTGCAGCTGAGCTTCCGTCGCTTTCTCGATAACTACTTAATTCACTACTTTTTACATATTTAGCTGGGCTTCTGTTTATTATACTTCCACCGAAACTTTCCTCGAAAGGCCAAAAAACGCACGCAAGAGAGCACGAGAAAAATGGTGCGATTTTTTCCCTTGCCTGCACACACACACACACTCGAACATGAAGAATCCGAGTATGACCAATTTGGCGAAGGAAGAAAATACTTCAGGAGCATTAGATACTGACTACTGGCTATATCAATCTTATTTAATAATATTAGCTGTCCCTCTATGATTTTGTTTGATTTGCTTACAAGGTTATAAAAACTAACAGTCTTTAATAAACGTGACTGGTAATAAAAATTATGAAGTAAAAAATACCGACTTAAATACCGCGGATTTGCGTAGCCAATTAGCCGGCAACATTGTTTATCTACACTTTAAAACTGACTAAACTTTAATGGTTAACTTTTTTCTGAATTAATCACTGTTAATATATTTTAATATTAAGGCAAACCCATTGCAAAGACTTTTGATAATTGCGAAAAGAAGAAACAAAATATCCATAGCGAGTTTGCACAAACACCTACACTTGCCACAGCTGAAATCACTTTCAAAGTTAGCCGTCTATGTAATATACAAAAGTTGTATACATTTTTAATAAGATTGTAAACTTTTTTTTAAGATTTTATTCCTTATTACGTTTGATGCTCAAAGTTTGTTTTTGCTACTAGTTTGGGTCTAAAAAATACAACTGCCTTAGTTTGGGGTGACCATATTCAAAGAGCCGATATACCGAACACCAATATACCGCAATTGCAACACGTGCGAGTTTCGCTCTCTCTCCAGATAATAAATAAATTATATTTTACAAAGGATCTGCAAACTAAAGCACCATGTTAAAGGCTAAAAGGAAACCTGGCCCGTTGGTAAGTATGCCCGGATTGGTAACTATAATGTGTGTGGTCTAACATTTTACCTATTTAGGCGCGAGCACCGAAAAAATCATCAAAGAAAGCCGCCCGACTGGATTCCCAAGAAGATTCAGCTGCTGAGGAACACAGTGATTTGGAACAGTCCAGTCCAAGCACCGATGATGGCTTCGATGAACCGAAGTCCACTTCAGCCAAGAATACTTCAATAGTTCACAAGGCAAAGACGAACAAGTTTAAGCAGAGGGATGAGTCCAAAAACGTGAAGCCACCCACTCTAGAAGAGATGAAGGAACTGCGCGACACCCAGAACCTATTTCACTCCAATCTCTTCAAGCTGCAGGTCAAAGAGATGCTAGAGGAACTGCAGCTTAAACCCAAGTACACAGAGTTCATAGAAAGTTGGCTGGAGTCATTTACGGTTTTTACCCGGCAACTTAAGGATGGTTTATTGGATCGGACCCACTTGGAGGTGCCTCTAAACTTGCCTCAGGCGCCAACCAGCTTCGTTTTCTCGAAACCCACTAGGGAACCCTATTTAATTGGAGCGGCCGCAATGGGAACCTTGCTAGGTCCTAAAATCGTGATGGACGTGGCACTGGAGATGCCCAAGGAATCCCTGCACAAAGACGATTATGTAAACCTTCGCTATGACCAGAAGCGAGCTCTGTATCTAACTTATGTGGCTGAGAGAATGATGGAGTCCCCAACCTACTCGCAGGATAAGTTCACCTTTAATTACTATGCGAACAATCCGCTCAAACCGATTTTGGAGCTAACTCCAGTAGCCAAGCAAGTGACAAAGCATCTTCAGGTCCGCCTGTTCATCACTGCTCCGCTGAGCAGCTTCAAGCCAGGAAGATTCGTGCCCTGGAACAACAATATTCGACCCGCCTTCTACGGGGACGAGTGGGATGAGGAGGAGCCGCTACCTCCCACCCAACACTACAACGCCAACGTGTTGTTTGATTTGACTTTAAGCGAAAACCAGGCGCATATAGAACAAATCTTTAAAGGCAGGCGAAACTTCCAAGATGGTTTACTTCTTCTTAAAGTCTGGCTGCGTCAGCGGGAATTGGACATCGGTTTCACTGGTTTCAGCTCCCATATTCTTGCCGCCTTTATTGTGTACCTAAACTCGCAACGCATCCTGCACCAGTCGAGCAGCAGTTACCAGGTGGCTCGAACCGTTTGGAACCAACTGGCCAACTCTGACTGGACAAAAGGCATTACGTTGGCTCCTGCTTTAATCCAAAAGAAAGAAGAATTAACCAAATTCTCAGAACACTACGATGTCTGCTTCATGGACGTTACTGGTCAGCTTAACCTGTGCGCGAATGTTCCACTTTCCATTTATCAAAGAATTCGAGAAGAGTCTAAACTAGCAGTGGATTTACTTAATGACATGAAGCTAAACAGTTTTCCGCTTATATTTATGCAAAAGTGTCCATTGTACAGCCGCGTGGATAACATCTTGAAGTAGGTGGTGCTAGCGTTTTAAAATTCTCCTTCCAAGATTAACATTCCATTTTTAACTTATCTAGGATCACCAACTATTCGTGTATTAATCAGATGCTTTTGCTGCATTCCCAGCCTCGATTAAAATACGACTATGCGAGATATGGTTATCCCCAACTTCTGCACATTTTGACAGAGTAAGTAAATGAAGGAACTCATTAAGGTAACTGAACAAATAAAATCTGAACTCTTAGGCTCCTTAAAAAGGGACTTGGTGAGCGTGTCCACTCCATTATTCCTTTGGAAAGAGCAACGACCGCGTGGCCTGTAGAACACAAAGCTCCAGTTATTGGAAAGCATATCCAACTGGGGCTGATACTCCATCCAGAGCACGCCTACGAGGTGTTGAACAAAGGACCCGCTGCCAACGAAGATCCCGAAGGGGCTGCTGAGTTCCGACGGTTCTGGGGAGAAAAGTCGAACCTTCGGCGGTTTCAGGATGGCAGCATCACCGAGGCTGTGGTTTGGGGCACTGCACAGGACTCGCCAGCCAAGAAACGACTAATTGTTCGCCAGATTGTGCTGCATTTGCTCGAGCATCATCTACAACTCGATAGCAAGGATGTGCAATATATCGCCGCCGAACTGGATCAAGTTTACAAGCTGTCTCCTTGGTTCAAGGTGAAGAAACTGAAAACCAAACTGCCTCTGGATCAGGACACAGATGCGGAGGCAGTTAGTCCGCACGTTATTCGCTGCTACGATGAATTGGCACAGCAATTGCACGGCTTAAATGAACTGCCCCTGGAGATTGTTTCGATATCGGGCACCTCACCCGTCTTTCGCTACTGCGAACCCGAGCCAGTTCTTCCACAAGCACGAATAGTAGAAAACCACATCCTGGCCAGCCAAGTGCAGCGGATCATCATCCAGCTGGGTCAAAGCGGAAAGTGGCCAAACGAACTGGCTGCCTTGCGTGCTCTTAAAACAGCTTTCCTCATTGAGATTGGCGAGAAGCTGGAAGCGCAGTGCCACCTGCAATGGAGGATGACCGCCGAGGGTCTTTTGGTTGTCAAGCATGGCTACTGTTTCCTTATAGAGCTGGCCCACAACAAGGAACTGGCGCTGCTCAAGCAGGAGGTCACTGAGCGCGGCATAACCACGTACGTGGACAATCCCGCCAGTCGTTTGCTAGAGCGCCAGCATTACATCCTGCCCAAAGTAAGCGGCGCTCTGCACTCGCTTCATCAGACGCACTCCGCCTTCGGTCCCACTGTGCTGCTGGCCAAGCGATGGCTGGCCACCCAACTGCTGGACGATGGTCTGTGGCCTGACATGGTCACCGAGCTCCTGGTGGCGCATCTCTACCAGCAGCGGTGTGCGCCACAGCCGATAGCGGCTCCCCAAACTGGATTCATTCGCTTCCTGCAGCTGCTCGCGCACAGCGATTTTAATGGCGAGCTTTTCCTGCTTAACTTCAACAATAGCTGGCAGGGTAAGTCTCTGATATTTATCCTACCGAAATCCTATATTAATATTACAAATATTTCAATCAGAGCAACAAATTGCTGATCTGGAGCACAGCTACCGCGGTGAACGGCAGAGCTATCCTCCTTTGGCGGTGGCCACATCCTACGATATGCAGCACGCTGGACGCCTGTGGACCTCAGATCAATCCCCTAGCCAAAGGGTTTTGGGGCACGTGACCCGGCTAGCTAAGCATGCCCTCGAAATCATCGAAACTAGTCTTATGTCCCAGGATCTGAGGTTTGTGCGTCCAGCGCAATTATTCCGAGCTTCCAACGAGGGTTACGATTTGGTCATACAAATTAAGCCGGATCTGGTGCCAAACTCATTGAGCTACGATCTTGGATCCCCATTCGTCTCCTTTGGCCAACCCAATTTCAACTTGCCTCGGGCAGGATTAAATTATCTGGCAAGGATTGTGACACAACTGAGGGTAAGAAATTATAAAACCTGTGTGTATTCGATTTTACATATTTTTTTCTGCCGTTTAGTCAGCATATTCAGACTTCGCTGCCTTTTTCTACAACCCTCACGGCGGCAAAGAATTGGCTATTGTCTGGCGGCCACCCACTGAATTCGCACCAAAGCCCTTCAAGGTTACCGAGCTGCAAGCTTGCAGTCCTTGTGAAAACGGGAAAGTACAAGTTGTTAAAGAGACTCTGATAGAGGACTTTAAACTGCTGCTTAAAGACTTTTACCTACGCATTGCCACGCCAGAGGAACTTCGTCGGGAACAGCGAGAGCATCAGCAACCTAAGAGGTACTTCAATGCAAAGGAGACAAAGGAGGAGTCCGGTCCGAAACCCAAAAAGCAGAAGACACTAAAGGACGCTGAACAGAAGGCACCGCCCAAAAAGAAGGTTCTGGTCAAAAGCAAGTCCCTAAAAGCCTTAAAATAGTGATAGCCATAGCTTATGGACTATAAGTGTAAGTTATTACAAATAGATAATTTTTAAACAAAGTTAAGGATTGTGAAATAAATTTTTTTAATGCTCTCATCCTATTTAAACGTTGTATTATTGATTTTAACATATTTATTAGCACAAGCCGCTCTATGTAACAACTGGCTTTAGGAAAGTTATAAAAATACTACATGTTAGTTCAAAAAATGCATATATGAAAGGCGAAAGTATGAATCTGGTGAAAAGTGACATCACTGTTGCTTCCAGGTGACCCTAGTCTTCTTTTTCCTGTTTTCTAACTCCAGTTCTTGGCAGTTATCATTGCGCTCGATGGGCTCTTCCACGTCGAAAGGTTGTTCTATCTTTGGCTTGTAGACTGGAGCTCTGTTGAGGGTGCGTTGATAGGAATATTTACTCAGTGGAATCGTTCTCCTCTCCTGATTTAATAGCTCGTTCATTTGCTGAGTACAAGTTTTCGTCTCAAAGCACTCACAATTTCTATCTGGGCAGACATCAATGTGGATTCGTCGCCTTGTACAAGATTGATCTAGTGGAGACTCCGGTGTCATAACTTGAGGCCGGTTCTGCATCATTAAATCCTGTTCGGTACAGGTCTGTTGCGATTTGCAATGCCGACATGGATGATTTGTCTCCTCCTCCGAACTACAATCACATTCATTCGATGTATATGTTTCAGTGGAGGCAACTTCCACCAGGTGGCTATTTGAAGTATTGCAACCCGTGGAATTTGTGTTGGGCTGAGTCTGGCAAGCCATGTCCTGTGGTTTCTTCTTCACTGTCGGAGTTTCTTGGCTGGAAATGTTTTGAGTTTGGCAAGCAGCGTTCTGTGGCGTCTCTTGATCTTTTATGTGAAGTTTACTGAAGCTATACTGGGTTTGGCAGCTTGAATTACATTTAACGCATTTGGGACAATGCTGGCAGCCGGTGCTCTTCATCAGGTCGCACGTTGAGGTGCAAAGGCTGCACCGGAGTGGAAATGTGTGTTCCGATTCAGCAGCCTTGATCTTGGACCAACCAAGTTGAGTTGCCATGCTGGCAACTGTCTTTTCCGTAATGGGAAGTTCTTTGGTGGGATGTTCCTGCTGAAAAGGAAAAGGTGTGGCTTGGTTGTTTAGATCGTTCAGAGAGCAAATATTCGTGGTGATTGGCTGTGGTTGGAAGAAAGTCACAGCAGCTTGTGGAGCCAAGTCAACGGGACAAAACAGTCCGTTGGGACCTATACGACTGTAGCTTAGCATCCGAATATCCTCCACTCGCCGAACATCCTGTTGGGTAAGTATAAACATCTCATTTCCCACCTTAAAGGGAACTTGATAAGAAAAAGACGAAAGTAAATAAGAAATTTGTTCAGGAAGAGTTAAATACTCACTGTGGACTGCTGGTGCCGCCTCCTCGGTCACTTGAATCACCTTATTTACAGTGGAGTTATTAGTCATTTTCGTGGCTTTACAAATAATTTAGAAAAAGTTTTGAAGAAAATTACAAACCAAATTTTTACAATACACAAGAGAAAAAGATGAGTTGATAGGCTAAGTGATTTAAATTGTAATATAGCTGGGACAAAATATATTATATCGAAGGAACACAACAAGAAAATTATTAAAACTTTTAGGATTTCATGAATTTATTTTATCTTTAAAAGCTTTTAATAGTATACATCTGTGCGGTAGGCCAAAAACTCTCGATCGTTGGTAGATAATGGCTTAAGTTAAACATACATTTTGAATCTTAAATTAATACATTTTGAGGCAGTATACATTAAGTAATAATAACATCATTTGTTTTCCACAATGATTTTCGAGCCCTAAATAAGCGATTTAATCAAGGAAAAAAACTTTTTCAAAGAATTCTAGAAAAAAACTGAATTGCCACACTCAAAACGAATTAATTAAGCTAAAAATAAAGTCATATTTAAGGAAACAAATTACAAAAATGTTCTTTCTATATTTATAATTGTACTCCTAGCTGAGAAGCGGGTCTCCTCAAATCCTTTTTAACTGCGTATGGACTCTTCTTTGACATTGGGTGTAATGCTGGCTCCCGTCGCTAGGGAATCCTTCTCCTTGTTGCCAAAGTTTGGATACAACATCGCCACTTGCCCCAGCGGCGTGCAGAGACGACCCGAGAAATCCAAGCGTTTGTTGGACTGACTTCGCTCCGCTGAGGAGATGATATCGAGCAGGGATCTGGATAGCAAATTACATTAGTACTTGCATAAATATGTAACATTGAATAAACCACCTTTGGCCGCAACTAGACATGCGGCGCTTGCTAGCCTTTAGAAGGCTATTGGAGTTGTTGCTGCCACTGGCACTTCCGCTGTTCATGGGATCCAGGCGCTCAGGAGAGAGTGGGGATTCCGTGTAGGAGCGTAGAAGGCTGGAACCCGGTTCTGACTTAAGTGGAGCATCGCCGTATGCGGCTCGCAAGCTTTGCAGGCTTTCCAGTAGATTCTTGTGGTGCCCTGTGGTGGCATTAAGCTGGATAAGCTGTTCCAATTCCCTGTAAAGCAAGCGATACTGGTCCTTTGCTTTGGAGTGCTTTAACCTAAGCAAAAAATTAACAATTAACAACTCACGAAGATGTTGATTCCTTTAAAACCTCGATTTTTGCTTACCTAGCTCCATTGGTGTGCGTGAAGGGCAGAACATCGCCCCGCGAAGGCGCTCTTGTAGAGCTCGTGGATGTGCTGCTGGCAACGGACTTCCTCCTGCTTGTCCATGTCCTCCTTGACCAGTAAATGAAGGAAGTGCGGCAACCAACTGATCTGTCGTTGCAGGTGAAACAGGATCGAAGAGCTGGTGGTCAGGGGAAAATATCGCGGGAGACGACGCGCCAAATTGGGAGCACTCGGATCCTTCACCTTCAGCGGAACCATGCGCGACATTTTGATTAGCTGGCCCAGTTCAGCAGTGCGGTAATCCGAGACGCGACCTCCGGGTCCATCGGCAATCGCCGGAGCCTCATCCATGCAAGAGCGCGTAATGCACAGCGAATGGACAAAGATCTCGCCGCCGCGGGCGGACAACATGTGGCTGGTGGCCTTGGAGCCGGTCTTACGTGGCATCTCTAGCAGCACAGAGCGTCCGTTCAGCAGGAAGTTAATTAAACAGGAGCTGGGCCGCGAAGTAACGTCCACGGGTGTGACCAGGAACTGACCCAGGCAGGGCTGCAGATCCGCTGAACCACAGCCGCGTGGTGTGCACCACTTGAGGGTCACAGTTTCGTAGGTTGCTCCCTGCTTTATGCTCGTGGGCAGACTAAAGTCCGGCCCGCAAGTAATGGAATGGGCTCGCCGGCTATGGAGTATCTCCACGTCGTAATTTGCACTAGAGTTGGCATTTTGCTCCTCCTTCATGGGTATGTTGGTTACCGTGGTGCTGGCCAGATCGTAATGGTTCAAGATGAGGTGCGTCAACTTGTACGAGATGTCTGGTGCGCTAACCGTGTGGATTTCGACATCAAGCAGCGGTGATATATTCAGCAGACTGCGGTTGGTGACCAGTGACTCGACGCCCAGGGGCACAATGTTTAAGATGACCAAGTGACAGTGATCGATGGCCAGGCCTTTCTTGGCGGGCGGAGCTGCCAGCGCATTTTGCTGAACCAGCACCGTATTGAATATGTCCTCCAGGCTCTTCATGCTGGTGTTGTCCCTCGCCGAGGTGATGCAGATGACGCGACCCTTGTTGGGAATCCGTGGCAGTTCGTCGGGACCAAGTTCGGCCATTGCAGCCAGTTGCTCGTCCGTGGGTTCAGCCAAAGCCTCGATGGCAGCTCGCAGTCCATGGATTACCGAATAGTCCGAGTTTTGGGGCATATTGCGCGACGGCACGCCCACCATCACCATGGCGTTCATTACGTGCGACATGTTCTGCGTGCTGGGACTCCAGGTATTTACAATATGAGCCGCCGTGTCTGAGACAATAAAGCGAACGTGTTTCTTGCCTGGGAAGAGATCCCAGACCACACGGCAGTACTCGATAGAAGACTCGCAGGCACAAGTCCACAGGCTTTTGCTGAACTGGGTTCCACCGCCACCACCGGCTCCACCAGCTCCCGCTGCTCCCGGTCCACCGCCATCCGATGAGGGCTTTCCCTTTAAGAAGTCCATCGAAATGTACTCCTCGCTGGCGATGCTGAAGTAGCGCGTGTGATCCAGCACGAAGATGGTCTTCTGATTGCGTTCGAACATGATGGAATCGCCTGGTAAGCTAAAACACAGGGCAAAATCAAACAAATGCAAGAAACCAAATTGTTTACAATCCTAGTTCACCACGAACAGCTGATGATGTGGTGAGTCTTAGCCGGCATAACTTTCTGGCAACGCCGAAAAAAAAATGTGAACGAGAGAATAAACCGAGTTTCCGTCTTTATTGGGCTGTTTTTTTCTAGGATCGTTAAAAAGAATAGAATGGTTAACATCTTTATTTTTAAAAAAATCATTTAAAAAAAATTGTTGTTGTTGTAAATGTTTTTTTTAGCTTTGCCTTACTATTCTTCTTCTGTAGAAGAATGTAACATTGTAACATTAACAATTGTAAATATTTTAACAATGTTAAAAATGTTATAAAAACGATCAACGTTGATCAAATATTATATATACTTCTGTTCTACCGACTTAAAATAAAAATTAAAGCTTTTCCTATTGTCACTTGAAGTTCAGCCGTTACCGTTTACCCCAATCTGGCCACACTCTTTAAGAATCACGTTGTTGGATTGTTAAGCAAAAGCCCTCAAAATTTCGTAATATTTTCTAGATTATTTTTTTGCCTACTAAACTCTGAGTTAAAATCGCGTGCAGCGCACCTTAAACTAGCAGCACAATGTCGTGGCTTTTGGGCAGAAACCGTCAGCAGCCCCAGCCGGATCCGTCGGCTAGTTATCCGGACGGAGGTGGTGGCGCCGATCCGGAGGGCAGAACGGCGGGCGAGAAGTCCGGGGATGCGCAATTGAGCCGGGCGGAACGCAAGGCGATGGAGGCGTACCGCTTCGACTCGTCAGCACTGGAACGGGCTGCGGATGCGGCTAAAACTCTGGAGCGTTCAAGTAAGCGGAAAATTTCATCAGCCAGTTGCATAACCACCGACATGCGCTATGCTATCGCAGCGTGCGTGTGAGACTGGGAGTTAGAGTTCACCTCCATGACCCATCATCCATGTCCCATGTTAATCTCGTGCAGAACACGCTCGGGAAGCCCTGGAGCTGTCCAAGATGCAGGAGGCCACCCGGCAGACGGAGTACAACACCAAGGTCAAGGAGTACGAGGCGCACATTGAGCAGGCCAAGGTCGAACAGAAGCGAATCGATCACGAGGAGCGCCGGAAGACGCTCATTGAGGAGACCAAGCAGCAGCAGCAGCGTGCTCAGTACCAGGATCAATTGTCCCGCAAGCGGTATGAAGATCAACTGGTGCAGCAGCAGCGCGTCCAGGAGGAAAACCTGCGCAAGCAGGAGGAGAGTGTCCAGCGTCAGGAGGCCATGCGCCGCCAGACCATTGAGCATGAGATCGAGATGAAGGAGAAGAACCGGCTAAAGCTCCTGGAGCACGAGCTGCGGGCAAAGGCTCGCGTGGATCGTGAGAACAGGGACATCAACCTAGAGAAGATCCGTCTCAAGGCCCAGGAGCACCGAACAACTGTTTTGGAAGGCATAAAGTGGGTGATTGTTAGTTTTTTAACTAGATAACATAACTGATATCCCATTTCTTATTCACAGAACCGCGGGCACGGTTATTGGCGCCGGTGCTGAGGCCATGCTCACCGATTGGGACAAGGTGCTGACTGCTGCCGGAGGACTTTCTCTGCTGGCTCTGGGTGTGTACACGGCGAAAGGCGCTACTGGTGTGGTTTCCCGATACGTGGAGGCGCGTATTGGCAAGCCAACGCTGGTGGGCGAAACATCGCGCTTCGCTTTTCTGGATGCCCTGAAGAATCCGCTAAATTACCTGAAGAGACTGCGTGCCAAGCCCACCGATGCTCTGCAGGGCGTTGTGCTGAATCCGAAGTTGGAGGAGCGACTGCGCGACATCGCCATCGCAACGAAGAACACGCGTATCAATCGGGGTATGTACAGGAACGTTCTGATGCACGGCCCACCCGGAACGGGCAAGACCATGTTCGCCAAGAAGCTAGCAGAGCATTCGGGCATGGACTTTGCCATCATGACCGGTGGCGATGTGGCGCCAATGGGCAAGGAGGGCGTGACGGCCATCCACAAGGTGTTCGACTGGTCGCATACCTCGCGTCGCGGTCTGCTGCTGTTTGTGGACGAAGCTGACGCCTTCTTGCGCAAGCGATCCTCGGAAAAGATCTCGGAGGATCTGCGTGCCGCCCTGAACGCCTTTTTGTACCGCACCTCCGAGCAGAACCCCAAGTTCATGCTTGTCCTGGCGTCCAACACCCCCGAGCAGTTCGATTACGCCATTAACGATCGTCTGGACGAAATGGTGGAGTTCACGCTGCCTGGACTAGAGGAACGCGAGCGCCTCTTGCGCCTGTACTTCGATAAATATGTGTTGCAGCCAGCTGCTGCTGGTGCAAAGTAAGTATTATAAATTGTGTAACAATATGTTTTTATATGAATATTTATATTACGTCCAATTGCTTTTTAGGCGTTTCAAGTTGGACACCTTTGACTACGGACAGACGTGTTCGAAGATGGCCGCTCTGTGCGAGGGCATGTCGGGCCGAGAAATCTCCAAGCTGGGCGTGTCCTGGCAGGCGGCAGTGTATGCTTCCGAGGATGGTCTGCTCACTGAGAAGATGGTGCTGGACAGGTGCTACTCGGCTGCTCAGCAACACAAACAGAAGGTAGGTGTTTATGAAATAGGATGATACGTATAAACGTTAACGTCGTGTGTCTTGTAGATGGCCTGGCTTTCGGATCACGAGCGTGCTGACCACAAATCCATTTCGGGCTCTGCATTACCGCCCCTTAACCTTACTGCCAACAAACTGTGAGGATCGTAATAGGACTTGATTTCGAAGTAGATGCAAACTGCATTCAAAACTTGTTTAGTTTTCTAATGGTTTAACTTTAAGTTGGTAACGCACAGGGCTTTATCTTACTACCGGATACCAAACAGCAGCCGAGACACCAAAAATAAGTGCATATCCGTTACGTGTATGCATTTAAAAGCCTGTACAAAATCGCTGGCGGAAGCACGTGTTTGTCTATAGATGCAATTGAGTTTTACCCACTGATAATTGTATTATAAGCTTACATTAACTGTCTCACTAGTGTATACAATAAGAGGTATATATTTTAACTGCTGTTGTTGCATTTCGTATGTTAAAGCTTTGGACGTAGACTGTAAATTGGAACCGGTAGCGCCAGCACTGTGAGAGATTTATATTAAACTTCTCGCTGGCGCGGCCAGCAATTTGACTAGTCCGCAGTGTTTTCCTATAAATGAATATGAAAAAATATATATAATTTACTTGTTAGAACTGTGGTTTTATTTTTTTAAAATCTCCAAAGAAGTAGGGACTTCTTTGAATGCACATAAAGAAAAAGAAAAATATCGAAAAATATTTACCACCGTAAAGAAACTATAATGCAAACTTTTAGGTATAATAACGACAAAAAAACAAACAGTAGGTATTTTTATGTGTTAATACTAAATAAAATCTTGTTCGTAATTCAGGAAAACAAGATTTACTATGTATTACCATTTATATATTCACTAATTAATTGTGAATGAATACTATTTTGCTACTTGTTGTTTTTTGAAAATAACAGTATTCGTTGGATACACCCTAAAAAATACCTGGCACTTGAGAGCCACACGTCGTCGACGTTTCGTTGCGAATGACAAAACGGGTCGAGCGAGAAAATGGCGTAGAAGTCGAGGAAAATTCGTTTCGTTCATGGAAAAACTGAAGAAATACGGAAAACATAGTAAAAATTAAAAATAGGTTAACTATCCTGTGAGCAGAGATGTTTCCTGGTGGTAATGGCAACGCCGATTTGGGCTACAACAAGCACGCCCACGTTCATGGACACGGACATGGTCACGGACACAATCAGTTCTTGGCGCAACCCCCGCCGCCGCCCACACACTTTTCTTTGCCACCCGGGGAGGTCAGGGCTTGGTCACGCCGATGGTGGCCACAGGAATCCCACTCACCATGCCAGGTGGACCTGGTATCGATTGGGCACAGCTTGCCCAGCAATGGATTCACATGCGAGACGCTGCTCCGGTCGCAATGCCTGTGGCCCCCCCGCCGCCTATTATAGGAAATGTGCGAGAGTTCCACAACCAGGCGCTAGCGATGCCGCTGCCCAGTGTGATCAGAGCGGGTCATCCTCAGCTGCAGGAGCACGGGGAGGCGGATATGGATATGGACGACGAGAATGAGCGAGGTCATGGAGCTGAATCGCCTCCACCGCCGGCTCCAGTTGTTACACAATCCCAATGGATGGCGGCCAGCGAGGCGCCGGCCCCGGTCGTTGACAGCATCGGCGGAGCGGGTGAGTGGAAATGCCTTAAAGATAGCCATCTAAACAGGTCAGGAAATCACCCCCATGATATCAATCTTTTGCAGCTGTTACGCTGGGCAAGCAGCCATGGAACAACTGGCAGCAAGGCAAATCGGCGGGCAATCCAACGGCGCATATACCTTCGCTGCTCAAGCTAAACGTCAGCAATCCCAATGAGCCGCAGCAACAGCTGCAGTTGCAGATGCAGGCGCAGCAGCATCAACAGCCAGCGCATCCACACCATCCACAAGCACCGCAGCCACATCCACATCACTTACCACCACATACACAGCATCAACAGCAGCAGCAGGCGCAGCAGGAAAGCGGAAGTGGCAGTGCAAGCAGTGAAATTGATGCCAATAAACGCAAAATGTTGCCAGCTTGGATAAGGTGGGTGCCCCCATGTGTTGACTGTTACTTTCTGCCATTTAAAAATTATCTCCACATAAACAAAATTGAAGTTTTTAAATCACAAACTAAACTCTTTATTTCTGATGCTTTTATGTTAAATTCATGTTTAAAAGAGTTACAAAAGTTACAACATTTGATTTGATAAATTTTATTTTTTTTTTTTTTTATATTTCTATTGGAATTTATAATTTTAAATTTAATTGGTTTGCAAAATTTACAAAAGCATTTGTGATATATTGATTGTTTGAACTGATTAGTTTTAATAAAAATTAAATTCCAAATTTGTGTATGGTTCATTCATTTTTAATTCATAGGTCAATGATTAATATATTTAATATGAAAATGTTATTATTTTTTAGGGAGGGCCTCGAGAAAATGGAGCGCGAAAAGCTGCGGCAGCTAGAGCGCCAGCAGCCCTCCAATGCGGCGACAGATGACGAGGTCAACCAAGTTAAGCAAGTATCAAGCAAAACACTAACAACACCTGTTAATCTATTGAACATCGCGAACGTGGTAAGTAAGCTCAGGGCTTGAAGGGCTTATTGACTCTTAAAACGGACCGAAAAGTGCCAAAAGTGAGGCACAAAGCTCACCCCAATTGGTTTGCACACTAACCCCAACTGGACTGAACTAAACTGAAACAGATTGTTTCGCCAAACGCAAAACACAAACTGAAAACCAGACGGACACTAGTGCAGACTGCCGATAGAAGCGCAGGCTGTCGATTAAACATTCCCTTGAAATTCAGGCTAGCGACAGCGAAGATTCCGTCGACTTGCCTGGGGAGGCGCATGGAGAGCTGAAGGACCAGCAGATAGGTAATGAATTAATAAGTAAGGATGGCGGCGATGTCAGCAGCAGTGATGAACGAGAAGAGGAGCAGCAGGGAGGTCCCATCGAAAGCGGAAATCGGGAGGCGGCGGAGCATGTGAAAGCGGCTACCGAAAACGATGTCAATGGTAAAAACTACGAAGAAAGATTGGCGGATCTGGTAGGCATCACCATTTGACCCGGATGTTTGCTCAGCCAGGCGATGAAATCGAGTGTAGCTCAGAGGCGAAGGAACTGCGGAATCCTGGCGACAATTGGCTGCTGCTCTGCAGTTCGTTCACTCTCCACTAGAGTTTCATTCCCTGGCCACCGGCGGCACATCCAAAACCATTTGTATAGTTGAAAACAATCTGTGAATGAATACCAAATACCACCCGTCTGTAGATGCTTGTGGTCCGTCGGACACTAACCGAAATCCTGCTGGAAACCACAAACGAAGAGATTGCAGCCATTGCAGGCGAGACTCTGAAAGCACACCGTGCGAAAGGTACATTATGCATTACACCTAAGTTCACCCCAAAACCGATCTCTTCCAGCGGTCGCGCGCGTGTGTGTGTGTAAGTAGTTATATAGATCGTAAGATGGCGCGGATAAATCGCGGACTATTGGTATCCGATCCAAGCTTGGATGACCGGATCTTTCGGCCAATCGATTGCAGTCGAACTTTCCGTCGAACGCGTATCCACCTCTTTTAATCATATGTCTCTGCTAATCTTTGAATCCCAATAATGAATTAATAACAAACACCACACAAACCAATGAAATCACTTGCTGAATTTTTTAATCGTAATATATAATATATACCTATATATATATGTATGTATGTGTAAATCAAAAGCGTCATCAGCCCAAGTGATTCGCAAAAGCGCCTTGTCCTCCATTACCGGCAACTTGGGTAAGTAACCAAATTCCAATTTAGCCCGTAAGTTTCTTTTGCACCTTTTTGTTTAGAGGTAGTCTGAGTTTTGCTTAATATCCCCTCTTTCTGTACCCTGAATCCTAATGACGAGATATTGGATATTCCTCTGGCCAAGTTATAACTTCCTCTGCTTCTTACTACTTTGAGCCATGGTTAAACCTATGTCGACCTTTTTTGGCGCAGTTTGGTCTTTCTAGCTCGCTTTTCGCATATTCTTCCCCTTTTCCAAGCCCCTTTCCGTATAAAAAATTTCTCAAAATAAAAATACATCGAAAATCAGTCCAAAATGTATAAAAATAAAAAACTGCGCCCCATCTACAATGAAGCCTGGTAGCAACAATTAGCACTTGACTGATTTGAATTATAGGTTTAGCTGCCTATGGCGATTCTTCCAGCGAAAGCGAAGAGGATGAGGACGATGAGGGCGAGCGCCAAGCGGATGCAGGAAAGGATGCCGACAAAAGCGTGCTACTAAGCGCGGAGGAGTTGAAGGTTAGTTTGCATCAATAACAAAAACGCTATAATATAGTAACAAAATCCTCTAATTTGTAGGCTCGCATACGGCGCAGCAAACGATCCTTCGAGAGAGTCATTGACGACATTGAAGATCGAGTGGCCAAGCAAGAGCAGCTTGATGAGCAAACCCTGCAGCGACATCGCAGGCGGGAGCTGGAGCGCTCTGGTGCGACAGCTGTTGACCACCGACGATCGCCGGTCACTCACGAACTACCTGGTGAATCGGTCAGTCAACCATCCCACGAAAAGCCGCAGCAATTCAACGGTATGTGTAGCGTATACTATGTATTCCCAAATCTCCACTGACAACAACCTCTTTGAAGGTAAACGACCCAGTCGCAAGGAGCGCACTACTCGCTTCAGCGACAATAAGGACGGCAAGCAGCAGTCGCATAGCTACGTGCAACAAGTGGTGGCAGCAGCAGCTGTGGCGCCACTGGGCAGCCTGACCACTAGCACAGGGTCTCAGAAGCTTAAGCCCGTTCCCAATCCGGCCACCAACCTGCTGCAGATGCCCGAATCGGTGGCCACCATGCTGAGTGCGGCTGACAAGGCGCTGCACAAGGCGAACAAGTCGTCGCGCAAGTCGAAGAGCAAGCGCCGCCACTCGTCCACCTCGTCCTCCTCCAGCAGCAGCAGTGGGAGCAGTTCGAGCAGCGACAGCGACGACAGCAGCAGCAGCTCCAGCGGATCCAAGACGTCCAGCAGTCGCGGCAAGCGAGTCAGTCGCCATGGACATGGTCGCAGCCACGGCAGCAGTCGGAGCAAGTACGAGCGCCGCGATCGGGACAGAGAAAGGGAACGGGATCGGGATCGTGGACGTCGCCAGGATCGCAGTCATTACAGTGGTGGCAGCAGTGGTGGAAGTCATCGGCAGCGTCATCGGCGGCGATCTCGGGACTCGCACTCCGGCGAGGATACAGGCGGTCGCAGTAGCTACCACCGCTCCTCGCGAAAGAGCAGCAGTCGCAGCCACGATCACGGCGGCGGCGGCAGCAGCAGCAGCGGGCGAAAGCGACACCACACAAGATCCCGCTCCAAGTCGCGCAGCACCCACCACTCCAGCTCCAATGCATACTCCTCCTCTTCTTCCGCGTCGCATCCGCGCAAGCGCCACTAAGATTACGACTACAGCTAATTGTTACACTGTGTAATTATATTTTTTCTTCTGTTTAAGATGCTTTTAGTAAACAGTTTTAATCCAGCATAATAAATTCGGATTTCCAACGAATATTATTTTTTGATCGGAGGGTTGAAAATCCCTAAGTTTATTGGGATACTGCGGAATTGATTGTCAAGTTCTCACAATAACTTATGAGACTCATTGTAAATTAAACACAATATGTTAATTTTAAAACAAATAATTTATTATTCATAAGTAGGTCTAAAACAATTTGTTGCTAACTTAAGACTGGATTATTTCAGGTAATACTATGGTTTTTTGGGAATATTCGATCGAAACATTCTCATCAGTCTCACAAACTTAAACAAATTAGGAATTTAACCGATAATGAACAAGGATTAGTGTCTTTGGACTTAGTCGACCTCCTCAACAGTGGGTCCCGAGTAGCCGCCAAATCCTCCGGCCTGCTGGCCGCAGTTGGCCCCAGGACCACCAGCTGCTCCCGCTCCCGCTCCCTGCTGATGCATCTTAGTCATAATGGGCGAGCAGTGGCGGGTGAGCTCCTCCATCTTGTGGTCGAACTCCTCCTTCTCGGCGGTGGTGTTGCTATCCAACCACCGGATGGTCTCGTTGCACTTCTCGAGGACCGAGTTCTTGTCTGCCTCGCTCAGTTTGCCAGCTTCTGCCTGCTCCACCGCTTGCTTCACGTTGAAGACGTAGCCCTCCAGAGCATTTCGGGATGTTATGCGCTGGCGGTGCTTCTCGTCCTCGTCGGCGTACTTCTCCGCCTCGTTCACCATGCGGTCAATCTCCGCCTGCGAGAGGCGTCCCTTGTCGTTCTTGATCGTGATGTTCTTGGCCTTGCCCGTGCTCATCTCCTTGGCGGACACGTTCAGGATGCCGTTGGCGTCCATGTCGAAGGTGACCTCTATCTGGGGCACACCCCGTGGAGCAGGAGGAATGCCCGACAGGTCGAAGGTGCCCAGCGCATTGTTGTCCTTGGTCATGGCTCGCTCACCCTCGTAAACCTGGATGGAGACTCCGGGCTGGTTGTCCGAATAGGTGGAGAACGTCTTGGTCTGCTTGCACGGAATGCGGCAGTTGCGCTCGATCAGCTTGGTCATCACTCCGCCGGCGGTCTCGATTCCGAGCGAGAGTGGTGCCACGTCCACCAGCAGCACGTCCTGGATCTTGCCGGTCTGGTCTCCGCTGAGGATCGCGGCCTGGACCGCCGCTCCGTAGGCCACCGCCTCGTCCGGGTTGATGGATAGGTTGAGGCTCTTGCCGTGGAAGAACTGCTGCAGAAGGCTCTGCACCTTGGGGATGCGCGTGGATCCACCCACGAGCACGATGTCGTGGATCTGGCCCTTGTCCATCTTGGCGTCGGTGAGTGCCTTCTCCACGGGCTGCAGGGTGTTGCGGAAGAGGTCCGCGCACAGCTCCTCGAACCGGGCGCGGCTCACCTTGGTGTAGAAGTCGTGGCCCTCGAACAGGGCGTCGATCTCGATGGTGGCCTCCGTGCTGGATGACAGAGTGCGCTTGGCCCGCTCGGCCGCCGTCCTGAGGCGTCGCAGTGCTCTGGGATTGGAGCGCAGGTCCTTCTTGAATTTGCGCTTGAACTCGTCAGCCAGGTGGTTGACCAGTCGGTTGTCAAAGTCCTCGCCACCCAGATGGGTGTCTCCTGCCGTGGAGCGCACCTCGAACAGCGATCCCTCGTCTATGGTCAGGATGGAGACATCGAAGGTGCCGCCTCCCAAGTCAAAGATGAGCACGTTGCGCTCCCCCTTCAGGTTCTTGTCCAGTCCGTAGGCCAGGGCAGCGGCTGTGGGCTCGTTGATGATGCGGAGCACGTTCAGACCGGCGATGTGTCCGGCGTCCTTGGTGGCCTGGCGCTGGGAGTCGTTGAAGTATGCGGGAACTGTGATGACGGCGTCCGTGATGCTCTCGCCCAGATACGCCTCCGCGGTCTCCTTCATCTTGGCCAGCACCATCGAGCTGATCTCCTCCGGCGCAAATCGCTTGGCCTCACCCTTGAATTCGACTCCAATCTTGGGCTTTCCGCCATCGCTGACCACCTTGAAGGGCCAGTGCTTCATGTCCTCTGCAATTTTCGGGTCGTCGTACTTGCGTCCGATGAGGCGCTTGGCGTCGAAGACTGTGTTCCTGGGGTTCATGGCCACCTGGTTCTTGGCGGCGTCGCCGATGAGCCGCTCAGAGTCTGTGAATGCCACGTAGGAGGGCGTGGTGCGGTTGCCCTGGTCGTTGGCGATGATCTCCACCTTGCCGTGCTGGTAGACACCCACGCAGGAGTACGTGGTGCCCAGATCGATTCCAATGGCTGGCATTGTGTGTGTTTGTGTGTTTGCTTACTTGGTAGTGGATATGTAGAAATTCCAACTTTTGAACTCTTGCTCTTGTTCTTGCAAATAACTTCTTGATTGCTAGTTACTCAGTTGTTACTTGTGTTTAATTAACTTTTAGTTGAAGGTTTTTCACTTTGTTTAGCTTCTTCAGCTGTGCTTGGTTGGTTTGCTTAGCTTTTGCTTAGCGATGTTTTCACTTTGCTTGTTTGAAATGAATTGACGCTAAGAGCGCCGACCGGCTCTATTTATACCCAGGCGCTCTCTTCTCGAACATTCGAGACGCACTCTCCCGAACCGCCGAGAACTGAGTGAGAGAGCAAGCTGCTGCAGCAATGGGAGTGAGCGAGAGAGGGAGACTGCTAAATTAAGAGAGGGTAAAAAAGTGTACTTTTGTTGCGTTCGAAAATTCTCGACTTTTCTCCGGGCCAAACAAATCGACCTACCGCAACAAATGGTTTTGTTTTGAAGTTCTGGAAAATTCGAAAGAATGTTTATTTGTTTATATAAAAAGCCGAGTGAATAACTTATTTTTAAGATAGAAACTATTCTGCGCTCGACAAATGAAGATGTGTATGCCAATTTTACAACATTTTTAAGGTACAAATTGACGGGTATTTTAATTAATCTGTTGTTAGTAAAGTCGATAAAACTGTTAGTAAGGGTTTAAATAAACATACATAGATCAAAGTTCAGACTTTTATGTATGTACATACATACATATATGCAATTGTTAAACTTTCTTGAATAGGTAAAGGAATAAGGCCATTCTAGAGTTATGTTAAAAAATGCAGTTTTGAGAACTCGTGTATCTTAAAGTTTTAACCGCTCACAAAAGGAGGTCAACAGCCCTGTAATAAAATTCGAAAACGGGGAGATTCGGATATTTTTCCCATAACATTTCGGGATATCATTTTTAAGGCCTTAATACATACATATGTACATATCCTGATAAAAATGTATACATACATATGTATATTTGCTATCTCTTTAAAACATTTTAGCACATTGATATTTAACAGAAAAGCTGCACATCATGCTCTGCTACATACTTATGTACATAAGTATGCAAGTCAATAATAAATAAAATAATTTAAAAGTTTAAGAAAAATAATAAACCTTTACTAACAACTTTACCGACTTTACTAACAGCACAAAAATAAATATGTATCTAAATTAAACTGATTAAATAAAATACCCGTCAATTTGTACCTTAAAAATGTTGTAAAATTGGCATACACATCTTCATTTGTCGAGCGCAGAATAGTTTCTATCTTAAAAATAAGTTATTCACTCGGCTTTTTATATAAACAAATAAACATTCTTTCGAATTTTCCAGAACTTCAAAACAAAACCATTTGTTGCGGTAGGTCGATTTGTTTGGCCCGGAGAAAAGTCGAGAATTTTCGAACGCAACAAAAGTACACTTTTTTACCCTCTCTTAATTTAGCAGTCTCCCTCTCTCGCTCACTCCCATTGCTGCAGCAGCTTGCTCTCTCACTCAGTTCTCGGCGGTTCGGGAGAGTGCGTCTCGAATGTTCGAGAAGAGAGCGCCTGGGTATAAATAGAGCCGGTCGGCGCTCTTAGCGTCAATTCATTTCAAACAAGCAAAGTGAAAACATCGCTAAGCAAAAGCTAAGCAAACCAACCAAGCACAGCTGAAGAAGCTAAACAAAGTGAAAAACCTTCAACTAAAAGTTAATTAAACACAAGTAACAACTGAGTAACTAGCAATCAAGAAGTTATTTGCAAGAACAAGAGCAAGAGTTCAAAAGTTGGAATTTCTACATATCCACTACCAAGTAAGCAAACACACAAACACACACAATGCCAGCCATTGGAATCGATCTGGGCACCACGTACTCCTGCGTGGGTGTCTACCAGCACGGCAAGGTGGAGATCATCGCCAACGACCAGGGCAACCGCACCACGCCCTCCTACGTGGCATTCACAGACTCTGAGCGGCTCATCGGCGACGCCGCCAAGAACCAGGTGGCCATGAACCCCAGGAACACAGTCTTCGACGCCAAGCGCCTCATCGGACGCAAGTACGACGACCCGAAAATTGCAGAGGACATGAAGCACTGGCCCTTCAAGGTGGTCAGCGATGGCGGAAAGCCCAAGATTGGAGTCGAATTCAAGGGTGAGGCCAAGCGATTTGCGCCGGAGGAGATCAGCTCGATGGTGCTGGCCAAGATGAAGGAGACCGCGGAGGCGTATCTGGGCGAGAGCATCACGGACGCCGTCATCACAGTTCCCGCATACTTCAACGACTCCCAGCGCCAGGCCACCAAGGACGCCGGACACATCGCCGGTCTGAACGTGCTCCGCATCATCAACGAGCCCACAGCCGCTGCCCTGGCCTACGGACTGGACAAGAACCTGAAGGGGGAGCGCAACGTGCTCATCTTTGACTTGGGAGGCGGCACCTTCGATGTCTCCATCCTGACCATAGACGAGGGATCGCTGTTCGAGGTGCGCTCCACGGCAGGAGACACCCATCTGGGTGGCGAGGACTTTGACAACCGACTGGTCAACCACCTGGCTGACGAGTTCAAGCGCAAATTCAAGAAGGACCTGCGCTCCAATCCCAGAGCACTGCGACGCCTCAGGACGGCGGCCGAGCGGGCCAAGCGCACTCTGTCATCCAGCACGGAGGCCACCATCGAGATCGACGCCCTGTTCGAGGGCCACGACTTCTACACCAAGGTGAGCCGCGCCCGGTTCGAGGAGCTGTGCGCGGACCTCTTCCGCAACACCCTGCAGCCCGTGGAGAAGGCACTCACCGACGCCAAGATGGACAAGGGCCAGATCCACGACATCGTGCTCGTGGGTGGATCCACGCGCATCCCCAAGGTGCAGAGCCTTCTGCAGCAGTTCTTCCACGGCAAGAGCCTCAACCTATCCATCAACCCGGACGAGGCGGTGGCCTACGGAGCGGCGGTCCAGGCCGCGATCCTCAGCGGAGACCAGACCGGCAAGATCCAGGACGTGCTGCTGGTGGACGTGGCACCACTCTCGCTCGGAATCGAGACCGCCGGCGGAGTGATGACCAAGCTGATCGAGCGCAACTGCCGCATTCCGTGCAAGCAGACCAAGACGTTCTCCACCTATTCGGACAACCAGCCCGGAGTCTCCATCCAGGTTTACGAGGGTGAGCGAGCCATGACCAAGGACAACAATGCGCTGGGCACCTTCGACCTGTCGGGCATTCCTCCTGCTCCACGGGGTGTGCCCCAGATAGAGGTCACCTTCGACATGGACGCCAACGGCATCCTGAACGTGTCCGCCAAGGAGATGAGCACGGGCAAGGCCAAGAACATCACGATCAAGAACGACAAGGGACGCCTCTCGCAGGCGGAGATTGACCGCATGGTGAACGAGGCGGAGAAGTACGCCGACGAGGACGAGAAGCACCGCCAGCGCATAACATCCCGAAATGCTCTGGAGGGCTACGTCTTCAACGTGAAGCAAGCGGTGGAGCAGGCAGAAGCTGGCAAACTGAGCGAGGCAGACAAGAACTCGGTCCTCGAGAAGTGCAACGAGACCATCCGGTGGTTGGATAGCAACACCACCGCCGAGAAGGAGGAGTTCGACCACAAGATGGAGGAGCTCACCCGCCACTGCTCGCCCATTATGACTAAGATGCATCAGCAGGGAGCGGGAGCGGGAGCAGCTGGTGGTCCTGGGGCCAACTGCGGCCAGCAGGCCGGAGGATTTGGCGGCTACTCGGGACCCACTGTTGAGGAGGTCGACTAAGTCCAAAGACACTAATCCTTGTTCATTATCGGTTAAATTCCTAATTTGTTTAAGTTTGTGAGACTGATGAGAATGTTTTGATCGAATATTCCCAAAAAACCATAGTATTACCTGAAATAATCCAGTCTTAAGTTAGCAACAAATTGTTTTAGACCTACGTATGAATAATAAATTATTTATTTTAAAATTGAAATTCCAAATTGTATTTCTTTTGGGTGAAGAGTTTAAAGCCCATTTTTAGTCAGATAAATTAACTACGAATAAGTACGAAAATAAGCTTGCAGGTGTATATTTTTAATTTTTATCAATAACAATGGGAACTTTTTTATTATGAATTGTAAAAAGTTTTATTGCAAAATTAGTTATATGATATTGGTTAAATGTATGTGAAGTGTTTTATTGCTATAAAACCGGAATTTTTATAAATACTTTAAAAAAGGATTAAAAAGCTAAACCTAACCTTATTAGCTTAAAAATCATTTGAATTTTTAACTTAGTAAATATTTCTCCTTAATTGTCACATGTTTGCATAAGCCAGGATTTCTACATTAAAAACTTTGTTAAAACTGAGTAAAGCAAAAATAAAATTATAACTAATTCGGGTTAATCTTGCACTTGAGTTTTATTTCTATTTTTTTTGTTATTTTGCTCCTAGCTTTTTCTGTTTTTACCAAAGGGATCTCCGTAGTCCCTGCCTACTTCATAATGACTCATTTTATTGCGATGGATGGTCAGTAGGGCGCCGCTCTTGAAGTTCTGCTCGCAGACTCCGCATCTGTAGGCCATTGAAGGCAGCTCAGTGGACGGTGGAATTCCTTGTTGCTGTTGTAGTAGATCGCTGGGGTCACGTTGCAGACGCATGCGCTCGATATCTTCTGCCCGTCGCTTGTTGACCCTGGAGTTTTCATAGGGATCCGCAGCAAAGGCTCCTTCGGTTAAATTGCCTGAGTTTACCGCCTCCTGATGTCCCTTTTGGTTCCGATGGATATTCAGGAGCGAGCCGCAAACGAAGCTGTCTCCGCACACTCCACACTGATATGGACGTTCGCCAGTGTGCCGCCTCATGTGGATCTTCAGATCATTGGATTGCACGAAGGTCTTGCTACACAAGTCGCAGGAGTAAGGCCTTTGGCCGGTATGTAGATGCATGTGCCGAGCCAGCTTGTTTTGTGAGATGAACTTCTTGGAGCAAATCTTACACTCACTGGGTCGCTCGCCGGTGTGCTGGCGCATGTGCAAACTGAGATCCTGACTGCGCGGGAAGGCCTTTTCGCACTGGCTGCATTTATACGGATTTTCGCCGGTGTGCCGGCGAATGTGGATCGTGAGGCTAGACATAGGAAAGCTGAGGCCGCAGTAGGGACAGTCTTTCCGCTTGGCTATCCGTTTTCGTGGCGAATTTTCCGGTGCGTCATCGGTTTCCAAGGGCGTTGCGTCGGGATGAAACGCCTGCATGTGACGGCGAAGGGTGTCCTGCCGCTTGAAAGAGCGTGGACAGTGCTCACAGGTCAGTAGGCCGGTACCACTACTCTCGTTGGCCAACTTCGAGGCGGCAACGACTGCTGTCAGCCTGTGAGCATGCGAAAAGTGTCGGGAGAGGGATTCGGTTTTAGCAAAAACCCGTGGACACTCGGCACATTTGTAGATAAAGTTCTCCGAGTGGGACAAACGGCTGCCTAGCTGGGAAGGTCGCGATTGAGATAATTGTTGGTTCTCTGGCTCCTCTGGCAATATCTGTAGCTTAGCAGGCTGATCCGCATCCTCTTTGTGAAGCTGTGCTGTATACAGCGGCTCTTCTTCTGTTTCAGATTTTAATATTTCGGAAGTGTCTAGGTCTTCAAACTCCTCCTTTACTTCCGTCTGTTGCTCTTCGTAAGAGGCGGACCGAATTTCCTCCATATCGACTACGGCCTGCTGACCACCCAGCTGCACCACCTCCACATGGCCTTCATCCGGTTTGGGTGCATCAACTTGCTGCAGATACAGATTCTGCAAAGTTTTCTGTGCACTCTCTACATCAAGAATGAATTCGTAGGCACTGATTAACCGGCGAGTGCAACTTTGGCACAGCTGCATCGGCAGATTCGGATCCGTCCAGGTGTACTGTTTAGGGAACCATATGGATATAAACCATTTCTAATTATGATTTAAGTATCTTTTACCTTTACTTTGGACACGGATTCCAACAGCTCCCAGAGTTCCATATTCAGGTCGTTGTACTCGATCTCATCGTGGAGGCACAAAGTGGTCTCGTGGGTTTCCAGACAAACGCGACACGTTTGGGAACTTATAGTTATGTGAATCTCTGTTGTTTCCATGATTTCGCATCATCAACCCAAAACAAATCAACATAAACTTTTGTTTACAACAGCTGTTTATTAGAGATGGCTATTTAACAACAGCTGTTTCCAGCCTCTGCAATATTTTGTGGTTATGCGCTACTCATTTTCAAGTTAAAATACTGTTTGCATTATATACATATATTAATATTGATTTTTCATATCTATAAAAAGTTAGCTGTATTTAAAAACCTTATCTATGATAAACATTATCTGTTGCAAATTGTTTCAATAGGTAAACTACTGTACAAATGAATGCCTATTTTTATGAAATAATAAAATATTCTATCATATTTGTTTGTTAAATTCTATTTTATTTGTTTGATTTCAATGTGATACATTTTAAACTTGAAACATCCGATGTTAAATATGTTTTACTTTTTCGGTTAAAATATAATTCTTTTGACGGTTGACAGCACTGAAAACTCACGAAGTCCCTTTACTAAACGATACTATCGCACTTTTGCCATTCTCCCGATCGCACACACGCCCGCTTCACAATTCAAACGAACGGCATTTTATTTTCACAGGATTCGGAATAGTGAATGTTTAACCCAATACCGACTTTTTACCTTTGTGTTTTGACCAAAATTTGAATTTTTAAGTTGTTCTGTGCCCGTCACACCATGTCCCATCCATCCGACCATGTGCTACGTCCCAAGGAAAATACATCTACTCGAAAGCCGGAAATATCAGCTGCTGTTCTCAGCTTACAAAAGAAAAACTTGCTTATAGGAAAAAAGGTAGCAATGAATGGTAGAAGCAAACTGTAAACTGTATTAATGTTTAATTCAGCCCACCAGTGAGAACGTGGCTCCTGGCGCCAAGCCCCTTCCCGGGTCTTCGGGCGCTGTGATTAGGAGTGCGGCGACTGGCGTGCGACCGCCCAATAAACCCGTTCATGGAGTCTCTCATCCCGTAGTTCCCTCCACGGGAAACAAGTTCCAGAAGCCAGTGGCGCCCCCCGTTAAAAAGTCCCCTTCGGAATTCGTGGCTCCCGCTCCAGTGGCACCCATAAAGAAAACCGAAGCAATCTCAAAACCAAAACCTGCTGCTGCAGGCTCAGAATCCTCCACAGAATCTAGTGCTTTAGTGGCCAGCAGCTCAGGCAGTGCCACCGACAAGGAGAAAGGCAAGACTGGTGGGTACTTAAGCCAACATACACCTTTTGATAACAGCAACTATAGTGTAATTCCCTGCAGAAACCCAGCCTCAAAAACCTAAGAAAACCTGGGAACTCAACAACTTTGATATTGGCCGCCTGCTCGGACGCGGCAAATTTGGCAACGTTTATTTGGCGCGCGAAAAGGAATCTCAATTTGTGGTGGCCCTGAAAGTGTTGTTCAAGCGTCAGATAGGCGAGTCCAATGTGGAGCATCAGGTTCGTCGGGAAATTGAGATACAGTCACACTTGCGCCATCCGCATATCCTTCGTTTGTATGCCTACTTTCACGACGATGTGCGCATCTATTTGATTCTTGAGTATGCACCCCAAGGAACTCTGTTCAATGCTCTGCAGGCACAGCCGCTGAAGCGTTTTGATGAGCGTCAGTCGGCCACCTACATCCAAGCTCTCTGCTCGGCACTGCTTTATCTGCACGAGAGGGACATTATCCACAGGGATATCAAGCCGGAAAATCTGCTGCTTGGCCACAAGGGCGTACTGAAGATCGCCGACTTTGGCTGGTCCGTGCACGAGCCCAACTCAATGCGCATGACGCTGTGCGGCACTGTGGATTACCTGCCGCCAGAAATGGTTCAGGGCAAGCCGCACACCAAAAACGTAGATCTCTGGAGTCTGGGAGTGCTCTGTTTTGAACTGTTGGTGGGCCACGCGCCCTTCTACTCGAAGAACTACGACGAGACCTACAAGAAGATCCTTAAAGTGGAGTACAAGCTGCCGGAGCATATTTCCAAGGCAGCCGCACACCTCATTTCAAAGCTGCTGGTCCTCAATCCGCAGCACCGCCTTCCGCTTGACCAGGTGATGGTGCACCCCTGGATCGTGGCGCACACGCAGTAAATCTTTGCTTTCATTTTGAGTTATTTCCTTTTAATTTACAGTTTTAGTTAAGGCTCGCCGCGTAATTTAATTATGGCATCTTAAAATTTCATTTAGACAGATTCGAGAAGTTAACATTTATGAATTAAGTTTATTATTATCATTACCAATAAAGTTTGTGTCGTGTTTTCGAATGCTAGGCGAGTGTGTCGTGTGTACATTCCTACCTTATGTGGCTACCTAATCTCTAGCGAAATGAGTTGACGGATTTCAAATGCAAATGCGAAATGTTTAGGCAGCGACAAAAACACAGGCCACATTGCCCAAATGCAGTGAAGCGAGTTATTTTTATCACAGAAAACCAAGTACAAAGAAATATTGTACGCAGATGGAAAGCAAAAGAGTATGTTTCTGAGATACGACGAAATTTTGTTTTAAATGGTTGTGGATTAAGCAGTGGAAAAAAGAATTACTTTTTTGCGACAAATATTTTGTAAAGCTGAACCGAACCAGTCTTAATTATAAATCGATTTTAGTTCATACAATGAACCGGCTTTCTCTAATCATTTCATTTTTCTGCGAGTTTTCTTTTTGTTTCATTTGCTAGTAACGAAATGATGGTAATCATAACGTTGAAATTTACTTATAAACTAAATAGATTAGGGCGTGCTCACCCCAGGATAGATTTCGATTTATAATCTCAAATTTTTATACAAATTCATTGATTGGTATGCTGGGTCTCATATTATCTTTTACCAATTCAGATCCCTTAAATCGATGGATGTGTGAGCACGGCTTTAAATTAAAGGGGTTTTAAGCCTTTGCACACATGCCGCTCAATATTGACAGAAAATTATCTTAATTAGTGTCTAATAACCTCGCCTCCTTTTTTGCGCGCCGCCACATTTGAGTAGTCGTCTTCTGCAAAGCAGCGAATGTTAAGAAATAATAAGTTTAATGCATATCGAACAACTTACCATCTTGGTCTTCATCAATGCCATCTTCTAGATGAATGCCTTCAGCAAACTCCTTGCCCTGGTCAGCCACAATTTCGTTGTTCAGATTGTCAGTGTCTAGCAAATGTTGCGGCTGCTTCACGGCCACATCGCCCACATCGTCATCGTCATCTCCTTCACCACCTCCTCCAGCGCCGGCTGCCTCAGCCATTTGCTTGGCCGGCTCGTCGGGAACGGGTCCAGGACCAGGAGCAGGCAATTCGCCGTCGAAGAAGTTCTGTCCGCCACCAGCTGCGGGTAAATTAAAGCTGGGCTCGTTCAACGCGTCCTTAACCTCGTGGGCACCCGAGTCTTCGATAGGTTTGGGCGCCACACCCAGATTCTTGTTACTCTCCAGGTCATGTTGTGCATTTGCATAGCGATTGTTATTTTCGTTCTTGGGTAGCTCCTCGGCAGCTGTGTCCACATCGACAGCCTCGCCCTTGGTGTCTGTCTTGTCCTCAAAGTTCTCAGGAATCGGAGCAACGTTTTCGGGAAGTTTGCGCTCCGTCTTGGCAGGCGGCACAGCGAGCGGCGGCAGTCCACTACTGCTGATCTTGGGTGCTACGGATGCGTTCGGAGCACCACCCGCCTTCTTGACCGCCGCTCCACCCTCCGAGGCCTGTGTGCTGCTCTTGCGGGGAGCGCTAAGCGGCGAAACTGGACCGCCCGACAGCTGCGGCTCCTCCTGCTGCTGCTTCTCATTTAGCGATTTGGGCACAATCTGAAAGTTTTCAACAGAGTTTATTATGAGGCTGTGGTTGTTGCGCACGGCAAAAGGCAGCAGAGGCAGCTGCTGCGGCTGCTCCTTTGTTCCGTCACCATTACTCTTAATTGTAGAGTTAGTAGCTGCGATTGTTAGGTTTTTGTTTGGGTTAGTTAGCAGATTTACCCCGCCGCCAATCCTGTAGAGGCCTTCACTCACTTGCACTTGGGCATCGAAGGACTTCTCGTTGTGCGGCTTTTCGATGCTGTGCGCCAACTGGGCGGGATTGGAGTGCCGCGTGGTGGGCATCTGTTCGGCGGGCTTGTTTAGCTGCTGCTGGTGAACATGGGCCGGGGCTTCGGCGGGCTGGACTTTAGGCACATAGTTGCAGTTCGTTTTGAACTCAGCAATAGTAGTTTCTAGAGCGTGGATCTTATGTTCCCCATCGCGCTGCAGTTTGTCTAGCTTTTCCTGAAAAGCAATGAGGCTTAAGGATGCAATATGAAAAGAGCTTGTATAACTTTTTACCTTCCAGGCGGCCACCTCTTGCTCCTTGCTGGCCTTATCTTTATGCAGATCCGCCAGAACCTTTTTCAGCTTTTGATCGAAGGCGTTCGTGTCCTCTACATGTTTCTTCTTGCTCTTTAAGCAGTCGGCCTCCAGTTCGGAATACTTTAACTCCAGCAGCTTATACTTCTCCACCTGGGCGTCAAACTTTTCCTGGAGGGCGCGTTCCGTTTCTTGTTGTTTCTGCGCTGCTTCCGCTAGTTGGCCCTCATATTTTTCCTGGAGGCTCATCTTTTCTGTGCGCAGCAGGCTCATCCTCTTCTCGGCGGTGGCTTTTTCCGCATTAAGAGCTGTAACATTTTGATTAAAAATTAATCTTATTGTCAGGAAAAATTAATATGGACTCACATTGCATCTGGACATTAAGGCCCTCCTGAAAGGCGCGGCTCTCGTCCAATTGGTGTTGGGACATTTGGTAGATCACTATCATCATGATGAGCACGATGAACATACTCATCAGAATGCAAATACGGACGCGCCCGGAACGCGCGAAACGAGCCGAACTCATTTTTCACTCAGTTTCAGCTAGCAAATAAGACAATTACAACTTTTTCTTACGAGAAAAGAATAGAATGTAATCTCAGCGAAAATGTGTTGCAAAATTCTTTTGTTGTGCTTATGCAGAAGTGTTGCAAAACGACCATGGTCGGCCGCAACGAAGGAAGAAGAATTATCAACGCAGTATGCTATCGGAATTTGAAATACATTTTTTACTTACATTTTTAAAACAATTTTAGGAGCTTATGCATTTATTTGTACTTTTGTACTGAATAATTTTGTTGTCAAATTTTATGAATGAGTTGTTGGACAAAGTTTCGGGTTCAGTTTTTATTGTACATATATATTTTTTTTAAGAAATTGCAAACGTCCAAGCTCTTAGTTAAATTGATTACTTTTTTTTTGTAAATATGTGCAAAAATTATTTAGGCTGGCATGTTGTTGTAAAAGTTTAAAAAGTGGGTAACCCCTTTAGTGTGACCACGTACACTTAAATTTTGCAGATTTTTGGCATTATTCTTGAGCGGACGACATATTTTAAAGGTGCCGCAACGGTCACTCAGCAGACGACCAAAAACGGCGACGCGCGAATAGAATACTAACAAATAGATTTAATTTAGTTTTATTGCCCCCAAATAAAAGTTGCCTAGCAGAAGTAACCGTTAAGTTTAAACTTTAAAGTAACCAAGTCAATTAGCCGAGCTTTGCACAAACTAGTGAAAAGTGAGTTAACATTGCTGGCGGATGGGGTTTTTTGGGCGAGGGGTTAGGGGAGGAGGATTTTATTTAAACATTTGATGGACTGCGAGAGAGACACTTGCGAAAGTATGCGTATCGGGAGAGTGCGGCAATCAATTCAATTTAATAAAGGTGCTCGAAACTGGTGGTAAACACGGCAAATTACGTAAAATCCCATACAAGTGGTTGCTGCTCCAGTATTCCCAATAATAAGTGTGCCTACAGTAATAACAATAATCTAGATTCCAAGGCGTGTATCACCTGGCCAAAAAGGTAAAACACGCGGAACCGAAAGAAAAAAAACTCGCCGTAAAGTGTCGCGCCCCCTCCCCGACTTCTCATATGTTTCGGGCAATAATCAATAACTTGACTGCCATTTACCTTCGATGCCGCAATCTAAAGTGCTTTTTTTTACAACACTTTTTATCAACGAAGTTCATAAAACTTTATGATTTGTATGGTGTTTTAAACTTCTTTCGTTTAAAGTAAAACCTTGATATCTTTATGCTGGAATTGTTCTGCCAAAAATGAGAAGAGATAAAACGTTCAGACGTTCTTATCGTCTGCGCAATGTGGATAACCCGTTATTCGGCCTTGCCAGTTAAGCATACATATATTATAACTACATATAAAGCCAATGAATTTGATAAACTTTTTCGATTCGCACTTTGTAATTGTGCTAACGAAGCAATATTTGTTCGCGAGTGCAGGCTAATGGTATTGATATTTATATGCCGCTAATCTTCGTCATGTCAATAAACTTTGGTCCCCGCCTTTTTCTTATCAATAACCTAACGCAGTACCCCTATATTACATACCCCCAACGGAATTATCAGCTGTTTAACTTTCATAATTATTTATTGTTTAATTGGGTTAACAAATGAACTCGATATATCAAATACTGCAGAGATGCCCTGAATTCTTTTTCGTTTTTTAAGTTTTGAATTAAAAACAAACTAGTTTGAACCAATTATTCAGATATGTACATCGGTACATATGTACATACATACATATATCGCATATCTTAAATGAGCGTGTTTATTTCGCAGAATGTCGCGCATTGAATCCAACGAAACACCGCTACAACAGCCCAAGCACCAACAATTCGCGTAAGTTATCAATAAACATTTTAATTAGCCTGTTTAATGTAATCACAAAGGAAAACAAAACGTATTTGTTTTGACTATTATTTTTGCGTGCTCAAACAACAAATCAACACCAGTCAACACAAATTTTAGAGCTACATATCTATACTCTGACAACAAACAAAAATGTAATTTGTTTTTCGAGTGGTATTCAATAGAATGGAGTTTGATGCACTGTAATTTTCTGTTCTACGAAATTAAAAAGGTCCTAAAAATTTTGAAGTTTATATAATTTTCTTATATTTTAATTCAAAAAACATGTATTTTCGCTCAATAAATATTTACATACATATATGTAAACAGACATATTTTTTAGTGAGACATTTTGGCTCTCACTGTATTTTGGGTTTATCATCGTTAAAGACTCGTCACATGAATAGACATTTATTCTCATTTCATTTTGAAGTGTTTTGCCCTCAGCCATCAGAAAATGTTCACATTCGTTCCACTTCCCACCACACCCCCCACAAGTTTCAATAAATTTAGGACAAATCTACAGACAAGGATAGTGATACTATGACATAATATGATTGCATTTGCACTTTGTTATTGTTTTTGCTATTGTTCTACAAATGCAACCGAAAATAGACCCAAGCTAAGACTAGATATATTTATTCGATAGCAACTACATATTTACATATATACAACGTGTGGTTTGTTGGCAAGAAACCAAGTATTTTTTGCTTATTAATGGCCAACTCATTTGACCTTTCTTATGCCTCAATTGCCAGCCCAATTGTGGTATCCTAAGAGCATTGATGGGAAGTATGTACATATATGTGGGCCAAGTTCAAAGCCAATAAGACAATTGTTTACATTTTGTTGTTGCCGCTACTCATGCAAAGCGAATCGCAAAGTTAACGCAGTGCAAATATTTGTCAATTAGCCAACTGAAATGAGAGAACGACTAAGGAATGCTCTGATCTCTTTGTTTTTAATCGTAGGCTGCTGCCAAAGATCATCAACGGTGGAATTGCTGGCATTATCGGTGTGACATGTGTCTTCCCACTGGATTTGGTCAAGACGAGGCTGCAGAATCAACAAGTCGGACCAAATGGCGAACGCATGTACAACAGCATGTGAGTGCAAAACAATAATATAGTTTTTACTGGGCCATATCTTACTTACAATATTCAGACAAATAACTAAATTTAGTTTTTGAAAATGGTAAATCATTGGTTTTAAAATTTTTAGATTTGCTTTAGTTATTTTTAAAACTTCATTTACATTCACATTTCATTTCAAAATCAACGTTCTTTTCTTATAGTATATTAATAGATTTTCAACCTTTTTTTTTTTAAGATTTAAAATCTTTACTATACGTATATGTAAAAGTTTTTTGGTAAATTCTTAAATGATTAAGAAAATATACATAACGAAATAGTTTTATTATGTTTAGAGCGCTGTTTCTAATCCCATTTTAAATTCAGGTTCGATTGCTTCCGCAAGACGTACAAGGCTGAAGGATACTTTGGCATGTACCGCGGCTCTGGTGTTAACATCCTGCTGATCACACCTGAGAAGGCGATCAAATTGACCGCCAACGACTACTTCCGCCACAAGCTGACCACCAAGGATGGCAAACTTCCGCTCACCAGTCAAATGGTCGCTGGAGGTCTGGCAGGTGCCTTCCAGATAATCGTCACCACGCCCATGGAGCTGCTGAAGATCCAGATGCAGGATGCCGGCCGAGTGGCAGCGGCAGCCAAATTGGCTGGCAAGACGGTGGAGAAGGTGTCGGCCACCCAGTTGGCCACTCAGCTCATCCGGGACAAGGGAATTCTGGGTCTGTACAAGGGTATCGGAGCCACTGGACTGCGGGATGTCACTTTCTCCATCATCTACTTCCCACTATTCGCTACACTCAATGACTTGGGTCCCAGGCGCAATGACGGATCTGGAGAGGCGGTATTCTGGTAAGATTTCCTGTTAACCATGCTTTCTAAATGTTATAATTATATGTTTTTGTTCCCTGCAGGTGTTCCTTCCTTGCGGGTTTGGCGGCGGGTTCTACGGCTGCCCTTGCTGTCAATCCATTTGATGTGGTTAAGACGCGGCTGCAGGCGATTAAGAAGGCCGACGGCGAGAAGGAGTTCAAAGGCATATCCGATTGCATCACGTGAGTGATTATAAATACTGTCAAGTGTGGATTCCCTTAACAAACTCAACCCTTTTTAGTAAGACACTGAAGCACGAGGGACCCACTGCTTTCTTCAAGGGCGGCTTGTGCCGAATGATTGTGATTGCTCCTCTGTTTGGAATTGCCCAGACTGTCTACTATCTGGGCGTGGCTGAGGGTCTGCTGGGCTATCAGAAAAAGTAGAGAAAGAGTGTCAAGACAAAAGCATTTTAAGTTTACTCTCTGAATATTGAATGTATGTATATCGTGTTTAAATGTTGTTAAAGCTGTCCATGAACGTAATCGTGATGTGTCTAAAGTAAGCTAAAGTAATCGAGCGGTGCGCTAGCCAGTCAAGTACCAAATGCAGTTGTTAAAGTTTTCCCCCGTACCATATATCAAAGTATGTATTTAGACCATGGCAGAAGACAACCGATGCTCCAATGACAATAAGATATATCAGAATCAACGCTAATACATAATATGTAAATGTTTTTGTTTTATATCATAGTTTATAATTGTTGTGTTCGGTTAACACTCTCTATTTACTCTTGCTTCCTGAGCAATTCGCAGCTAGCCATGAACATTTGCCTCAAATTGTATTAGTAATGCATTTTCCTTAGCCGCGAGGCGAAAGTTTAACTTTTAGTAGCATTCAAGAACATGACTGTAGCAAATTGTATGCTTTATGAAAACCGTCAAAAAGTGAACAAACGAAATAAATTCTGAATTATGTAAATTCGAGTTTGGCCCTCACAATTGTTTCTTGCTGGTTTATGAGATGATTACCTTTGTTGACCAAAAAAAACCGGCACCGTTTAAGTAAGATGTGGGTGCAGCCAGTCTAATGATATCAACTATAGTTATTTTATCGTAGTGTCTTACCTAAAATTATAAATGGCGGAATTGCCGGTATTATTGGCGTGACATGCGTCTATCCACTGGATATGGTAAAGACTCGCCTGCAAAGCCAGCAAATCGGTCCCAATGGCGAGCGCATGTACACCAGCATGTGAGTGGGTTTAGCAGCAGGGATTATTAACTTGCTAGATTAATGTCTTTCCTAAAGTGCTGACTGTTTTCGAAAGACGATCGCCAGCGAGGGATTTTTTGGAATGTACCGGGGCTCCGCGGTCAACATCTTGTTGATCACTCCCGAAAAGGCCATTAAACTGACGGCCAACGACTACTTCCGTTATCAATTGGTCAACGAAGAGGGTGTTGTAACATTGCCTCGAGCGGCATTGGCCGGCGGTCTAGCGGGAATGTTTCAGATCGTGGTCACAACACCCATGGAGTTGCTCAAGATCCAGATGCAGGATGCCGGCCGCGTGGCCGCTGCGGATCGAGCAGCAGGAAGAGAAGTGAAGCAGCGGACGGCCATGGGCTTGACCAAGCAGCTCCTGCGGGAGCGTGGCATCCTGGGTCTGTACAAGGGAATAGGTGCCACCGGAGTGCGCGACATCACCTTTTCCGTTGTGTACTTTCCGCTGATGGCCATTATAAATGACAAAGGGCCACGAAAGACGGATGGCTCCGGTGAGGCGGTCTTCTACTGGTCCATGCTGGCCGGACTTCTGGCTGGGATGACTGCCGCCTTCCTCGTCACTCCAATGGATGTGATCAAGACCAGGCTACAGGCCGATAGCGAGCGTCGGTTCAACGGCATCCTCGATTGTGTGGGGCAGATCCTTAAAAATGAGAGTGTAACGGCATTTTTTAAAGGTGGTCTATGTCGAATGATGGTGGTTGCTCCACTTTTTGGGATCGCGCAAATGTTCTACTTTTTGGGCGTGGGCGAGATGATTTTAGGCATCGAAAAGAAAAAATCTGTGTAAAATCGTTTGAGACAGGGGTTTGCAGTCATTTGTACCATTCCCGTATTTCGTTTCATTATTGTTTCACCTAAAAATGGATTTATGAGAATGTAACTTTTAAATTTTCTTTTAAGGACCTATCAGTTTATAATGTATATATATATTATATATGTATTTATATATAAATGTTCGTCCTTAAAGGCCAAATGAATTTAATTTAAATACAGGTTCAAGAAAAATTAAATGTGTGTATTTGCTTATATGATGTAAATTTTAAACTCTTATAATCAGTATGTAATTTTCAAGAATCAGCCCAAGGTTGATATCCAGCCCATCTCTCTTATCACAATCCTTTCACTCCTGTTACTCCTCAGTTTCTTTAAATCACATCTGCTGGTCGGCTGTTCGGAACAGTTGCATTATCCGTATTCAAGTCCACGTAACGAGCACGGTGCCAGCGAGCCACTGCAGTCCGATACCAATCCAAAAAGAGAGCCTGCCGGTAGAGGATGACGCCCATTTGCAGGATAATGAAGCCCATGATCGTGACCAGGTTAATGTACTCCCATTCGTTCATAATTACAAACACCCAGATGAAGTATACGCGTAGTCCATCGGCCAGCAGGCGGTTGGCACTTGAAGAGTACATCGCAATGAAAAGGCCAACAAAGTTGTAAAAGGCACAAGAGACCGTGAAGCTGATCAGGGCCATAATCAAGGAAGGATTTCCCTGCAGTCCCGCAAAGAGATCGCTCCAATCGTCGAAGACCGCACGCGAGCTGCCGTTAAAGGGACTCACGCTTGGCAAGAAGTGCAAGCAAACGGCCAGAAGCGAGGTGATGATCAAGCCAAAGATTCCTTGCCAACCAGCGGCCTGCAAAGGCGCAACATTCGAGGTCTTGAGCTGCTTCTCCTCGTAAACATACTGTAGACCGTGCAAAATCTCTGCTATGATAATTAGCAAGTCGCCGGTCAGGATGCAATTTTTGTCAGTGTATGGCAATGTAAACTGGTCATATTCCACGCGCTGAACATCCAGACTGATGATGTCTAGCAGACCACAGGATATGGTAAAAATGGCCAGCCAGTGACGACAACTGAGTGTGTGGTTTAAAAACATGGTGCTGAAGATACCCACGAAGATCAGAGCGCCGCCTAAGTGGAAGATGAGTCAACGTAAGCTAAGATAAGGACTGACGGCGACTAATATACGTACCCCTTATCATTTGAAAACTGCTGGCGTAAGTCAAGTAAAGTCCGGTAAACAAAAGAATAGAGGAGACCGCATCCAGCACGGTGGGCAGGAGCATGCTCAAAGGGCTGAATTCGGTGCTATCCGGCGTCAGGATGCTATCCAGATCAGAAATGGTCTGTAGAGTTAAAGGATATTGTTATTTTCTTATAAATAAATCATTCCAATCGGAGTCTCCAAAACGATCACATATTTTCAAATATAAGCAATACGTTTAAGTACAATCAGCGTAAATTTCTTTAACAAATTTATAAACAAATGTTGTATAAAAGTTATGGAGCCCCATTAAGGCAATCCCTAAAGCTTATTTTAAACTGGCTTTTGAGCCGGCTTTTATAGCAACTTACCCCACGACGATTCGAGATCAGGCGAATCACTTTAAAGACCAAAAAGCAAAGGAATTCTCCCAAAAACATGAGCAGGGTGAAGACCACTGGATGCTGGAATCCATGGGGTTTTCCATCGCTGCCAATCACCTGCTGCTGATTGGCCCATCTGCAACACACACAAGCAAACGCATCGAGTGCATATTTGTTATGATGTTTATTCTGGCTATTATAAAAGGGTTTTCGGTACTCACTTCACCACCAGAACGTTGAAGGTGCCGCTAAGCACAAAGACCAGTGACAGAAAAGTACGATGATCCATTCTGCGGCGGAAAATTAACTTTCTGGGCGCAGCGTTCGCTAATTCGATTTACAAATATTGACGTTCTTTGTGCAATTGTGACTGCGCAGTGATAAGTGCAAAAAGTGCGGCCAGGTGGAATAGCTGGCTGCCCTTTAACAGTTGTATATCCTCAAGTGGCTACCGCCACGTAATTTCAATTTAATTTCTCTCGAGCTTACAAATTAAACAACTTGCAATTTTTTGCGATTAGTGCGTATTATTTTGGTTTTTACTGGACTTTTGTTGAACGTTTTCTTGCTTATAGTGTGACCGTGTATCAACCCATGGAGCTGTGCTTTAAATACTAAATAGTTGATTAATGACAAAGAAGGCAAGGTCATACTCTCATGCAACTCGTCTTTTTAAAGAAATGGAGGGATTTTTAAATATGGTATTGTCTTCATATAAATATTTTATTTATTCCTTATCAATTTATTTAGTTAATTTGAATAAATAAATACAGGTAACAGCAAATAGCTTTACTATATTTATCGCTTTTTCTTTTAGAAACACTTTTTTGTTTGTCAAATTAAAATAAGAGTCGGTTTTAAAGTTAAGTTTGCAATATTTACAGGTAAGGTTTGAATTATGTCTACAGATATTAATAAGAAGTATATTTTTGTATTTTGCGTATTAAGTTATACTTACTTTAACAAGTTGAAGTAAAAAAATATTGGCGAAATTGTTTGCAAAGTTTTTATTAAACTCAAACTTAAAAAATATCACAGGATATGAAAAACCATTTAAATGAAAATACATGTTGTGGTAATAGTGCATTTGTAATCCAATAGCTATTAATTTGTCTGCTCTGGCGCTTCTGTGGCGTTCTGCGCTATTTTCCTGTAAATAATTTAAGACTTTTGTATAGTAAAAAATTTTTGTAACATTTCCAGCAAATAATAACAAGCAAAATAACACAATTGGCAACAAAAAAGCGTGTCCTGTCGTCTCACCTGTACTCTGAAGTGTTTTTCATGTGTTGTGATTGTGTTTTTGAGTATCTTGTTTCCTATTCAATTTTCGTGTTGTGCAGTGTAGGTGTTCTTAGAGCTCGTCTCGTGATTGAGAGGACGACGGCAGAGTCACCTCCTCGACGGAGCCCAGGTGAATGGTTCTATTTGGCCGACTGAACTTTGGTATGTAGGCGACCGAATCGCTGTTGCTAACCACCGAGTTGTGTAGATGTTCCGTGGGTGCCGCGGGATCGGGACTAGTGAGTGTGATCTTAGAGCCAGTGGCCACTCTGTGGAATGCATGTAGGTTTGATATTGTGGGTAGTGAGCATTAAGACTGTGGTCAAAACAATAGAGCAAAAGAATTCGCGATTGCATACTATAACATTAGAAACTTTCGAGATTAAATTCCCAAAAATTTGTATTTTCTTGCATTAATAAATTAACAAGATATTTTTTTAGTCTTATGTTTTGATGGTCTAGTTTGCCTTATTTTTGAAAAGAATTGATAGAAGAGCTTAAATGTTTTTGACTTTTTTTAAGAATAAAACGTGAAAACAGTTTAAATGAATCCTAATTTTCAATATTGGTGTCAAACATTTGTAGGACTTTTAACTAAATCTGTGAGTTTTGACCACACCATTATTGTGTCTCCAAACTATTCTACTAAAGGTTAGTAATGCGCTACTTGGCTGGGATTAGGTTTTGGGGAACAGTAAAAAACATCATCTTCTCTCTTGTACCTTCTGTACAGCTTTTGGAGGTGATTGTAGTCGAAGAGGGAAGATCTTAAAGTGGCTGAAAGGTTTCTATTGGCGCTGGCGGGCTCCACCGCGTGCTCCGCGCAATTTTTGGGGGTTTCTATTGCAGATCAAATCGTAATCAGAGATTCGGAATTAGATCCGCCACCTTACCTGTCTCTGGCCTGCATGCTGGCCTCCACATCCAAGCTGCGCGGCTGCCGGAAGTCGCACTCCAACGAGAAGGCCGAGTCTCCTGGGGTGATCAGCTCGGGATCGTTTTGGATCACCACGATGTTCGTGTAGAGGTCACCATCTCGCAATGTCTGGCACTGGTCCAGCTGGAAGTTCATCTCTATGGAGCGGGATCCCTGGCTGGAAGTGGGCTTCATGAAGCACGGCGCCGTCTGTTTGTAGAAGCTGCCACGCGTGTACATCACACCCGTAAAGGGCTTTTCCGTCTCCAGCACCACGTTCATTGAGTCGGCTCCGCACTTGAGGTTCACCTTTTGAATGCCCTGGTCGCTGCCCTCGATTTTAAAGGTGTCCGAAAGGTCTTGTTCCCAGATTTCTGCAATAGGCCGAAACAATTATTTTGGGGATATTTGGTAACATTTTCAGATTTTCCGGTTGTTATTTAACACTTCAATCACTTGTGAAGTAATTAATGTTTCTACTATCTACTGCAATTAAATTTTTTTGAAAAGATGAAGACAGGACACGATTTAGATTTGCATAAAAGTGCATAAAATAATTTAACTTTTGAGGTCACTGAAAAATATATGTATGTGTACATATGTGTATCATATTTAAAAATATAGTATACGAAATAGTAACCAAAAAAGGAGGTTCATTCCAAGATACACATAAGCACTTGTACGCAACTAAATTAACCCAAAAAAATAAGATTATTTTCATTTAAATCATTTTTAAAATTTTAAAAACAGTAATTTTTACTTTCTTTTTAGCCCGTAAAAAATTACTCTTCATTTCTTTTGTTTCCTGCTGTTGGCTTTCTTTATAGAAACAACAGTTACATTTATCTAAGCCTACAATTTCTAGACATTTTACCCAACGAACCGTTGAAGTTCACTCATCTCCCAGAAAGCCGGCATTATTGAGCTCCCCTAACCGGTTTCTGTTTATTTATGTCTGGCAAGAATAACCCGCAGCAAAAGAACTTGGCATTGAAAATTTCTCCACCCAATATGGATGAATCAGTCACAGCCCTTTTTTGTTTACCCGAGTCGACGACCTTACCTTGGTTTTGATGTTTCTTTTGCTTATTGGCCGACACGCTGACAGCCAGCAACACGTTGCAGGCGATCAAAAGCAGAATGCAATTCCGCAATCCCGACATATTGTTGCACTTTAGTATTATCTAACACAAAACGATTAACAGTTGTCGCGGAGTTTTTTGGTTTCGGACACGTCTTTACAGGTGCTGGCCAAGATTTGAACTGACTGCTGATTGCGCCTGCGCAGCGCATATAAACGCGACTCGAAAGCTCGGCTTATTCCTCTCGAGAAAGAAAACTCGAGAAAAAAAGAGGTGACTTAAGAGAAAAAGAGGCGGGTAAGCGGAGAGCAAGTGAGAATTTGGTCAATAGCAGAGCATAAAAATATTTAATTGTACTGCGCTTTTGATAAGGCGAAAATTTATTGGCATCGCCGTGTGGAAAAGCGAAATAAATCCATAAAGAAAGACGGGTTCCGAGGATTTGATCACCAAATACTTATTAAAAAGGTTTGGGGTTAACTAAAATAAATACTTCATTTATAACATTAATAAAATTACCTATATAAGAGTGCACTCGAATGCAGGGTCGTGGAAACAATTAAAATTTTTAGTAAATTGAAAAGGTTTTATAGATAGGGATTTGTTAGATAAATACATTTTTAGGCTACCGGAATATAATAGTAAATGCTGATTTAAATCCTTTTTAAGCTTTGGTAAACTTAAAATACCGTAAACCAGGGTATCAATGTTTATTTAAAGCGGCAGCTTTAGGAAAACAAAATACGGCATCGGTCCAAAGACATTTCCGCTTTTCGCGTGTGGCATGTGGATTTCAGCTTGTGTGCATTCGTTTCGCATTTTTAGCGCTGCATTCAACCGATTTTTTGCTGCCGTTCATTATTCAAAATGTTATTAAACTTCCCCGTTTTTGCGTCTCTGGCTTCGGTTCGATTCGGTTCTCCTTCATGCAACCAATTTAATATTTTGAGCAGTGGTTGGTTTTCCTCTCGCCTCGTCTTGTGGTTTTTGGCGAGTTTTCCACCTGTCTTTTGTTGTTACTTACATCTTTTGTTTTTCGCTTATTGCGTTAATTAAAGTGTAATTAGTTAACGATTCGGTTTGGCCATGCCAGCGAAAGGTGGAAGTGGCTGTTCAATATTGGCCAAAAAATGCATTTACTTCGAGACATTCGTGGAAACTCTGCTGAACATGATTAAGTTGTTATGCCTCCGTGTGATTTTGACTTTAATTGGTAGCTTCAATGTCCAGAGAAATTTGCAAATTGATTTTGGCATTGTTTGACTTAAATTAAATAATAAGTAATGGTACTAGTTTAGTTAATAATGTATTCATGCTGTTTTGTAAACATCTAATCAACGTATTAATCGCTCATTTTATTATTAAATGTTACTCAACTCTGTAGTAAAAGTTTGCTTTGCCAATTAAAATTAATTTAATAACTTTACTTAAAACTTTAATAATATATAATATTTGGGACGTACATATGTAACTATTATAACTGCTATCAAAATGCAAGTCTGTGTAACTTACCTTTCCCATGATTTATGCCACACCTAAATGATTTTTGTTTGAAGTGCTCTTCACTTATCGGTTATTACGATTGTTATTGGTTATCTTTTGCCATTATCACCTGCAAATTAAACGGTTATCAATTTCCACTTGCAAAGTAAATTGATTTTTTTCCCTTTTCAAGCTATCTCAAGTTCATTTCTAGGGCACTATAAATCCGATCAAATAGGTCACTCAGGAAAAAGAAAAACACCTTTAAACATTGCAATTAAAGTCTTTATTTATGTCGTTTTGTTTTTGGGTTATCCTCAATGTTTACTTCTTCTTCAATGCTGCCCAATAGACCGCCAGTTCGTTGCCCTCCCAATCGAATTGTTTAGTCAAAACACTGAAAATGAAAATGAAAAATTTACATAATGCCTTAATAGAGAGGATCGTGAAAATTAGCCAGCAAATAAAGTGGGGAAAATGGAGGAAAATCACCGCACATATTCGTAATGCCCGTGGTATACGAAAACGGAGAAGTGGAGAGACCAACAAGTTCAACATTGAATCGGGAAAAATCGAGGAGACTTTGGCACAGTGGGAAGTGGTCGGTAATCGATGAGGAGGGGGAAAACGATTGGGAAGAGGTTGTCTGGTGCCTACTGCACCGATGGCCAAGATTGACAATGATCATGCACACACACATATGTGTGCACATATAAATGTATGGACAACTAAACGAGGAGTGGACCACAAACCGCAGGGAAGTGGAAATGATGTAATGGTAACATTGTATCCGAGTTGCACAATTTTCGCTGTGCCGCTTTTGGCCAACTTCCGAGTGGCCGCACACTCACTTTTCTTTCAGGTATCGCAGCACTTCCTGCTCCTTATCGTTGAGTCCCAGTTCGAAGGCCTCCAGGTTGATCCGCAGCAGCTTGCGTGTCTGCATGCCCGTGAGGAAGGTGCTCACCTCGGGCAGACCCTTCATAGTGTAGAACATGGCCAGTTTGCCCAGCTCCACTCCCCGTTCCTTGCAGATCTCCGAGGCTTTCCGGGCAATGGCCTTTTGGTCATCACTGGCCGGATGCCACGGCTGGGGTCCATCGTTGGTGAGCATGCCGAGGGCATGGGCTGCGGCACAGATGACTCCCAGGTTCTGGGACTTGAAGAAGTCCAGGTATTCCAGCAGCGTTTCATCAATTAGGGTGTACCTGGCATAGGTAAGGACCGTCTAAAAAGAAAGTCATTAACTACATAAGGGAAGAAAACAATTTTAAAAAAACGTACATCCAATCTTCCCGCCGCTCGGGTTAGGAACTCCTTAAGGATCGAGATCGGGTATGCAGACACTCCAATAAACCTGGCCTTGCCCTCTTTAACCAGCTGCTCTAGAGTTGGCAGCGTCTCATTGATCACAATATCCAGATCCTTCGCAAACTCGATGTCATGAATCTGAATAACGTCTACGTAGTCAAGGCCCAGCAACTTCAGACTTTTCTCGACGCTCTCGCGGGTTTTCTTGGCACTAAAGTCGAACATGTTCTCGTAGTCAAGTTCATAGCGAGCCACTTTGGTGGCAATGTAGTAGGACTCCCGAGGCACATCCTTCAGAGCCTTGCCGAGGACCTCCTCCGAACGACCCTGTCCGTACCAGGGGGCCGTGTCTATATAATTTATGCCCGATTTCAGCGCTTCATGAACTGTCTGGATGCCTTCTTCAAGATCAAAGCTAAAAATAAAACATTTTTTGTAAAAAAAATATTAAACAGAGGTTGAAATTTTGTTGAAAACTTTCAAATCTTTTGGGATTTTAATATTCGTTGTAAACCAAAATTATTTTAAAGTTAACCTTACGCATTTCATTGAATGGCAAACTATTCACTATTTTGTTTTTCTCTGTGCAAAGATTAATTCAATCGACAAAGATCTCTCTTACCCATAGTTGGCGCAGAGGGCGCCGCCTCCGAAAGAGACTTTCGAGACTTCCAGGCCGGTCTTCCCGAGGCTGCGGTACTCCATTCGCCGCACCTTTGCCTCATCGTGGAAACCCTTGACATATGTGGCCGGTAATGTTCCAGACATTATTGATAATCCCAATGTATATATTTCGCCCTCTGTTGAAATTCGATCGCCAGTCGACCAAGTACTGCCTATAGATTGCCAGATGTTTAGCTTATATTTCGTTAGTCAGAGAACACATCTTATCTAAGAGAAATGTAGACAAACTCGCAGTACCTTTGTATTTGTGTGGGCAGGAGCGGTTTTAAGTATTTATACAGTTGATATAAGTGCATAATATCAAAAGAGTCACATTGAGAATGTTTTTGAGGAGCGTAATTTTCTTGACTTTCTTCTCTTACTCTCTCTGCTTCTCCCATTACAAACAAAACAAACTTTAGGAGGTAAATTAGTGTGATTTCAGTGTTTGTATAAACAAAACACAATAATAAAATTTGAAGTGCTGTTACTGTATATGTGCGCAATCATTAGCTTTTACCTGGTACCGCAAGCTGATCTGCATCTGAACCTGGGCTTATCTTGAAAAAAAATATAAAAAAACCATTGGCTGGATTTTTATGCATTATTTATTTATAAACGTAGCTTTAAATGAGAGAGAGTAGTTTACATAGAAACCGACAGGAGGGCTGACGGACCGACGGACAGACGTATTTCGATTCAGATCGTGATGCTGATCAAGAATATATATACTCTTTGGGGTCTGAGGTGTATCCTTCACTGCGTTCCAAACTTCTGACTGAAATTATAACACCCTTTGCTCTGCAACAAAACATATCTTACATAAAATACAAATGGTATTTCGTATTAAGGCTTTATTTGTCCAATCCCAACATTTAAATAGGGAATCCTTCTTATATTTTTTATCGGTTTTTTTTTAAATCAGCTTATATTACATATACATATGTATGTTGCGGAACCGACATCATCATTCAACGAATGTCAAAACCTAAATAGATTAATTGTTAATACAAATGGACAAATTCGCGTTTTCTGTAAAATTATTTATTTATTTATTGACTTTCTTTTAATTTTGAGATAATTTTGGTTTTACAATAGTTTATTGAATGCATTTAAAATCCATTCTTCCTGTTTTCCGATGTATTCCTTTCTTGTTCAAATCTCAAGTTCGTTTTCCCATTTGGTTGACCGTTCACTTAAACATGTTAACTGTGGACAAAGTGGAGCCCCAGCTGTAGGATTTGGTAAAAACACTGAAAGAAAGGCAGACAAATTAGTATATGTTTTAGATAATCATGTAAATACATGTAGTCTTAAACAGTCTGGACTGGATATAGTAAATGTCAAACCAGTTTGGTCGGGCTGAGGCCAAGTTCGTGCCCGTGATGCAATTGCTAACACCAAAGTCGACTTGCACAGTTCCCTGTTTGGCGTAACCAGTTGTTGGCCAACTTACTTTTCGCGCAGGTATTGCAGCACTTCCTGCTCGTGGGGAGTCAAGCCATCGATGACTGCATCCAAGTTGATCCGCAGCAGCTCTCGGTTCGGGATGCCGATGAGGAAGGTGGCCGCACCATCGAGCTGCATGGTGTAGTACATGGCCAGCTTGCCCAGCTCCACGTTCCTCTGCTGGCAGATCTCGGCTGCCCGTTTGCCAACGGCCAGAAGTTCCGGACTGCCAGGATGCCAGGATTGTGGTCCTGCATTGGTCAGGAGTCCCAGTGCGTGGGCGGCTGCGCAGATTATTCCAACACCCAGCTCTTGGAAGGTCTTCATGTGGCGCAGCAGTGTGTTGTCCAGGAGAGTGTACCTGGAGTAGTTGAGCACCGTGTGGACGCGACCCTTCGCCCGCTCGGCACACTCCTTCAGAACGTCCACATCGTAGGCGGTGATTCCGATGAACCTGGCCTTCCCTGCCTTAACATACTCCTCCAGGACAGGAATGGTCTCATTGAGCACCATGTCCAGACTGGGTGCGGCGTCCACATCGTGAACCTATGAAAAAAAGGCACATCAGTTGGTGATTTACTCAACCAACTGGGTAAATCCCACCTGCAGTATATCCACCCGGTCCAATCCCAGTAGGTTCAAACTACGCTTCACACTTTCCCGGGCTTTCTCTGCCGTATAGTTAAACATCTTCGCGGGATCCATCTCGTAGCGCGCCACTTTGGTGGCTATATAGTAGGCCTCGCGAGGCACATCCTTTAGCGCCTGGCCGAGAAGCTCCTCCGAATTGCCGTAGAAGGGAGCGGTGTCTATATAGTTGATACCGGACTTAATCGCCTCGTGCACCATACGAATTCCCTCTTCACGATCAAAGTCGTTGGAGAAAAGCTTGGAGAGGGTGGCACCGCCAAGCGCAATTTTGGAGACTCGCAGACCCGTGGATCCCAGTTGGCGGTACTCCATTCGACGCACCTTCTCCTCATCGTGGAAACCCTTGACGAAAGTGGCTGGCAGAGATCCCGACATCTTCTACTATTCAATGTACAAGTTTAAATAGACAATTGATTTAGCAAAACTGCGCTTTTATAGCTGAGTTCTGTGGTTTCAGTTGTAGATAAGAACTTTCAGAGGGGCTCTCTTTTAGAAATGCTCTCTTCTTGATAAGCTTTGGAAGAGAACACACTCTTTTTGAGTACCTTGTGCTTGCATATACATATATAATATTGTGTTGTGTTTGTACCAACAAACGGTTCAGTATATCATTTTATTATTGTGAATAAATGTGTACAAACCTTACACTAGAAAAAATAGGGTGGGAATCCACACCAGTCAATTATTTTTGATCTTGGTTCGAGACTTGGTGATATATACAAACTAAGAAAACCAACTACAAAACGCTTCGGTTGTCGTCTTTTCAATATTTTTATAATGTATATTTCTGATTTATTTTATTAATATTTATTCTAAAAAAAATTTTTTAACCTAACTCAGTTGCGAGAAACAAACTAAAAGGATGCGTCTGTCCGTCCGTGCAGATCGTGATGCTGATCAAGCTACAGTCGAATCCCGATAATTCGTACCCCGTTAAATCGAAAATCGCGATAATTCGTAAAAAATTCTGTTCCCTTGAAAAAAAATCCTTTGAAAAAAATCTCGATAAATCGAATTCCCGTCTAATTCGTAAAAAAAGTGATCCCCCTGCCATTTCGAATTATCTGGACTCGACTGTATAAGATATAGTCATCCGATTTTATGAAACTAAATTCGAAATTCAAAAGTCTTAAAAAACACCATCTGAAAAAATCATGCCGATATATAAAAAATCAACGGCGTGTTTTTTTGTTAATTAATAGACTCGGCCAGAAGGTAATAAAATGCATTCGCTGAATACTTTTTCGTATTTTATTTAGTTTGCTGCGAGTTAACTCGGCATAACTCAAAACGTCCCCACTTCAATGTAATGTATTCTTTACGAGACAACAACTATTTTAGAAGCCAAAACATTTTTACTGAGATATATATGGATCAATTTTAAATATACTAAAAATTTACAACCGAAAATGGCTCGAGGAAAGCAAATCACAAGGGGCCTTAAATCCTGAAGTGCAGGCAGAACGCAAGTATGACGAGAATAGCATCGACTTGAGGTAGATTGGAGTTATTTCCACTGCAAATAAAATAAAGTTTTTAAAGGCTACATAGTTAAAGTAAGGTTTAAGTACTCCTTCGGTTTTGGAACATTTTTTTTGAACTCCCCATATGCATTTACTCGTGGCAAATACCGCACTACTACGTAGAAGCCTCCTTTTTCATCTTTGGCTTGGCCAAAACCCATTTTCTTGGCTTTTTTCCACACCAAGGCGGTAAAATGTGCTGTTTTCGCGTCATACCCAGGCTTGCTAAAATCATAATCTTTGATTTCATCGTACCAGTCTTGAACACATTTATGGGGATCTTCATCCCGATAGCACAAGTTTTCGCCGTATACTTCCCGAATTGCATCTCTTGAAGGTTTAATTTCTCCCATGCTCCTAAGCTCCTGTTGACGCGTTTGATGAAGTAAATTAATAATCCCTATAATTTAAGAACACAAGGGACATACTCTAGCATAGTTCTCACAATCACGGGTTAGCTCGTCGTCCAGTTCCAGTGCCGGACAGCCGTGTTTTTCCCTCAACTCGTTGTGCCTGTCAAGGGCTTTCGACTTGGGGCTGGCGTCGACTACCAAGAGCTGTAAGTATTCACGTTATAAATGTTTGTGTTCCGGAAAATTTGAAATTTATTTATTTTTTTTTTACCCAACAGAAAGCCAGAACTAGTAATGTGTTCACCAAAGCCATTTCTAGTGTTATGCACAAAGTAAGTATGAATGCTTTGACAAGTCTCAGATTGTTGTAAGATATTCGGCCTCGGGTACCATGATCACAAAATAGTTTTCGATACGTTTATCTTGTCTTTACCGGGTGAACTTTTACTGAAAGTTAAACACGAGTTTATAAAGCAATAAAGCTAAAGTAAGAACAAAATACTCGATCGCCCTCGGAACATTTTCTTTCAATTTTCCATTCACATTTACTGGTGGATAATATCTTGCTACCACGTTGGTGTTTCCTTTTGCATATTTGATTTGGCCATAGCCCATTTTTTTGAATTGCATTTACAGGACTGGTATAGTCATAATCAGCGAATTTATCGTACCGATATTGAACAATTTTTTCGGATTTTTTAGACCAATAGCACAAGCTTTCCCCATATTTTGGTCCTGCAGCGCTTGAATGTTCCTTTGTCGGTCAGCTCCTATAAAAGCGATTCATATGGTTAATTAACAAGCCGAAGCTTATATACCTTTGCAGTTATCATTAATATCGAGCGAAAGGAGTTCAAGCTAAACCATATCAAAGCATGATAATTTTTTTTTAATTTTTAATATTTTCACAATTTGATCCTATGATAGCTATATGAAATAGTTATCCGATTTTGATAAAACTTAATTCGAAATTCGATAGTAGTTAAAAAATACCATCTGGAAGAAGTCAAGTCGATATGATCAAAATCAACGGGGTGATCTTTTTTTTTTTCAATCGTATGGGAGCTATCCGATATAGTCGCCCGTTCCGGCCCGTCCGAACCTACATATGATACAATACACAGCGTGCAATAACTACACAACTTATGGTAAAGTTTCAGCATGATATCAATATAACTGAGAGACTAGTTTACATAAAATCAGACTGACCGACATACGTACTCGTCTATGTCAGTTCAGATAGTGATGCTGATCAAGAATATATATTTATTTTAAGAGGTGCGTTGCAAACTTCTGACTGAAAAAAGAAAGGAAGCTAGCTTCGGCAAGCCGAAGCTTATATACCCTTGCAGTTATCAAATATATCGTATATAATCAGAGCTATGACGATATAACTACAGACGTATTTCCATTTAGAAACTTTTGCTTTATACAAATCCGTGTTTCTTTCTAAACTGGTTGTAGTTGTTAAGGCTTTCCTCCTTTGAGCCAGCTTTGACCACCACAAGCTGTAGGTAACCTCGTTATAAATGATTGTTTTCTAGTTTAATATTATATTTCAATATTTTTAGATTCACCCAACAAAAAGCTATAACTAATAATTTGTTTACCAAAGGCATTTTTATTGCAGTGTATATTGACATGTTTCAGATTGCTATAAGAATGTACATCAATTTGGAAGGAGTTAAAAACAAGAAAGGAAGCTAGCTTCGGCAAGCCGAAGCTTGTATACCCTTGCAGTCATCAAATATGTCGAACAAAATACATAAAGGCTAAACAAAGGCCATTATTTTCCATATTTTCAACAATTGATTTTAATATTTTAATAAAATTTAATACCCAGTTCAAGAGTCATTGGAAAACTCTATATTCCAAAAATCATGCTTGTCTGAAAAAAAAACAACGATGTCGATATCGATTTTTCGAACTTTCCTATGGCAGCACATGATAAAGTTGTCGGATTGTAATAAAATTGTTTTCTCGATTCAAGGGTTATTAAAAAACTCCATATTTTGAAAATCATGCTCGAGGGACAGATGGAAAGAGGTATTTCGATGCAGATCGTGATGCTGATCAAGAATATATAATATATACTTTATGGGGTCTAAGGTGACTCCATCACCGCGTTGCAAGCTTCTGACTGAAATTATAATACTTTGCAAGGGTATATTCAAAATTCAATATTCCAAATTTATGGCTGTGTGATAAAAAACAATTACCTTGTGATTATTGATTGATTAATTTGATAAAGATTTTTCGAAGTTTTTTTGGCAGATAGCCATCGGATTTTATGAAACTTAATTCGAATTCGAATTCAAAAGTCTTAATGAACACCATCTGAAAAAATCATGCCAATGCCAATAAAAATCAAAGTCGTTTTTATTATTACAATTTCCGTCAAAAAATTAAAAAAAATAGACTCTGCTCGAAAGTAATACAAAAAAAACCATTCGCTGAATAATTTGTCGTATTTTATTTAGTTTGCTGCGAGTTTATTAGGCATAACTCAAAACGTCCCCATTTCAATGTAAAGTATTCTTTACGAGACAACAACTATTTTAGAAGCCGAAACATTTTTACTGAGATATATATGGATCATTTTTAAATATACTAAAAATTTACAACCGAAAATGGCTCGAGAAGAGCACGGCACAAGGGGCCTCAAATCCTGAAGTGCAGGCAGAACGCAAGTATGACGAGAATGGCATCGACTTGAGGTAGATTGGAGTTATTCTTTCCACTGCAAATAAAATATAAGTTTTTAAAAGCTACATAGTTAAAGTAAGGTTTAAGTACTCCTTCGGTTTCGGGACATTTTCTTTGAACTCCCCTTCTACATTTCCTTGTGGCGAATACCGCGCTACTACGTAGAAGCTTCCTTTTTCATCTTTGGCTTGGCCAAAACCCATTTTCTTGGCTTTTTTCCACACCATGGCGGTAAAATGTCCTGTTATCTTTTTATAACCAGGCTTGCTAAAATCATAATCTTTGATTTCATCGTACCAATCTTGAACACATTTATGGGGATCTTTAGACCGATAGCACAAGTTTTCGGAGTATAATCCATTAGCAATTGAATGTTTAATTTCTCCCATGCTCGTAAGCTCCTGTTGAATCGTTTGATTTAGTAAACTAATAATCCCTATAATTTAAGAACACAAGGGACATACTCTAGCATAGTTCTCACAATCACGGGTTAGCTCGTCGTCCAGTTCCAGTGCCGGACAGCCGTGTTTTTCCCTCAACTCGTTGTGCCTGTCAAGGGCTTTCGACTTGGGGCTGGCGTCGACTACCAAGAGCTGTAAGTATTCACGTTATAAATGTTTGTGTTCCGGAAAATTTGAAATTTATTTATTTTTTTTACCCAACAGAAAGCCAGAACTAGTAATGTGTTCACCAAAGCCATTTCTAGTGTTATGCACAAAGTAAGTATGAATACTTTGACAAGTCTCAGATTGTTGTAAGATATTCGGCCTCGGGTACCATGATCTCAAAATAGATTTCGATACGTTTCTCTTGTCTTTACCGGGTGAACTTTTACTGAAAGTTAAACACGAGTTTATAAAGCAATAAAGCTAAAGTAAGAACAAAGTACTCGATCGCCCTCGGAACATTTTCTTTCAATTTTCCATTCACTTTTACTGGTGGATAATATCTTGCTACCACGTGGTGTTTCCTTTTGCATATTTGATTTGGCCATAGCCCATTTTTTTTGGAATTGCATTTACAGGACTGGTACAGTCATAATCAGCGAATTTATCGTACCGATATTGAACAAATTTTTCGGATTTTTTAGACCAATAGCACATGTTCTTATATTTTGGTCCTGCAGCGCTTGAATGTTCGAATGTTTCTTTGTCGGCCAGCTCCTATAAAAGCGATTTATATGCTTAATTATTAGCCGAAGCTTATATACTTTTGCAGTCATCATTAATATCGAGCGAAAGAAGTCAAAATTAACGCAGTGATCATTTTGTTTTCAATCTCTGGTATGGGAGCTATCTGATATAGTCGCAATAACTACACAACTTTAGGTAAAGTTTCAGCAAGTTACTTATATAATATGTATTACTGAGAGATTAGTTTACATAGAATCAGACTGACGGACATATGTACGTACTCGTCTATGACAATTCAGATAGTAATGCTGATCAAGAATATATATTTATTTTACATCAAATACAAATAATTTGTAATACATCTAATAGTAATGTTTAAAGCCTCTTATATGTTCAAACTAAACAAATAAATAAGAAATCAATTTTATTATTTTAGTTCGACTCATATTGAATCAGCTCATATTGAATATGTATGCTGCGGAACCGCCATCATATCCAGCAACCGGAGTCAAAATCTGTAGAGTTTAATAAATAACAAAAATCGATAAATTTACATTGTCTATTAAATTGCTTATTTATTTCTTAACTTTAATTTTTTCAAATCTTGATTTTAATAATATGTATTTTATTAAATTAATTTTAAATCCGTTCTTCACGTTTTCCGCAGTCCCTGTGTTCCCTTCTTATCATTTGGTTGACCGTTCACATAAAATTGTTAATTGCGGACAAAGTGGAGCCCCAGCTATAGGATTTGGTAAAAACGCTGAAAAAAATGGAGAAAAATAAGTACATGTTTTAGGTATAAGTGCAGACTTAGCCAACTTACTTTTCGCGCAGGTACTGCAGCACTTCCTGCTCGTGGGGAGTCAAGCCATCGATGACTGCATCCAAGTTGATCCGCAGCTGCTTTCGATTCGGGATGCCGATGAGGAAGGTGGCCGCACCATCGAGCTGCATGGTGTAGTACATGGCCAGCTTGCCCAGCTCCACGTTCCTTTGTTTGCAGATCTCGGCTGCCTGTTTGCCAACGGCCAGGAGTTCCGGACTGCCAGGATGGGTAGGTGTTGGTCCAGCATTGGTTAGGAGTCCCAGCGCGTGGGCGGAGGCGCAGATTACTCCAACGCCCAGTTCCTGGAAGGGTTTCATGTAGCGCAGCAGTGTGTTGTCCAAGAGGGTGTATCTGGAGTAGTTGAGCACTGTCTGGACGCGTCCCTTCGCTCGCTCGGCACACTCCTTCAGAACGTCCACATCGTAGGCGGTGATTCCGATGAACCTGGCCTTTCCTGCTCGAACGTACTCCTCCAAAACCGGAATAGTCTCGTTCAGCACCATATCCAGACTGGGTGCGGCGTCCACATCGTGAACCTGACACAAAAAGTCACATCAGTTGATGATTTACTAATCAAACTAGGCAAACCCACCTGCAGTACATCCACCCTGTCCAATCCCAGCAGGTTGAGACTCCGTTTTACACTTTCCCGAGTTTTCGCTGCCGTATAGTTAAACATCTTCTCGGGATCCAACTCGTAGCGCGCCACTTTGGTGGCTATATAGTAGGCCTCGCGAGGCACATCCTTTAGCGCCAGGCCGAGTAGCTCCTCCGAGTCCCCGTAGAAGGGAGCTGTGTCTATATAGTTGATACCGGACTTAATCGCCTCGTGCACCGTGCGAATTCCCTCCTCCCGATCAAACCCTTTGAAGAAGAGGTTGGAAAGGGTGGCACCGCCAAGGGTGATTTTGGAAACTTGCAGACCCGTGGATCCCAGTGGTCGGTACTCCATTTGACGCACCTTCTCCTCATCGTGGAAACCCTTGACGAAAGTGGCTGGCAGAGATCCCGACATCTTCTACTATTCAGTGTACAAACTTAATGAACAATTGTCTCAGCAGAACAGCGCTTTTATAGGCTGAGTTCTATGTTTTTAGTTGCAGATAAGAACTTTGAGAGGGGATTTCTCTTTTAGAAAGGTTCTCTTTTTGATTAGCTTTGGAAGAGAATAAACTCTTTTTAAGTACTTTGTTTTCGCAAATACATATTTATAAAAATGTGTGTTGTGTTTGTACCAATAAACGGTTGGTAGATTGTTTAATTAGTATTAATGTACTGCAAAAATTTGGACGATAATTGTATCCCCTATCGCCTAGAAGTCACCTTTTAGTCACTTCTGAAAGTTAGAATAACAATTTTACAACTACAATTATACGAAAACAACTATTTCACAAGTCACTTCTAGAAGTTTGAATGAAGATAAGAAAGCAATAAATGTATGTATTTAGTTTTTGTAAAATGATTTCCTTTGCTTGGACGCCGGTACTGCTTGTGGTTAACAGGAGGTCTCAAGAATTCACTGTTTTTCCTATTTTACTAAAAAAAATTTGTCCTTTTTTTTTACCCACATCTCATTTCGAGACAAAAAAAATTGTATAATTTTTAAAGGTTGTTTGTTTATTTTCATTTGGAGTTTTCATTGGTCTCATTTTTGGATGATATAGAGTTGAAAAATAATAAATCTCCTACTTTTAAAGAGCAAAGGGTGTTATAATTTTTAATAAATATAGTAAAAATATGTTCTAGAATTTATTGTCCAATTGGAAAACTCTTCTGGGTAACTTTTGCAAGTGTCGCGGAAGTCACTTCTAAAAGACACTTCGGAAGACACTTCTGGAAGACACTTCTGGGAGACACTTCTAAGTTACTTCTTGAAATGACACTGAAGAGTTACAGTTCTTCCCGAAGGACGTCACTTCCGCGATGCGAAAGCTTTATCCTTTTCAACTTCTAGAAGTGAGTAAATAGTGTGCTGCAGGCAAATACACTAGGAAAAATGTACGATTGAATAGTTAATTATTTTCAATCTGGATTTGAGACCTTGGTCAGAAATTTAATCTAGCAAAATTCATATTGACAATCCTGCTGTCACAGCAAATGTATACAGTCGACTCTCGTTAATTCGAAACTCGAGGGACTCTTGAAATATTTCGAATTATCGAGTGTTTGAAATATCAAATGGTTCGAAATTTCGAAATTTTCGAAAGAATTTTGTTATACTGGCTTGCTTTAAAGCACAATTCTGCTGCGCACACTGCTCAATAACTTTTTTAAGAGAAAAAGTGCATGAAATACTTTTTCATCACTTTCGTTTTGTAGACATAAGCTTTGTAAGGTATAAAATGAGGATCTTGCTTCCTTAACTGACACCTCTGCCAAAGGTTCTTTATACTTTCTAGGGCTCATAGCTAACATTTACTTTTAATATGCATACCAACGAAAGAGTAACAGTAACTGAATAACTACGCAAACCAATTCGTAGGAAGTGTGTGCGTCAAAAACTACATAATCAAAACAAAAACAAAGGCAAGTTTGAACTTGTCGCAAAATTTTTTCTCTGCAACTTTGAATTGTCGAGTGTTAGACGCTGATGAGTTCGAATTAACGCGTGGTTTTGTTAAATATCAATGATTTTTTCGTTCGAATTACCAAGTGTATGAAAATGTATTGATTTAGTTCGAAATATAAAGAGATTTCGTAGGGACCTCGTGATAACTTTGAATTATAGAGAGGTTCGAATTATCGCAGGTTTGAATTAACGAGAGTCGACTGTATTTTTATACATTTGTCTTAATGAATTCGCGTCAAAAAAACGGTTGGAGTATTCGATGTAACATTTTGAAACCACGGACTCGAACCATTTTCACAATTTTGGTTATTAAATACGCTATTTTTTAATACTATTTATTTTATTTATCAGAGAAGATTCTGAGCTTGTTGTGGCTTCCAATCAATTGACAAATCGTTAAGAGTAAATATAAATATATGCTTTATATATCATGTGCTTGAAGTAGGGACGAGGGCACCGCTCAGAAGAAGTCGTCGAAGTCGCCCTGCGGCTGATATCCGGCTCCAGGTGGGATCAGTTGGGGTCGCTGCTGCTGGCGCTGGGGGCGTGGCACGATGATGTCGTTGATCTCGTGGATAACGCCATTGGTGGCCACCACATCACACTTGGTGACGCCGGCGTTCTCGATCTTGGGACGGCGATCGCGGGTGATGCGCAGATGTTGGCCGGAAATGGACTCGATGGAGCGGACAAACGGCCAGTTGGTGGGAATAATGCCAGTACAGCAGACAACATCCTCCACGATGTGGGTCTTGACCAAGGCCGTGGGATCGGTGGGCTTCAAGCCCTCAGCTGAGTCGTTCAGTTCCTCGAAGACATCGTTCTTGGGCACCAGCAGAGTGAGACTCCTCGAGTCGTTGGACAGCAGCTGGGTGAGATTGGCCTTGCGCACCAGTTCCAGGAACTTGCTGTAGTTGGGATTAGCCTCCAGCACTTTCAGAATGTTCTGGGGAATCAATTTAGGAAAAATTTAAAGGGAAATCTTAGATTGAATCCACTGATGACTTACATTCTTGGGTGGCGCCAGGGCACGATCCACCTTATGGAGCACAGATCCGCAGCTTTCGTGGTCAAAGTGCACCAAGCGAGCGCAGTTAACCGTGGCGCGGTTCATCACATCCGAGAAGAGGGCATGAGTAGAGTACAGGTTCAGACGCACACTTGGTCCAGCCACCGTGGGCAAGGACTTCTCGGTAAGATCACAGGTCTTGATCATCGGTTTGACCACATGGTAGTTGAGGAACTCCAGCAGGTCCAGGTTGTGGTTCAGCAATTCCGGTTTCTCCGTAAGCATGCGAGCCCACTCCGTGTTCTGCAAGGCCTTGTCGGTGGGTGCGAAAACGGTCACGTTGTCCAGATCATCGAACTGATCATCGTAGCCAGAGGCCTCCAGCAATCGCTGGAAGATGGTCAGGTTGTTGTGGGACATCAGCGAGGTCATGGGCAGAGCAGATTCCGTGGGGAGGATGGTGTCGATCACGTGCAGCACACCATTGGTGCCCATGATGTCCGCATCGATGATCTTGGCCAGATTGTTGATGTAGATCGGAGCAGGTCCGGTCTGGTTGGCAGCCAGGCGGGTGCGGTTGAGGAGCAGTGGCTCTCCCAGAAGGTTGTAGGCGGTGGTCTTGGCGCCAGGAACAGTGGCCACCGAGCAGAAGGTCAGGTCAAGCAAGTGGTTCTTCAGAATGTCTATGATTTAAAGGATAGCTTATAAAGTATTGAACTTCTTCTTGTGGAATCCTGCAACTCACTTGAGGCACAACCACGACCCTCCTTGAGAGCACGACGCAGATGCGGTTCCAGTTTGTCGAAGGCGGCATCGGTGGGCACAAAGATGGTCACCGGCTTCTCATCCTCCAGCAGGGCACTCAGATTGGTCTTCTCGAGAACAGTGCGCATGATGGACATGTCCGCTCGCTCCCTGATGATGTCCATGATGTTCTTGGTCAGTGGCTTCAGCACTCCATCCAGGGTGTGGACGAGGGCCTGCTCCGACAGCTTGTCGTGCTTCTCGATGGGCACACAGTTGGCGGCATAGCGATAGGGTTCCAGTCCCAGAGCAGCCGGCAATTGGTAGCTGTTGATGCGGATCTTCTGGTCGGGCAGCTCCGTCTGCAGGAGCTTCTCGTTGGGCACATCCTCCAGCTGGACTTCACCGAGCACAGCGTGCAGTTTGTAGATGGAGGGTTTGGATGATTCGCTCTTGGAGTCCTCAACGTTCTATTATTTTAAGAGGAAAACATTTATGTTGTATGTTCTTTCAATTCAAAAGTTATAAAAAGAAAACTACGATTTGTAAAGCTCCTAACGAACATTTTTACATATTTTTTTAACTTATGTGTTTATATTATTATTTTATTTTTAAAACTCCCAGTTTTGCAAAGTGGTTGACCATGGTAAAGACAATATATAACATATTTTAATTTTCATATTGATTATTCTGTTGGTAATTAATGTATGATTACTTATTAGTTGAATGACAGCCTTTTTTGTTATATTATTTTTAAGGGTCTACTCACGTTCTCCTGCTGTTGGTGACCGCGGTACTCCACAAAGGCGGCGTCGTTGGGCACGAAGAGGGTGACCTTCTTGCCACTTCCTCCGCCCAGCATCTCGGCCAGCTCGCCGGCACTTCGGGCACTCTCGATGAACTGCTTGGCTCCCATGTCACTGGCCGTGGCCTCCACGTCCTTGATCTCGATCTTCTCGCAGGGCGTCGTGAAGTCAGCGTTCCTTGGGCGTCCATATCCATAGCAACATTGGCGAGTCAGCGTCAGCGTTTTCTTCTTGCCATTTTGATTAACACTGGAGGGGAGAAAATATTCAATAGATTAAGTAATATTTTATAATTCCTCCTTGGCAATCTCCTTACATCTTGGTGCAGACGTGCTTGTTGGGCTTTTCCGCGCAGGAATTAACGCTGAACTGGAATTGGCCAAAGAGTGGGGATCGCACCACGTTGGTAACGCCATCACGTTCCTGGCCAAAGGTGTCCACTGTTTCTTCAGCCTCCGTCTCGCTGGCCACGGTATCGTCTTCCTCCTTTTCGGTGCACACATTGGGTCTGCATATGATAAAGCGGAAAATTAGTTATTGGTTAATAATTTGCTTTGGCAAGCTTTGGGGAAGTGGGTCAAAAAACTGGTTCATGACTAAACTAAGCTATCGCCAATATAAGGATTTCTAAGCCTCGAAAAATATCGGTAGACTAAAATAGCATTTAAAGTGCAATAGGTTAAAGCTATCAATATTCCATTTAAAAATATATTTATAATATTTTATTCATATTTTTCTTGTTAACTTTTCTAGAAAATCTCAGATCTACAAATTCCTTGCTAATTACCTAGTCATATATCATACGTGTAAATTGAAATTCCAAAGTACTCTATTCCTATAATTCTACCTCAATCGAACGAATCAAACCTAGCCAAAGGCATAGTATATAAATCAGTCGGTTCATCAGCACTCGCTAACTGAATGTTTGCCAAATGGATTTGCACAATGCTCCCACATAGAAAGAAAAGTTATACTATAGAAACCTACTTCTATATAAAAGCGTTTGTGTGTTGGCTTAACAGCTTTGCCAGTCCATCAATTCAATTATGGCAACGATGAGACTTGTATTTTGGTTTTTGAATGCGAACTCATTGTGTGCGTAATTTTTAGAAATTTCCCACTGAACCATAGACATACTATACGTTCAAATATATACAAGTGTATATTTTCGTTTTTATGCAGCTAATTTTTCAATTTGCCACATCTCTGACTTTCATTTCACTATGCCCACAACAACGAGTTCATTGCTCACTGCAAAAACGACGACGGGCTGATTTCACAATTTAGAAAAGTGCAAGCTAGGCTGTAAAAAACTATTTATTCGTGCACTTATCCAATATAGGAGGCACTATATGTTCGTTTACTTTACTTATATATATAATATATATTCAGTGCCCAGCTGGTTGGACAATTAATCGAAGCAGCAATCAAGCCCTAGAAATATTAAGCAGCCTCAGCTGGCAGCAATCTCGGATGGAAAATTATTTAAGTATTTATTATTTAATTGATATGCTCGATTGCCGCTACAATGGCGATAAGCCAGCCAACTTTACACAATTAGAGAATACTATTGAAGACACAATACATTATACAACCGTGCTTAATAGGTCGAATGAACTTGACATTGTGCTCTCTTAATTGCCAAATGCCAAGAACGGCGAACGCAGAATCACTCGAGTGCGGTGATTAGGAAAGACGCGAAATTACTGACCATAACTGCGGGAATTATCAACCATCGAGAAGCTGGGAGGGGGCACTATTTTCCTGGGACTCCCCTCGATAAATGGTACTCACCCCTTCCACCAGGGCTCCTGGGCAGCTCCAAAGCCAAAGCCTCCGAAGGAGTTGAAGAACTCATTGCCAAAGAAGGGGAACGACTGCTGGAAGAATATGGCCGGGTTGGGGGCATTCACATCCGTCGTTATGGTATCCACATCTGCGAAATAAGGAAATCCAATTAAAGCAAGTTGCTTATGATACAAAAGAAAAAATCATCATAATTTGATGCCTCTAATTATAATCGTACAAACTAAGTTTTATATTTGCGAAAAGGCTTTGTAAAAAGAAACGACATATTTAAGTTAATTAAATCTGTGTTTTAAGGTAAAATATTTAAAACTTTAGTTGAAAAAAATACGTATTTGCGGAAACAATTTATTTGAGTTAAAGCATCAGCTTCGATCGGCTTACTTATAATCAGAGAATGGAAACACAAGAATGAGGTTAACTACCGCTTGAAATAATTAAACAATTTTAAGACAGCTATTGGCTTTAGTTGAGTGATTTATAGATTGGAGTGGCTTTAGTCACCGTAAAGATTTAATTTTAGATTTAGCTTCAGATGTAGTTAAAGATTATTTAGTCTTAAGGTTGCCAATATCAATAAAAATTTAAAGTATGTCCAATTAGCACATACCCATTAAATAAAAAATCAAACATTCTAAACGAGAACATTTTAAATGAACAGATTGTATGAAATCATTAGTAATCTTAATTTACTTTGAGAATCTCCTTTAGGAACATAATAATGTAAAAGATGATATTTGTAAAACTAAATATAATAAAACATTAATAAAGTTTGATGGCTTTCCCTAAACTAAGAAGTGATCAAAAATGTATTAGTTACAAATTTATTTAGAGGCAACATACTTTAGAAACTCTATAATTTTGTTGGTTTTTTTTTGATTGAATGAAAGATATATCTTCACTTACTGAAAGGCTTCTGCTCGGTGGCCTGAACGGGAGCGGGGGCTCTCGTCTCCTGGCGACCCTGCGGCGACTGCTGCAGCTCGAGGGGCACGAAATCGGTGTCGAAGTCGCTGTTGAAGAGTGGCAACAGGTGAGAGGACTGCAGCTGGGGGGCCAGCGGGGCAGGACCGCCGGGGCCGTTCCACACGCTCGCCATCCGCTGGGAGGCCTGGACATGCAGTGGGTCTACGGGCTCGAGTGGTGCGAATGGTGCGAGTGACAGGGGCGGAAACAGATTGCGATGCACCGGCGATGGGTGGGTTAAATGTGGCATAAAGCTGCGGATCGGTGGAGGTGTTTGGTGTAGAGTAATGTGGTTAGTGTTGCTGTATTCTGTATTCTGTATGTGTGTGTGTGTGTTCTTTTCATGCAAATTCCATGGCGAACGGAACGAATCGAAACGGAACCGGGACCCAATAATTCATATGCCTTCATTGTTACCGCGCATAAAAAGAAGCTAAACTCTACCCCTACCAAACTAAATATATCTGGGTATATGTAGTATATATGCTGATCGTGCTCATTGTTTAGACCTTTTGCGCAGCATTTACCTGATCCGCATATTAAGCGCCTCCCAGACGAACACTATATAGAATCAAATAGAAATAGCTTTTTAAGTGCCGAAAACAATCGCTGAAAAGAGTCAAACAAAACTTGAGAAATGTTCCTGCAGTTGTCATCCATCAACCGAGATTTATGTCAACAGTTTTTTTGTTTTTTACTGGGTCTCCCAATGCATTCCAAATCTCGACTGGAATATATATTTATACATCGAAGCAGACATTGTGATTCAGAAACTTTCTATGAAGACCAAAGCGTTAGCCAACTTGAGATATTTTTCCGCTGCGGGTCATTAAAATTCGCTTGGCGGTAGCTAATTAAAAAAAAGCTCGCAATAAGTGCTAAATGAAACAAAAAACAAAACGAAACTAGCTGGAAATAAATAATAATAAAACAATAATGCCCAAAAAGGCAAAACGTAAACAATTTGTTCGCTTGCTGACTTTGGGGTACTTCGGTTTATACGATTCATTTCTGGTTCTGGAGTTCTCTGCCTTAAATGAGTCATTCGGATGGGACGTGATCAGTAGGGCTTGAAGCCGCTTAGCCAGATTTTCAGGCGATTTAAGCCGACAATACGATATTTAGGCTTGGCTTTTAGCGATATGAATAAGAGCCTCATTTTTCTTTCAGGTATAACATATACACCTACGTCAGATTTGCTTTGTATTTCATTGGGATTTTTTTTGAAGGAGAAGTGCATTTGAGTTTGGAACTTATTTTACTATAATATAATACTAGCGATAAAATCTTTTTGAAATTTTAACATAAACATTTCTTTCACACCCTTAAGTAGCAATATTTTTCTATTTTATTGGTTGGTAAATCATTCATAATTATTTTAAAATTCATTCTCCAACATTTGTTATGTATTTAATTTTAAGTAAATATCTTGACTGTTAGTGTTGTAATGACAGTTCCAGAAGCGCTAAAAACACTAAGCACCTTCTTAAACTAATTGATTTGTAAATCATTCATGAATACTTTGAATACTTGCCCTCCAGCAAAGTACAATATTTGCAGCTGTAGTATGCACGACCAATTTGTAAAACGAATGAAATTTAAAAATTAACCACATTCTGTCCGCTGGAAGCCAAAGCGAAAGTCATTGGCCACAGACCGTGAGGAGATAGGAAAGGCAGGGCGGTGAATGTGGCAGTTCCAGGGAAATGTTTACGGCGAGGGCGGAGATGGGTCCAACCAAATGGCTGCCTGATTTAATTAAAGCGCAGCCGCGGCAGCCAGAATCAAAACATTCCGAGACCGTAAAAAAAAGGGGGAAATGCGAGACCAAAAAAACAAAACAAAAAACAAATTGTGGGTGACCCAGTTCGAGGGCAGATTATACAGTTTTTGGGGTAGTCTTTAGCCGGGGCATTACCTGCCCACAAAATAGCACTTAGTGTCGTGTGAAATGTCAATTGCTTTCAGGGCCAAAACTGTTCGAGAATTGTGTCAAAGATGAACCCTCCGGCGGTCTGAACTCAAAGGTTGCAAAGTCAGCCAAGTGTGGAGCAGCTCCGAAGATCGGAGGAAGAAGATGTGGATGTTGTGGTTGCCCAAGTCCCGCGGTGTTGCCCCACTTTGGTTGCACATTGTATTCTTGCGATGCAGTATCTTTCGCAAAAATAAGATAAATGCAAGTCGGCCAAGACTCAGATCGTGGCCTTTTTTCTGTTCCCAATTGCGGCGAAGAATCGAATTCGATGGCGAATAATCGACAGACAATCTCTTCGAGTCAACAGTTTCAGTATAAGTTTTATCAATTGAGGTCAATACTCGCTGGGCTTTGGACTTTCTTTCTGGGGGGAACTTTTTGCTCTTTCAGCTCCCTTTCGCCCCGCCTCCACAAAACCATAAACATTTCGGTCAACTTTATTTGCAGTTTCGTTTAGCGGGCGAAAATTTCTCCAAGAACAAACAGGGCTTGTGGTTTGAGCTCGGAAATGTCATAAAAAACAGTGAACCCGGTATTAGACAACTTTTATGGGGTGTCATTGGGCTCGAAACCCGTGAGGAACGTAAAAAAGCATGAACGTTTAAATATTGTAACTTTAAAAGAATTTTCAAGTTGTTTCACACGTAAACTTCAGTGATGTGTTTGCTTTGGTAAGTAGTTGTCAATGGGTTTTTGTGCTAATCTACTGGGGAATGATGGGACTCAACTAATTATAGTTCACCTGGAATCATCTGAGGATTCGGCAGAAGATTCCGCTGAGAGCCCGTCTGCAAGAACTTCTTCGGAAGTTGAACTGGAATTCAACAATTTAGTTATTGCGAAGGGTTTATTTAGAAGATTAAAGCTGTTTAGGGGAGGGGAAATCAACCAGAAGGTGTACTACAGGATTAAAGCGATTATAATTAGCAACTTTGATCGCAATTTTTTTTATAATTAATGTATGAAGCTTCACTACTCAGTAGTCAGTGTTAAAGGGCTTAAACACAATATACGGTTTTATAAATGCAGATATTTTAATTAGTAGGTACTATTGTTACATTAATAATGTTAATCCGCTTGTTATAACTGATGATATACTTTGAGAGATTTTTTAAACGATTCAATTTAGGGATCTAGTTAGTCATTTATCTGAAAAATCAAATCTTTAATGTGATATACACAAATGGATCCACTTCAAATGGTTTTTGTCTGTAATGAAGGGCTCTTCATGATTTTAGATACTTTCGATTCGTTAAAGTATATGCTAATGGTTGGTTTTTTTTTCGAGAAGGTTCCAATTTTGATGGCCTTAGTCTTAATGTTGTTTTTGGAACCCAGTAGGTGTACAGGCATTCTTAGCTTTTCGAATGTGTTCCGATAACATGAAACATATAGTTCATGCCTTATCAAAAGATGTCGATGTGTATATGTTAACCAGTAAACCCGCAACGCAAAACAACTCAAACTACGTGAAATGTGCATGAAACGAACGCTACACAGCACGAAAAAAGAGTCCAGTTGTTACTCACCCGCTGTAGAAGGGAACAGCCTGGATCTGGATGGATCCCAGGAGGAGCAAGCAGGCCCACAGCCGTAGCATTTTTGGTATCACAATCTTGAGCCTCAGTTAGGAGCTAATTAAAATGGAGGGGGATTGTAAATGAGACAAGCTGAAAGTTGCTGTAATCAAGGGAGTAATCAAGTTGCTGAAGCTGAATGGCTGGATGGATCCGAGAAATTTTCACTGCTCACTGTTGAAAACAGCTGGGTCGTCTAGTCGAGACCAGAAAATACAGGTTTTCCACGCAGCGGTGCACTCGCGTATGTAGGTGACTGATTTGGTGAGTGAGAGCGACGGTTGGAGAAGAAATTTTTCCACTGTCTTCACGCATTAATTGCGAATATGCTGCCACTCACTTGTAATTATTGTCAATTGTCTTGTTTTACCAAAATTGGCACACACTCAATTATCAAATGTCTCTGGCTCCTGGCCACAGCTATCAGCCAACAGCACTTAAAAACAGGCAATGGCACAGTCACAGGCACTCACGAAGTGGTAAGTAGTTTTTGGTTGGCTCGAATGTTGCCGCTTCAAGTCGTAGTTTTGAAATTAACAAGAACGTCGATCATCTGGTATTTATAAGCTGAACAGTCGCTGCCATGGTAGAATAAGTGTTAGTTTGTCTCGTCGGGTACGTTAGTCCATTAATATTAAGTGAGAAAGAAACACCAATAGAGTGGCTGTCCGGCTTAAAACTGCCATATTACAATAAGTGAGAGAGCCACCCGAACATTAACGGACTGAGCCGAACAATTTGTGAGCCTCTGCTGCTGCCGCTGCTTCTGCCGACGTCGGCGTCCAAAGATCGCTGGAGCTTTGGGGGAACTGGGAGAACTTTTGGGGACGTTTTGAAATCGGGTATAGTCATGTATACTGCGGGTGGCAGGAGGTGTGAATGATTTGTGAAAGTGCCAACTTAGTATCACACTATAGAAGAAAGTGTGCAAAGTGAAGCAAATGAGTAAGAAACTTGGAAAATTACCCCAAAATATTCATTTACAAGAAATACTGTTAAACCCAAAGATTTTATCATATATTTCTAAAATAAATCGTTCTACATTTTCCTGTAACAGGGTTCAAAGTTCGTATTTTCATTTGATTTATTTTGTTTTGCATTTACCTATATAAGAACTATCTTGGGCCTGAAAGTATCGGTGAGTAATAGCACTTCCCAGAAAACATTGCAGGTAAAAGTGCAGCTCAAGAGGGTTCTGTGTTGTCTTACCTGCAAATGTTGGGCTGATTTAAGGTGCGCACTTTGAGTTCCGGATTTCCCCGTAACCCCTAAAACCCATCAATCACTGCTGTTTCTATTAGTAAGCCACCCAGTGTTTTGGTTTGTGGCCTCTCAGGTCTGAACCAGCTTATTAGAAGTCTTCTCATATTTTGAAACTGTTTCTTTCCGTTTTTTATTGTGTTGTTTAAACAAGATGTCAGCTTGTAGCTACATGTGTAGATAAAATTGAATTTCTGGGAACTGTGAGAAGACTTTTTAATGTGTTCTCGTATTTAATTGCTCATTGTTTTGATTTTAGTCAATATCAGATAAAAAGAAAAAGAAAGTCTACTTTGAAAGGAAGAAGCTCGAATGCTCTTTCACCTTGAATGTAAAGATTATATATTAAATTAGGTTTCCTTTAAATAACATTTTTATGATTTGTATTAATACATTGATTTCACTTTTTGAAATAAATATTTATTCATTATTTACAATATTTATTTGTGCTATTTATGTATGTGTATATATCTCTTGTATACGTAGATGTACCACAATGAAATTGTTTCATTATATATATTTTGAAAATAAATAAATGTTTCCCCTTTTTTTCTCTTTTATGTGCATTTCAATTTGTTCTAGTATAATGTACTTTATAGTTTTGATTAAAAGTTTACACTTAGATATGCAAATAGTATAATTGAACCCACTCAAATCTCGAATCTTCGTTCAATTCCAATTAAATTAACAAAACATTATTTGCAAGTCTCGTTATACATTAAGCTGAAATTGTGTGTCATTAACAAAGTAAATCTTATCGGTGTACTTGTGTGTGTGTGTGTTCGTGTTTTAAATAATCTCCAGCCCAGTGATTATTTGAAACACTCTTGTGATCCATTCTGTTTCCAAATCTGCTCTCCCGGTCCCCTGCGTCGATCCGTATTTCCCTTTCCTAGTTGTGCAGCTCTAAGAGGAACTTCCATCAAGATCATTCAAATCATTCAACGTCGTCTACTCGAAAAGTGCTGAGTGGAATGAAAGAAAAAGAATAATTACCCAAATAATTAACAAATGTCGTACACAATTTTTTTACAATTTAAATGGGATTCCCAAAATCACGAAAGAAATACAATATAATGATGATAGAACAAAGATAATTGATTGGACACTCAGCCGGAAATTCAGGTGATCAGTTTAAAAAGTTTTTGGCCTCAGATTGTTTGTTAAATTTATTTAAAAGCTTGATTAAGTATTTGTTCTCTTATGAGATGTTAAAATTAATATTTATTTATTTATAAATAATATTTATTTACATATTATTTAATAAAAAAAGATCAAAGAAATTTTAATTTAATTATATTAGAAGTTAAGAATTACCTGGTCGCTTGCCGCGCATGCCCAAAAATCCATTTGGCGCCCGCTTTTCTTCCCAGAGATATAGCCATGGGTGAACCAGAGATTGCTGATCCCCATTTCCGATTCCGTTTCCCTCCAGATCGCTCTTCTTACCGCGCACCGCCACAAATTTGCTATTGAAGTCGGCGAAGCGCTGTTGTTTTCCCCTCAAGTCGTTGTAGGACTTTTTAAAGAAATTGTGCCAGAACTAGAGGCCATTAGATCTTCATATCTCTTAGAAAGCAAGACAGTGGACGCTTATATGGACTAATTACTAATTAATTATAAACTTAAAAGAAATTATTTGAATACTTTATTTATTTAACTTTAATCAGAAATTACTTTTCCTAATTATTACCTAAAGTTCATCTTAATAAGAGACCACTGTACTTGCCAAAAGAATCAGGATCAGTCGACTTACCTGTGAAAGAGCAGCTCGCTTAAAGTGTTGGTGGGAAACGTCCTTCTTGCCCCGCATCCCCACAAAGGAGTTCACAGGCGCCCTTTTCTGCGACAGTTCCATGGCGTCATCCCCTTCCGTCTCCTGATCTTCATCCCCACCCAGAAGAGCAGGACGCTTGCCCCGCATCCCGGTGAATCCTGTGGGCGCCCTCTTGCCCACAGGTGAGCCCTCACCGGCCGTCAATCGTTCGAAGAAGTCCTGCAGCAGGCTTTCCCGTATCCGCTCCTCCTCCAAATGCTGAAGGACATCTGAGAGGCGGGCGTTGATCGGGATGAACTTCTTGCCGCGCATGCCCACAAAGGACGTTGGAGCCTTCTTTAACCGCAGTGCGTTCTCGGAGTAGTAGCTGTTCCCCTCTTCATCGGCGTAATCGAGAGGATCGGGTCCTGATTCGTGTCCTGTTTCCAGCCAGTTGCCTTCCGAGGTGTCCCGCTCCTCCTCCTTCTTGCCGCGCATCCCGATGAAACTGGCTGTGGGCGCCCGCTTCACCACCCTGCGCAGCTGGTCGGCGGCAGGTGGCACCGGACTGGCCGAGGTCTCTGGCTCCACATCCGCCGCAGTCGAAGGTGCCGTTAGCAGAAGCAGCAGCAGAAGCGCCACCGCTATCAAACCGCTTTGGGGACGCATTGGACGTAGCGAGCTTTTAGGCGGGCGTGGAAGTCAATGCGCTGCTGGAGGAGCGAACTAATAAAATAAAACAGTCATAAGCCATACATGTAAACTCAAATAATTAATCTTTTTAAGAAAGAAAGTCATTTTAAACTAATGCGGCCAATTAGATGGTATTATTATCAATATTAAGAGAAATACATAAATACTTTGAAACAGATCTATAGTAAAACCCATTTGAAACGCTTTAAAATTTTCCTACCAATTTATAATTATTTTGTTCTCATTATTCCATAGGTTACTATTACTGCCCAAATATATACATTTGTAGAAATACTTAGTTCTGCTCTTAATTCTTGGTATCCGTAATGCAAATGTACTCGTATAGTTTTTAACTTGCAAGCTTTTGACTGCCCGGAATAAAAACCGGAGGCAGAAAAATCCTCACAAAATGTTTTCCATTTCATTTCCTGTTTTGTTTGTTTTGATTTCGTTTTTTTTATTTTGATTTTGTCTTTTTATTTTGCATGTGCTTTACATAGTGCATTTCGCCTCACCAATTCCCGGTGGCGGCGTCTACTTGACCTTTTTGCAGTTGTTTTCTAGGAAGGGCACGGTGCATGAGTGGTTAAAGGGTTTGGTTGCAAAAGCTGAAGGTCTTAAACATAAATGCATGTGGCAATTTAAATAGGACCAAAAAAATCTCAAGCAAGTAAACATATATTATTTTTACACAAATTTTTTGTTAATGAGCTAAATGTTATTATTCAACATCTAAAATTCACCTATTGGTAATAACAAATTACGTAATAAAAAACACAACAATGACCCACCAACTTATCTTTTGCTCATTTTGTTAGCATATTAATATTTTGAGTCATTCTATTTAGAATTTAATTTACAGAATTGCCGCATGGCTAAAGTTTCTATGAAAATGGGCGTAAACACAAGGCTGCTCGCTTGCAGGTCGTTTGGCGAGATGCAATTGAGGGTAAAATTTAACGGTTGCTGATGTTGCAATTTATAGTCCCAAATGCAAACACGAATGGAGATGTGCAGAAGGGTACACTCAAGAATCTTGAAAAAGTCTGGAATCTTTAAAGAAAAAATGCTGACTTGCTTTTACTCCAAATTTTTTTTAAAGTTTTCTAAAAAAGGAAAATTAATTAGATGCCTTTACTTTTGAAGTCTTGGCTATTTCATTTATTAAAAGCGTTTGAAAGTTTTGTTTAAATGTTGTTGAAAATTTTAATATGAATCAAATTTAAATAAAGATATATAATATAAGTTTCATTAAATTGATAATTTTTTAATTTATTTAAAGAAACAATATATCTTTTGCGGCTTTTGAGTATTTGTTGTTTCATCTGCAGTGGCAAGTGCAGCATCCCAGGCCACGAGTATCTGCAGCGTGTTGACGCCACGCATGATTATGCCCCGCCTTGTAAAAGTCAAATTGCCATGCAAATGCCCCGGCCCGATGGCTAAAACCAGGGGGAAAATGGTGTTGGAGCTGCAGCGACAACTGGAGCAATAGATGCAAAAACTGGGCGACGTCTAACGATGCGCACAGGAAACAACAAACATGTAATTCAATTGATTGCCACCGGCGGCGTCAACCGCAAACAAGCAAACACTGCGAGGAGCAAAAAAAAAAAGAAAAAAGAGGAGAAGAGCTGGAGCAATTCAATTGAACTTAGCAAAATGCATTTGAATTCAATTGATGTTGAGTTTGCCACAATCAACAGGTTGCTCGGCACTTAAAACTCATCACTATTATGCTTACGACGCCTTTATTCCGCAATGTTTGCTTGGAGTTTGAGTTGAGCTTAAGTGCTTAAGACCCCATAGTAGTCGCTTTTAAAGTTTAAATTATAATAGCAAGGGAAAAAAGGAATAGACCTAAAATGCCAAAAGGACAATTGGATGAGGAATTAAGCTACATTAATTTATAAATATAAGAACTTATATAAATATTGAAATCATTATCATACCGAGAACAGCAAAGTATTTTATTAAAATAAACAGATGTGGTAAAATTTCATTTAAAATACAATAATAATTACTTATCATTTATTAAAAAAGCGCTTCTCTTATGAGTCATAAATTAATCAATAAAATCCGTTGATCCGATTTAAGGCAGAATTATTTCCCAGCTTAACCCACTGTGCGATGTCAAACTAATGCCACGAAAGTTTGCTGCTGCAAAATTAACAGCGTGCAAATGTGGCGAGCTTCCGGTTCTCGAGCTACCTGGCCTCGGCTCGTCAGGCCACGTCCTGGAAATCAGGACATCAGGACATCAGGTTGACAGCGGACAGCCGGACAATGGAGCCTACTAGGACTATTCCTGAGTCCCGTGCTAACTCCCTCTGCTGCTTTAATGCGATGCCGGGCGAAATGCGGATAAGCTGTTAACTTGGCCATGTCTGTTGTCTAATTGTCTATGTAGGACGCTCTCTATCCCCCGAACGTGTGTGTGCCTCGGGGTTTTGATGTGTGCGAGTGTCTGTGTGCGTGTGCATCCCAAAGGACACTTTAAACTGCCGACAGGCGTGTGAGATTAAAGACGTGCCAAGTCGTCCTACGCCTAGATTTACATTTTGGCCAACACATTGTGTGTGCGCTCGCTCGTCTTCCTGGAGAACGGTTTGTGGTTGGCCTTTTTGGTGGGTGGGTGGATAATATAGGTCCATTAGCCCAGTTGAAGGGACAGCGAAATGAGACCCAACAACAACCGACGGGCCAACTGAACCAGAAGGCCGGCAGAAACGTATGAAATTAATAATAAAACAACATGGAAAATTCACTTTTTGGCCAATTGCCGGCGGCTGCATTCGCATGTCACCCTATTTTGCATGCCAGGAGGCCAGAGTTCATGCCAAAACAAACACAAACACCCGGACACACCAACACATACAGTTAATGCATAAAAAATGAGGCGTGACTGTACTTTTAAATCGACTCTCCGTCCTGAAAGCAGCTGCAGCCCAATTTTGAGTTTCCACCGGCATCTGGGCAGGCGTGTGTATTTTAAATAAATTTACATTAATTTTTTGGGAACGACTTCGATAAGCCTTTGGGCCATGGCCAATTGTAAAGCTCTCGCTCAATTCAAATAAAAGGACGACCTCAATATAATGGGTTGAAAGTCAAGGATCATCTGATGCTAAGACAACTTGATTATTTCTTGTAAAATAACCAATCTAAAGAGGGTTAATAAAAACAGAATTGTATCCTCAGTGCTCTTAGAAGATACGGATGACATTGATTGCCCTTATAGAATTCTTATAGAATTTGGAATTAGTGTAAACATACAAACAATTCAATTTGTATCAATATTATTAATTATGTTCTTTCATTTCATTGTAAATAATAATCATCTTCTAACTTAAGAGTGTAAACAGCATTTTATATAATATTTTCTAAAGTATATACCCTTTGCTTATGTAATCATTGGATAGTTCTCTTAGTTTTATATTTTTTTTTCAAAAAATGTTAAATTTTTCCTTAGTGGTTTCTACACTGCTACACTTTTGTAGTTTATTGTTCTTTCAGTTTCAGCGAAATGTTGCCCAACAAATGTTGCCTTTGCGGTGCAATTATTCCGGCCACATGTTGCCAGTCGCGTCTTCGGTTCTGCACTTAATCGGGAATTCTACGCAACGCACGATCAGTTTGAAATTGTGTTTGGAGCGGAACGCTTGGCGCACTTTTCCCTTTATAGCTCCAAATCGTCGCGTTTGCAGTTCGTGTTTTAATTTGGTTTCTGTTCCAAATAGACTAAAAAATAATTACTTCTTCAACTGAGTGCAGTTGTGATCACCGAGGTGAGTGTCATTTACAAATTGGAGCTCGACGCAGCAGGCTTTTTCTAAAGAGAACACCTGGTTTTCTTTCCACTGCAAAAGAACAATGGGCGATCGGCAACTTTCTCGCCTAATTGTCAGTTGAATGGAGCACACAACGGGGTTCCAGGGCAGTAAATTTCGGGTAGTTCAGTCAGGTTGTGGAAATGCAAAATAATCTATTTAGGTCAGATGCCTAAAATGTTCTGGGCTTGAGCCCTTGTTAGTGTTCCCGTTCTGATTCTCCCTTCGGTTTGTTTAAATTTGTTGGATCGGGTTCCCATATAGGGAATTTTTTTCGTTATACATATAGTCTGTAAAAGGTTAATTGCCGTATCAGGGCTGATATTTTACAGATCATTTACTTTAATGGGAACTTTGCTTATCAGGATTAAGACAGATGAGAAGCTTCTGAAGATAAGAAGTCGGGAATCACAGCTTGTAAATCACAATCGAGAGTAAATACTTATGCATTAGGTTCAATTAATTTTAATTTATTATCAACTGTCAATAAAGCGTGTAAATTGCACAAATATAAACGGGTTTGCAACAATTTTTGAATCTCGGACAACATTTTTTAATTACTTCAGTTCAAAATATGTTGATAAGATCAACAACGGAGATTCCCAATAAATTTAGCAATTGAGTTACCCTTGATAAGCCCAACGTACTCTTTAGCAAAATTACTCTATTATAACATTTAAAATTGGTGAAAATAAATGGAAACTATTTATCAATGAATCATTGTCAACAAAACAAACTACTCCAAGCGGAAAACATTTATGAAATGATGACAGTCAAGCATCAGAGGATTATGAATCACAAATAATATTCTTTCGTATGCTGAATATACATTATGCTGCCTGGAAAAATATTCATAGTTCAGCGCAATCAAAATAATCCGCATCCAGAACAAAAATAAAACACAAACACACGTAGCATACATTTGTCAAATCGCATAAGGTGAAGACGCTAAAGCAAAGAAAAAATTTGTGGCGATAAGAATGAATCCATAATAAAGTGTCCGAGTACTGAAATAACAATCCATTATTATTGCCGAACAGCTGCCGTGGAAATACAAAAGTATTTATGAAGCTCTGCGCCAAGCAGCCAGATTAAATAATTTACTTAGGCTGAGCTTGCATTAATTAACGAAACCCGATGGGAATGCAGGCACAGGCCCGCAAGAACTCCCGCCAAAATGAAATGAGGGTAAATGGAATTAATTTCAAGCAATTCATAAGCAAAACAAACAAAAGATTATATCGTTTTGTTGTCACTAAGCAATTGAGCCGTGAACTTCAATTGAATTGAAACGAGACAAGCTTTGCACTGCGTTGAACTCAACTGGGTTGAGCTGAACCGCGATGATTTAGATTGATTCTCTAGGAAGCGGAACGGGTTAAGACTTTATACTAGCCGGAAGAAAGTCCCGTCTCTGGGCATAGGGAAAACAGATCACTTTAAGATCTTAAGTGCATTCTTCTAAGATTACGCAAACAGCACATGGATTTACTATCTAGTTATCAATAAATATTGTTCATATATTATTGTTCAATACTAGTTATTCCAGATCGGTATGACAGATAGATATTTTATTTTATTAAATTCTACTCATCATGTACGATTGAAAGTCTTTTAAGTTCTTAAAATGTGTGTCACTTTTGCCTACTTTCAATAGTCTAGGTGCCTCTGTTATCACCGAAGACAACATTTTTTCTTGAAAACATCGGTGTTTAGTATTAGATAAAGTCAACTTAGTTCTTTGTTATAAGTATTTTGTGTAAAATTATCAGTACTCCTAATTGCTACAAGATGAAAAAACTGCTTCACCGTTTTGGTAACCAAGTTGTTGTGAAATAAAGGGCTATGAAATAGTTTACATTCGTAGGAAACTTGGAAAACGTTCTTAAAAAAGTAAAAAAAATGTATTAAAGAAAACATTTCTTATTTCATTTCTTCTTCTTTATCTTTGATTAATAGGATGAAGTTCATTCTATTGGCCTTGGTGGGGCTGTTCTCAGTGATGGGAACAGCTTCAGCGAATCGGACCTTCACAATTGACTACGATAATGATCAGTTTCTAAAGGATGGAAACCCCTTCCGGTTCATTGCTGGTTCCTTTCACTATTTCCGTGCTCATCCAGCCACTTGGCAGCGGCATTTGCGAACCATGAGAGCAGCGGGTCTAAATGCAGTTACAACGTAGGTCTTTCATACATTAATAACTAATAATGAATAAATAGTCATCCTAAAAAATACTACTAGCTACGTCGAATGGTCATTGCACAATCCCCGGGATGGAGTTTATGTCTGGAGTGGAATTGCCGATCTGGAGCACTTTATACGATTAGCTGTGGGCGAGGATCTGTTAGTTATTCTGAGACCAGGTCCTTATATTTGTGCAGAGCGTGATATGGGAGGATTTCCCTACTGGTTGCTAAACAAGTACCCAGGAATTCAACTTCGCACAGCGGATATAAGTAAGTACCCTGATTAGCTATAAACACATTTGGGATTATAAAGAAATAATACATTTAAAGCTTTAAAATTCCTATACTATATCTTTGGTTTACACATTTATAAACACTGTTTATCCTGAATTCAATTGACACATTTTTTCCCCAGATTATCTTAGCGAGGTACGCATATGGTACACCCAATTGTTTGCCAAGGTGTCCAAGTATCTTTATGGAAATGGAGGACCAATTATCATGGTCCAGGTGGAGAATGAGTATGGATCTTATTTTGCTTGCGATCTCAACTACCGCAATTGGATTCGTGATGAAACCGAGAGTCATGTCAAAGGTCAAGCGGTGCTCTTCACTAATGACGGACCAAGTGTTCTTCGCTGTGGTAAAATCCAAGGCGTTCTGGCCACCATGGATTTCGGAGCTTCTAACGATCTGAAGCCCGTTTGGGCCAAGTTGCGAAGGTACCAGCCAAAGGGACCGCTGGTTAATGCCGAATATTATCCTGGGTGGTTAACCCACTGGACGGAACCGATGGCCAATGTGAGCACGAGATCAATTACATCGACTTTTATGTGAGTTAAAAGTGTTGTTTTTACCTTAAATATAATATCATATATTTAATATTTATTAGACAAGGAAGCAAATATTTTTTTTTATTAAATTTAAGCCGTACGTTTTCTGAAATAGAGTTGGAAATGATTTCTGAGACACTTGAATTTATTTTCTTACTAAAAATCTGCCATAATTGTTTTTAAGCCACACGCTTGCATAAAAAGTACTGCCTCGATGACTAGGAACTATCTTAATGACTACTAAATATTTAAATTACAGTATAGAACATCTTTCAGAGATAAGTATTACATTGCGCTCAGCTTTTTAAGAATCATAATGCATAGCTGTGAAGCACAGATTTTTTTAGTGATCTCGGAAACCTGTTTAGTGAAGTTTGTTTAGTTAGTTTTCTTTCGAACTACCTACATTATCTGTCACTTCCTATATGACTAAGAACTAAAAACTAAAAAACATATGAGATTATTATTGCATTCAATTTATGTTTATGGTTTCACTTTTTTTCAGAAACATGCTGGACAGCGGTGCCAGTGTGAACTTCTATATGTTCTATGGCGGCACTAATTTCGGCTTTACGGCTGGAGCAAATGAGATCGGACCAGGAAACTACATGGCGGATATAACTAGCTACGATTATGATGCACCAATGACGGAGGCTGGAGATCCTACGCCCAAGTACCAGGCCCTGCGTCGCATCATCGCCAGGTATCTTCCCCAGCCAGATCAACCGGTTCCCGGACCCGTTCCAAAAAAAGCCTACGGAACAGTTCGCCTGGTCAGCTGCTGCTCTCTACTTTCTCCAGAGGCACGATCCCGACTTTCCACTGGCTTTGTGCAGTCTGCAAAACCAAAGAGTTTCGAGGCTCTGGGGCAGTATTCTGGATTAGTGCTTTATGAAACCTGGCTGCCCAGTTTCCAGCGGGATCCTAGTATCCTGAACGTTCCCGGAATAGCAGATCGAGGTTATGTCTATGTGGACGGGGAGTTTGCGGGTTTGCTGGCCAGGGAAACACCCGTATTCGAGCTACCACTGAGTGCAAGTGCCGGAAGGAGGTTACAAATCTTGGTGGAGAACCAGGGTCGCTTGAATTATGGTCGCCAGCTGAATGATTTCAAGGGAATCCTGCGGGATGTGCGTCTGGACAAGCAGGTGCTGAACAACTGGAATATGACACAGTTCCCGCTGGAATCGTATGACAGTCTGGAGCAGCTGATTACCCATTCGGATGAGGCAGCTCGTCAGGATTTCCAGCAGCTGAAGAAGTTGCGAACCATGCTTGGCACTGGACCAGCTATTTACCACGGCCAATTGGATATCCAGAAGGAAGCGGATCTGGCAGACACCTATCTGGATATGTCCGGTTGGGGCAAGGGTATTGTCTTTATAAACGGAGAAAATCTGGGCAGATACTGGCCACTGGTGGGGCCACAAGTCACCCTGTATGTACCGGCTCCCGTACTCAAGGTGGGTTCCAATCGGCTGGTGGTGGTGGAGTACCAGCAGACACCCACCTCACAGGAGCTGCATTTCCGGGATAACCCAATCCTGAACGCGAGAACCGTTTAGCTCCTGGCCTAAGGACCTTCGCGACGTGCATCCATCGCCATATAACATCATGCATCCATCATTCGTTAATGTAGATCTAAATGTAAATTTATGCGGTTTAAGTTCTTTGTGAGACATTAAAGCGACTCCGACGGACGCGTCTTGTCTGCCTCGTTATCCCTTTTGTAAAGGACTCATTAAAGCTGGGGGGCATATGGAAACGTGGGCAGGGGAGTGACGGGTCTGTCATGTGTGACCTTTGTGCCTTGGCCAAATTAATCCCTAATGATTGAAATTGAAATCCACAGAAATGCGCTGATGACAAGCTGTAAGTCAAAGGCGGGTCGAAAAATGAGTCGCGTCTTGGTTCGTTGATTCTGAGGTGCCTAAAAGTTTTTTTTATGACAGTTTCAAAATCCCTCTCTGTTTGTTTCCTCAAGAAATTTAGGTTTCTAAGTAAGTTGCCCCGAAAATTCTCTCCTGATTTATAAATCAGTGCATGTGTTAGACTTTGGGTTTGTGGAGATAAGATTTTTTGATGAACCTTCTTCAACTCAAATTACTTTTAAATGCCTACAGCATTTTTACATTTTAATTATATCTAAATAAACTTGTTTAATATAAAAAAAGAGTCTCATGTACATTTAGTTTCAAGATGAACACATATAATTATTTATAGGCCTTGGCTTTAAATTAACTTCGTAATCTTATTTATTCCTTATCAATCAAAAAAATTAGTAAACACTTGAAACTAGTGATTGAGTAAGAACAAGGTTTAATTATTTAACACTTGTTTTAAATAATGGGGTCTGTTAATTGCAAGTTTCCTTTTTAATATAATATTTATAGCTTTGAATAACATTTAGTTATCCAGAACTTTCTTTTAACTGCCATAAAATATTTAGCTAAATTGCCAACCTGGCCAGCAGATGCTATTTTTGTTCGCCATTAGCCGGAGTGTTCCGGCGTGGAGAATCACTCCCCACTTGGCCATTTCTTGATGCCGTAATGAGTCCGGCAGCTACAGTTGTTGGCCGGGTTAATTAGTGCGGACTCACACACTCGCATGCAGTGGCTTACATTTAAAAGGATCTTTTAGGCGCAGCTGCAACTCAAGTATTTGTGTATTTTGCTGGCTACACATGCTGTAATTGCCCTGTTCTCGTTGTCCAAGTTGACATAAAACAAGTTAAGACCCAGGGGCAGTTTTAAAGCGCCGCCTCATGTCGCCCGGTGGCCACCACCCATCATCCCATTCCACTCCTGGTTTTCCAGTAGTGTCTTTTTGGGAGAGTGCTCCCTTGTAATGGAATGGCGTTGCGTGCTGCCACCGGATGTGTGCCATCATCCCATTCCGGCATCCCAGAATCTGGTCCCCTGCATTGATGTTGCTTTTTATTAGCTTTGGCCGCCGGCTGCCAATTGATGACGGGCATCCGCCACAAACAATGTTTTTGCTCTCGCCGGACCGAAATATGTAAAACAAAAGCAACTTGACTTTGAAAATTCCCAAGAACTTTGCTCTTCTGATTTTATCACTCAATTGTTATGAGGATCTTGTCAGCTAATAAGGCAAATTAACACATTGTCAGCTGAAGTCGCCCAAAATGTATTCCACAATAATCAGGAGTCACTCCTAGTTCCTAGCAGTTCTAACTCCAGCTTTAATGTGTGAAATTTGTGAGGATTAAGTAAAATTTCTCGTTTTATCTTCTTTAAATTGGGCGTAAGCCACCCAAGAAGTTTAACGGTCAGATGGTCAAATGCGTTGACATAAAAACTTGTTGATATTAAACAGACCCCTGAGATCAAATAGGTTATAAAATCCAATAAGAAAGTTAAATTATTGCACTAAACAGCTGAACCATTAAATTTAAATGTTTTGTTTTTATGCTTGAGGCGGATGTTTTGACAACGTTTTCCATAATTCCAGTCTAAATATAAAAAGTGTGAAATCCAATAAAGTATGGCACTGGTCAAAAATGTTACAAAACATATTTTTCAAATATTCAACAATTTAAATGTGTAATTCTAAAACTTGGTAAGTAAGATATTTTGATTTTAAGGAGAATAATGTAATCTTTTAATTTTTAATTTAAAGTTTATGTTGTTTAAGTTTTTTAACGTGATTGGTAACCATAATTTTTAAAATTTTCGACAATTTTATTGCCAACTTGATTTCGTGTTATTCAGGTAAACAATATTTTACAGTAATATTGCAAGTCTTAATTTTAGTTTTCACTTACGAATAAGGCCAATCTGTTTTGGATATATCTTTCACTTTGTTTTATCTGTTTTCCCAACTGCTCGCGTGACGACCGCGCCGAGAAGTATGCAACAACTGAGCGACAGATCGAAGCGACAACGGACCTTTATAAAAGCTGAAGAAGGACAAACCGAAACAGGAAGCCCGACCGGCAGGACACGAAGGCAAGCTACATACACACTCACATAGAACAGCCGAGCATCGGGTTCGTGCATATCAACAATTGGTCGAATAGAATCTGAAGCGATACGAGGTGTGTCTGTGTGTGTGTTTGCGTGTGCAGTGTGCTCTTTTATGCGGCGGCCACTTCACCGTGGAATAAAAATTTGCCTCTTCGCCGAGCAATTGAATTGAACGGAAAGTCTGTTTGCATATGTGAATAAAACATATGCAAAAAGTAGGCGAAATTCAAAAGGTAAAAAAATGGAAAGCGAAATGGGAATGGGGCAGCAAACTGGCAAACTGGCCAACTGGCAGAGCCCCACATGTAAGAAGGAAAATTAATTTCGATTTCTGTTATTCCATACGCATTTCGCTTTTGCTTTATTTTAATATTTATGATTTACATTCACCTTTTGCATGCGAAATGGTCAAATAAAAATTATGCACTTTGTTGGTTTTTCCCGCGCTATTTGTCCAAAAAATTTGTAATTAAAATTATTCCCACACGCAGGCCATTAAGCAAACAAAACCATTGTCCCCAATAAAAACCCTGTTAATTTGTATTTAGTTTAATAAGTGTGGAAAAACAGTTGCTTTAAATAACAACTCGAAAGTGTTCAACAAAAACAACTAATAAAAAAATATTAACTATGGAAGAAAAATTAAAAAAAATGAATTGTTTTTCAACAATGAATGCTAACAATAATTTTTTGGGGATCTTGTATAGTTGTCTTGTTTCCCAGTTTTTATTGATTATTCGTTTTAATTTAAGAAAATTAAATATTGATAGCTCGATTTAAGCTCGATTACACAACGTCTTTCAATGAATAATAACCTTTTTTTCTTATGTTTTCACAAAACCTAAGAGTTTACTCCTAATGAATTCGATGAACCACTGGTCCAGTAGATCAAACACTTTGAAATAAATAAATTTAAAGCGTAGAGGCGGGAATCATCTCATATGCGTCACGAACTGAGCCGGAAAATTTGTTTCTGAAAGATTTAAGCGGGAACGACCATCTGAATTGCACTTGAGGCGAGGTCGCGGCATTCAAGATAAGACGCCCGCAACACCCACGCGCCACTCGGAAAGGCCAAGTGGATGCCACACATCCGGGGGCCAGTAGTTGTTCAGCTTGTTGCAACTACAACGCCACCGTTTTTTCGGTCTAAAATTAAACGTGGAAGCACCGCCGTTTCCTGATGCTGGCCCCATCTTATCTTATGCGCATCCCTTCTCGCGAGATTTCCTTCCGCCTTGCGCCATTGAGTCGTAAAAGTTACAGTGTACAGGGCTCGCTAAAATTTGCATTTAAATTGCAACAGATTTTGGGAAATGGAAAATAGCCAATTTCTCACTCCTGCACAATTAGCAGATTTCCCAACTAAAGGAATCGTTCGACGGCCATTAAAACTCCCACAACGACTACGCATTGCGAATTGTCCCCGTTGACGCAACAAATATTTGCTGGAACCATTGGTAAACATAATTAGCATTTAATTAAAATAAAATTGCCCATCGATAGACAAGCAATTTGTGATTTGATTATCACAATCAAATAAAACCGCCGCAAAGCCTTTCGCTTGTGTAAATAGCCGACTCCGCGAATTGGGAACAGGACCAGATAAGGTCCTATACCGCTGGTACCAGCTGATAACTGCGGAATATGAACGTTAAGTGTGCGATTGATTGGATTATGGCTCTTTTGCAGCGGATGGCATTTTATGGGTCAGTGATAGACGTCATAAAGGCTTTATTTTGGTTTCGTTTGGCTCTATTTTTGGATGCCGCATTGCCACCTGTTGCTCGGAAATTGCCCCGCTGGCGATGCACTTTGAGCAGGTGGTGCAAATTGAATTTAAAATTGCATTCCGCGTGTGGGAGGTGTACAAATACAAAGGGAAGAGCGACACATCCGGCCGAACTGATTGATTCGAAGCGAGGGAGGGCAGTAAAGTAAGCAAAAGCTGCTTAATAAAAATATAGGAAGAATTCACGACAGAATTAACTATTAACCAGATTTAGAATAATTATTATAAAATTATTAATTTGATTTTCAAATTATGTTCCAAAATTTAAATCAAGTTTACTTTTAGCTCAAAATAAAATAGTTATATTATTAAATATATTAATATTCATTCAAAAAGAATAATTATTTTATGTATAATTAATTACATTATATATTGGCTATGAACTTGTTAAACCTCCTACGCAATTTTGCCCATTTTTTGCCGTTCAGATTGCTTTGTTATTTGTCAACCACTTATTGTTGAGCAAATAAAAAGTATGTGCCGCCCATATGGCTGGTCGAAACACAATTGATTTATAGTTGCGCGAATTTTGTTATTGAAAGTGGCAAAGGGAATGTGAAACAGAGAAAAAATAATAAACAAACTCATCTACGCTTTATAAATACAAAAACTTTGTAAAATCTCATGAAAACTAGGAGAATTGTGAGGTAATTGAATTACCTTTAAATATTCGGCGTCATTCAATTTGACTGGTTAGTGAGTTATAGCTTTAATATTATGTCAGGGTTAAAAACATTAAATACTTTAAATTAAAGTTGTAATATTCTGAAATTAAAACAAATGTATATAAGAATTGATTGGCTTTATTTGACCCATTTGTATTTTCGATGTAATGAAATTCATTCCAACTTTCACTGTACTTACCACACAGTTGCATACTAATTAGAATAGTTTTGCGATGAGAGTTAAACAACAACTTAATTTTCACTGAACATGAATTACACATGTTTATTTGAAGGATTTAAAATTTAGTGAGTATTTAAGGCTAGGCGTAGAAACTAAACAATTACATAACTGGAATGACAAACACTAAAAGAACCGTGATTAATACATGAACAATTTTGACAGACCTGAAGGAGCTGAGCTGAGCTGCACACGAGGCGACCGCGTATAAGAGGTCGCTAAAGCTTGGTTACACTCAACAATCGTATCTAGGCTAGACTATATCGATTCAATTCACATAAATTACCTAAGTCGAGAGTGGCTAGAGAAACGGATTTGGCTGGCAGATTGAGCGGGCTACTCGATCCGAATGACCCCGGCTCCGACGCCTCCACTGTGGGCACACATGGGCGGCATGAAGGTCCATTTGTCGGTCTCCGGATCGTACACCTCGACCGTGGATAGATTAGACTCGCCATCGTAACCGCCAATGGCCCACAGCTTGCCCATGTTGGCGGCCAGGGCAACACGCGACCGCTTGCAGTTCATAGGCGTCACCAGCTTCCAGGTGTCCGTCTGCGGGTCGTAGCACTCTACAGAGCGCAGGAATGAGTTGCCGCAGTAACCGCCACAAACGTATATCTTCCCGTTCAGCGTGGCCACGCCCAGGCGACATCTGCGGTTCAGCATGGGCGACATCTTCACCCAAACATCCTCGTTCTGGTCGTACCGTTCCACCGAGTCGAATATGGACAATCCATCGTGGCCGCCCAACGCGTAAACATAGCCGTTCAACTGGGTTACACCACCAGCCGATCGATACTTCATCATTTGAGCAACCTGCATTGAAAGTTACATTATTTTCCTCTTGCTTTATGGGAAATAAACATTGACTCACAGTCTTCCAGGTGTTGGTCTTGGGGTAGTAAACCTCAACGGTGTTGAGCGAGGTGACGCCGTCGTAGCCACCACACACATAGATACAGTCATCAAGGGCGGCCACGCCCACCGCACTGCGTTTGCACAGCATGGCACAGCCTTGTGACCACTTGTTCTTGCGTGGATCGTACACCTCGACGGTGGAGAGGCGCTCGGTGCCGTTGAAGCCACCGAAGGCGTAGAGCTTGCCATTCAGTACAGCCACTCCCACTCGAGATCTGTTCGAAAGCAATATTATTAGAATGAGATTAAATACAAATGTAGATGTACTAAAAAACGTACCTCATCATAGACATCTGCTCGCCCATTTTCCACTTCTTGGTGATGGGGTCGTAGATCTCCACTGTGCTTACAGACTCTCCCGTGCTGGCCAGTCCGCCCACGGCGTAAATTTGTCCAGTGAAGAACTCCCCGGAGCGTTGGCGAGTGCGAAAGCTTTGCAACAGTCCCCTACGCTCAGGCATCAGGTGAAAGTCCTTGGCCTCGTCAAGAAGATCACGACACTGGTGCGAGGATCGAATGAGCTCTTCGCGGGCCACCCGATCTGCCAGAAACTGCGGCGAGAGCAGTGGCAGTCGTACTGCAGCCAACACCTGGGGGAACAATTCCGAGCGCTTTTCCTCCGCGTACTTGACCCACTTCATGCAGGCCTCGAAAATGACCTCCTCGGTGCGCACATTGAGCTCATCTCGGCGCATGAGTTCTAGAAGTTGTTCGCAGTCCAGGGCAAGAAACTCCTCCGACTGCGAGACTTTGGCAAAGTTTTGGTCGATATACTTATCAGCGGCATCGATAAGCTGTCGGCAGATCATGGAGTCGGCGAAGGTGCGGATACCCAGGACGTTGTGCGGATGGAAGCGGGAGATCAGAAAGCTGGCGCAGGCGTCCCGGACGTTGGACAGCTGCAGGAACGAGGCGCCCACCATCAGGCTCTGCACGTTCTGGTTGTCGATGCGCACCTGGCCGCTGTAAACGTAGTTGATGAGGCTCTCCAAAGCGCTGGGCTCGATGGCACTCTCCTTCATGGTGATCTCCTTGATCCGGCTCTCGGCCATGTTGTTGGTGAACATCGCATAGAAGTACGGAATGGTGGCCGCCAACACTACGCGGTGCGCGGAGAATGTCTGATCTTCAACCTGCAATGATTCGGAGGCGTTATATATTTTTAGACACAAGATAATGACCGTATCTCTGAGCTGCGGGTGATTGCTCTGCACTGACCACCCACCCACCTTCAGGGTGACGTCGCACAGCTTGCCCATCCTGCGGATCTCCTTAAACAACGGGAAGCTCTCCCCGAACAGCTGCTCATGCTTGTAAACAAAGTACTGCTCCTCCAGTTGGCTATTATCACTCAAATCCATCACTTCCGCGGATGAAGAAAAATGATAAGGAACACAGTAGAGATGCCAAAATTTGTTTGCTTACTGCAGCGCTGGTGGTGAGCAGTTGGCGATATCACTATCGATAGCGGTCATTATGGAAATACGTATGTATCAAAACTGCATAATATTTATTTTTGTTATGAATAGTTTCAATTAGTGCTGAGTTTCACTAAACGTATGAGTCAAAACTGCATAATATTTATATTTATTAGGAATTTTTTTCGATAATTTGCTTGCCTTGCGACACCTTCTACGGTTAAATTGGCTGCTTTGACAACCCTATCAGCTGTTTGTGTGGCAACCAAGTGTTTTCTTTAATCGGACTGATTTACGGTCCAAAGCAATTTCCCAACAAGTTTACTAACTAAAAAGAAACCATCGGAACTGAAGAACTCGAAAAGTAAATGGTTGGACCTCAATTAAATGCAAGAACGCGCAGTTAGCAAGTAACATGGACACCGCATCACCGAGGGAACAGGTCAGTGGAATGGTGTCACTAAAGTTGATGATGACGTCTCATTTTGCTATTTGCATTTGCAGAAGAACACGAATCCGATCGAGGCGCTAAGCAAAGATGAAATCATCAGCAAGTACAAAGGCCTGCTCAACATAGCTAAAAAGGCAAAGCAAGCAAAAGATGGTGAGTGCGAATAGGATGCCTTCAGAAAATAAGAGCCCGTTTCCTGACCCCGCCGTCTCTCTCTTTCAGAACTCACCGAGGAAAATCGCCTTCTCAAGGAGGCACTTAAGCGGGCGGCAGAGAAGCAAAGCAGCCTGCCAGCCATGCAGGAAATGGTCCAGGATTTCACTGACAAGAACCTCATCCTCACGGAGCAAGTTAACACGCTCAAGCGCAAGACCAAGGAAGATGCCGATCGCTTGGCACAATTCGAGATTGAGAACGAGAGCCTGAAGCGCCAGTTGGGCCGCCTGAGTGACGAGAACGATGGCCTCCTGGCAGATGTGGATCGAATGGAGCAGGCTATGCAACAGGTCAATGCCTTGGGCAACGAACAGCGAAAGAATCTGGAACTGTTAGAGGTGGATATTGTGAAGATAAAGGAAGCGGAGGCAGAAAACGCAAATCTCCGCCAGCAACTGGTCGCAATGGCCGAGGACTCGGCGCTGATGCAGCAAAAGTACCAGAGCATCAAGGAACTCAACTCGGAGCAGCGCAAAAAGTTTAACTCTCTAAAGGATCGCTTTATAGATGTCCACCGCAAACTGAAGAACCTCAAGGAGTGCAAGTGCGTGCTCCTAGAAACACAGCACGAGTACGCTGCTTCCGTGTCCAAGTGGCAGGTGGAGATTATCAAAGCCTCACAACTTCTGTGCGCAAAGATGTCGGCACTACAAGCTGAAAACGAAAAACTGAAATTGGACACCGAAAAGGCAGGCAAGAACCATCAAAACGGCGATCTAGGAATTGACCGCAAGCGATTGCAGCAGAGAATATTGGAACTGGAACGCCTAGCCAAGTTGGTGAAGCAGGCGCAGGAGCAGCAGAAGAGCCATCTCGACGTGCAACGGATTCTTAAGAAAGTAACTGCAATCGAAAACCTGGCAGCCATCGTGAAGGAGCAGCAGAGTGTGGACAAGGAACAACTGACAGTTTTAACAAGAGCGCAACAGAAGAACGAAAACCATTCCAGCAATCTAAATGTATGTCACATCCAGGCAAAACTCAATCAGATGCAAAGCATCGTCCAAATCATTGAAAATGAGCGGAATAATCAGCAGCGGAAGTTGGAGGATCTGGAAGCCATCTGCGTTGAATTGCGCCAACACAACGAGGATTTGCTCACGCGTTTCCATCTCAAAGAGCAGGAACATGGTGAGTTGCTCACGGAGATGCGCGAGTTAAACGAGGCTCTGAAAGGTCGTGGCGATGCCATCTCCCGCCTCCAAGAGCAGCACGAAGCGGAGGTGAAGCGTCAGCGGGACTTGGAGGCCCAACTCTCCAGCAGTCAGCAGGCGGAGCAGGAAAAGTCTCAGAAGATTAAGCAACTTCAAAGTCGGGTTGAGGAACTGGAGCAGGCCAATGCGGATGCCCAGAGCGATGTTCTGTCCACATCAACGATATCACGAGCAGAGGAATTGAGTCGCCTTCGGGAACTAGACGAAGGCTACGAGGAGAAGTACCACAAGCTGAGAGCCCTTGCTGCCAAGCTAAAAAAAAGCTGCAGGAGCAGACGCAGCAACTGAAGGAAATGGAACAGAGTGGCGCCTTAAAACAGGAGTTGGAGGCAGTCAAGTTGGCCCAGGTTCAACTGCAGCAGGATCTTAATGCCGCTCGGGCTGAGAATCAGAAACTTAGGACCAAAGAAAAAACGAAACACTCGAGTGTCCTGAACCTGGAGATCGAAGCAGCAGAAAAATCCCTGAACGAAGTTAGTGCAAAACTTACCGCCAAATCCAGCGAGTTGGAAACAGTCAGGGAATCGCTTGCCAGCAAGGAAAATACTATTATCCAATTACGCAAGGAGATTGCCATTTTGGAGGAGGCCAAGAATGGAGAGGCGGCACATTCCTTGCAACTTAAGGAGCAGATCGACCGCATGCAAGTGCAGGTCAAGGACGCCGTTCACAGCAAGCAGCAGGCTCTCACTCAAAACAAGGATTTGGAACAGGGTGTTGAGAAGGCCAAGCTGGAAGCGGAGCAATTGCGTCTTCAGTTGGCGGAAAGCGCCCAGCAGTACGAATCTAAGCTAAGCATTGCCACCCAGCAACTAACCACTCGAACCGAGGAGCTCGAAATGCATTTGGCAGAACAGAAGCGTTTGGAGACGGCGTTACGAAATGCGGAACGGGCTCAGGATGATCTGCGAGTGGAGTACACCGAATACAAGCTGAAAGCACAGTCGGTGTTGCGCAAAAACCAAAGTAAGGGCTCCAACAGGGAACAGGAGTTGGAGGAAGAGTTAGCCAGTCTACGGGAAAGTGAAAAGAATTTGCGGGCCAGCAACGATGGTCGGGCAGCGCGCCTGGCCAAAATGGACAGTCAGATAGAGGCACTGCGACAGGATAATGCTGATCTGCAGAAGCGTAGCAAAGAGCTGCTGACACTGGTGGATGAATTGCGGCAGCAAAACGACTTGCTGTCGCTGGAGAATCAACGCCAGCTGCAATTCCAACAAGATCTTATGCAGCAGCATCGCCAGCAATTGGAGAAAGTGGACGCTGCCCACCAGTTGCAGTTGAAACAGGTGCAGCAGCAACTGGAGGAGGCACAGGCGAAACAGATTAACGTATCCCAGATTAGCAGCACATCCGCTGCGAGTGGAGAGCCCAGTCCTGAACAGGCAAAGATCGATTACTTGCTCATGGACCACGAATCTGGCTTGGAGAATCATGTTGCCGATGTCTCCCTTTCGCAACTGGCTGCCCAGCGAAAGATCTCCACTGCCTCGAGACGTTCCCACGATTTTATGCCACTTGATGAGCTGCTCAACACTTCCATGAACCAAATAACCAGCGACACTGTAACTACCATCTCCAATTTCGGCCGCAGCGTTTCCCAACAAGAGGATGAAGAAGCGGAAATGGCCGCGCGCGGTGACTTTTCCGTCCAGGGTGCCCAACTACAAGCCACAAAAGAGCGGCTGATCATCCAGGAAACTCGCGTCAAGCACTTGACTGCCCTTTTGGCGGAGAACGAGCAGGATTTGGCCAAACTCACGCAGATGAACGACATGCTCAAGGAGGAATTGCGACGCCAAGAGCGTTCCGAGGAGCGGGAGCAGCACATGCACAACTCCGAGTATTTAAAGAACGTTTTTCTGAAGGTGAGATAAGTTTATATAGACCATTAATTTTTTGTTGATAAACTCAATATACTCTTCCAGTTCCTTACATTAAACAATGTGGATGAGCGCCAGCGTTTGGTTCCAGTGCTTAATACCATTCTGCGCCTAAGTCGTAATGAAATGGACATGCTGAATTGTGTTGCCAAGGGGCAGAAGGGTACGTCTTTCATAAAAATTATTTAAAAGCCTCTACTATAAATCATCACTCTTTCTAGTGTCTTCCGATGGCAGCAGTCGCAGCTGGACGGGATTCCTAACAGCGTGGAGTGGAGGAGGCACTCCGAATAACAATAACTAGCTATCACCATAGATCATAAATATATAATTATGGGTATTGTTGGATGTGGATAGTCACCAGTCATTAGACAGATGCGTAGCATTCATTCTGTAAATCTTGTACAATTTCCTTTTTTTTATTAACGTATTTTAAAATTGCCCGTTGCTATTTGGCACACCGTACTTTGTACACACTTATAGGTATATGTTCATATTCGTTGTGTTGAGCGCCCTATACAGCACTCATCGAGCAATATACGCGTTGTAGATCGAAGCCCGTTCATGTATTTAAAAACAATTGGGTTTTCAATGGTTTCTTTAATTTGAAATTCTATTACCATATAGATCAGACTATTAATCAATGCTAACGTTGTCTATAAATTAGTATTCCATTACTTGTATTGTATGTACTATATATAAATAGGATCGGTAATCATGCATACTTTACACTTAAAAACGGTGTATATTGTTCACACACAATATAAAATATAATTAAAACATAAAGCCTAAAATAAAATTCATTCAAACTAAATCTGAGTAGACCAACTGAATTAAAAATTGTGGACTTGGCGGAATACACGTGCGGGTGAGCGATTTAAAAAAATTAATGAATTAAAGATCACAAGTCGAATAACTACTTAAAGACTAATCAGTAATGTGAGCCCAGATCGCATCCCATGCTAATCTATTGCCAAACGCCCGCGTAGTTGCCCACCAGAGTGGCTGGCAGTGGACCACCCGCTGCGAAGAGTCGCATCCTGGTGCTATCGTAGCAGTGAGTGTAGATGGCCGGCACGTACTTCACTTGCTGGAAGCCATCCATTTCGTCCTCAGGATACTATAATATATATAACAGACTGGAGTGAGCTGCCATTCTTTTCATCAGAGGTGTTTTTGTAATTTATCAGGAATGATAAACCACCTTCACTTACCACAATTCCTTTGCTGCACTTGAGAGCCACAGTGCGCGACGCGTTTACACTGCTTTCTAGATACTTTCCGGCACGGATGTCGTAGAACAGAAGCATTCCTAATCCTGTTCCCACGGTCAGCAGGTTGCCCTCGAAGGAGGTGGCCCTTATTCCACAGCCACTATAGCGAGAGGTAATCTTCTTGATGGTCTGCAGCGTGCGTGCATCCAGCAGGATGGTGTAGGAACGGCAGCCGACAGCATAAAGGCCGTCGCTGTGGTAGGCAATGCTCACGTTGTCCTGGCAGTTTGGCAGTTTGCGGGAGAGCGTCTGCTTGAAGGTCTCCGCGTTGAAAATGTGAATGTAGCCGTTTAGTGAGAGGGCAGCGATCTCCTTGAACTCCTTGTTAAAGCATAGAGAACGGATCTGGAAATGATCAGGATGTGAAAATGACTTCCATAGATGGATCTTACAGTACTCACTCTCTGGGCAGTGCGAACTTCTTTGACACTAAGGGGATGTATTGTGGCAAAGGTGGGACAGGCTTCCTCGCCGCCATCTGGGAACTCCATGTGGTCCTCGTTGATGCGCCACAGAGCCATGCGAGAGTCCTTTGACCCGGAAACCAGAAATTGATCATCCAACCAGCACATACCCATTATCAGGTCGCGATGGCCGCCTTCACCCACACAAACGGGATCCAGCGTTGGCAGTCGATACACAGCGATGTCGGACGAGTTTCTCGCCCCAGTAGCTAAAAAGGAACGGCTGGGTGACAACTCAATGGCATGCAGTCCACCCTGGACCTCCGGATGATTCGCCCTGCTGTTGGACAGCGTGGGAATCGCATCCACGCGCCGCATATTCACATCGTAGACGAGAAGTTTGTTGCACTTGGTCCCGAACACAACTTGCCTGCTGCTCAGCCACTTGGAGCAGAAGACCTTGTTGATGTAGCCCAGATTGATCTGCGTTTCGCGAAGCATGTCGTGGGTGAGCACATAGCGGCTGGTGTACTCCACGTTGACGCTCCTTCGCTGCATGGAAAGACGGCACAAAGTTCACGTTAGCAATGCAAGTGGTGCAAACCCAATAAAAAGTACTCACATCCCGCAGACCACTTTCCCGGCTACGCAGGTAGTCGCAAAGGTTGTATGAGGTGTTTAGGACCTCCTCCTGCTGCTGGGGGGTCTCCTCGTCGCTGCCAGAGTCTTCGTAGGTGACAAAGTCATCCGGCTTGTCCGGTTTTCTCCTGCGCTCCTGGCGCATCGCCCGCTGCTTAGCCCGGCGCTCTTCCAATCGCGAGTTGACATGGCAGGACGGGTAGGTGCCCACGACGCTGTCGCGGATGGTTCTCACCATCCCGTTGAACATCTTGGGACGATTCTCTAATCCGATTTGTTGTCTTTTTCTTTATTAGTTATCATCCATCAGCAAACAAAAATGGTGGTGCGTAGTCTTAAGCGGAATCACTGGTTCCGCGGCGAACGAATCTGAACTGATAGTTTTGACTTGCACGAAAATTGTAAGGTGGTACAAGCGACATTTAGAAAAGAAGAAAATTCTGTGGGTTCTGTTAAGTCCATGTCCCATTTCAGACTGATTTCGTGTTTTTAAACAAAAAATAAGGAAAGTATGTGAAGCATTTATTTATTTACAGAGCCCTCAGCCATTTTAGTAACACAGTATTTTGCGCTGTGAATTTGGAAAAAGTGTATATTGTTCCTATCGGATATAGTAACGATAGTCCATCTCTGACATTTTCCTTAACATCAGCTGTTGTGATTGAAGTGGTGACTTTGTTTGTAAATAAAATGAACTACAACGCCAAGCGTGTAATGCGCCAGAACTCGGTTTGCATAGGGTCTAACGATCTGGCTTCGTCTCCGATAATGGTAGGACCCGCCCCGCCTTCGGCGCCCAGCACGCCGCAACTGCAGACCACCGAGGACATCAAGCCGATTCATGTGCAGCGCCAGGTTATCTTGCTGCAGAGTGCCCCTATTCCGCAGAATCCTTCGCCGAATCAGCAGTTGAGCTTGCCTGCTCAAAATGCAGCAGGCGGTGCCAGTGGAAGCAACATTGCCAATACTCCGCAGATACCGGATGACGCCCCAGTGTCTCTTCTCACGGAGATCGCCGATATTATGCGCAGTTTCGGGGATAGCGATCAGCCAATAAAAACGAGCGTCAAGCTGGTGGAGCAGATCCTGCAGCAGCAACTGCGTGGCATCTTCAACGAAGCCTCTTTGGTGGCCATGCGACGCAAGCAGAATCCATGTCCCTCGCAGGCGGACTTCGAGTTCCTGATGCGGAACCACCCAGTAAAGATTGCGCGCATGCGAAAGCACCTCAAGGATATGCGCATCCTCAAGAGGTTTCTCAGCATCCGGACAGGAAGACCCCAGGACTTTATGGACGATCTGGAGCAGCAGGAGGAGGACGAGGAGTTGGCCATTGATGTACACGAGTTGCACGACGAAGATCGCATGCGGCGGCTGTTCCGAGCTGATCGAATTTCGCAGATTCTTACGGGTCAGCAGTATTTAGAGTTCAATGAGGCACGCAAGACATCCTTCTACTGTCGCCATGGCGAGAAGATAAAGAACAAGTTTCGACGCTTTCTGGACCTTCCGGCCGACCTGCGCATCCCCACACCCACCATGAACATCTTGGCCTATTTGGCGCATGAGACCATTGCCGCCATTGTCGACTACTCAATCCTGACGCGACTAAACTCGGGCAACCGAGTGACCGAGCCATACAGCCGAGTGACCTCCGCTGGCGGCAGTCCGGCCATGATGCACGTCTGTCCCGAGGTCACACAGGGTCGTGGCATGGAGGTGGTCAAGCCAATAAGTGTACCGGAGATTCACGAGGCCATGCGCCGCTTCCGGCAAATGAGCAGCCGGAAGATTGGGCGATACCGCAACTCGTGTGACATCGATTTCCGACGCAGTTTCCTAGCCATTTAACTTATTTCGTATACTGTTTCTAGTTTGGGAAAGTTCTAACTGATTTTGGCAGCGATTTTTGTTTGGTTGCAATTTGATGTAGACGAGTTTTGGGTTCAAAAATTCAACACTAGCGGTACTACTAGTTTTAAAAATGCAACGAATATTGGTTATCTCTTTCATTTACATTGTAAGAACTGTTTAAAATTTAAATAAAATATTAATAAAGCTTACCTTTGTAACATTTTATTGCTGAATTTTTGATAAAAAATCTGCAGATATTTAAAAATAAAATGAATAAAGCATTTGAAAAAGTGTTACATGTTGAAATCTGAATTACATACTTTATGTTTTGGTTGTTAAAAATGTTCGCAGTTCTGAAAATAGGCGATTTATAAAAATTGGTTTTTAAATTTTAGATTTCTGGCCATATTCTACAATCAAAAGTTAAAATTTGCTACCAAATATACTTTATTGTTATTGGGGTCGGCAGGTGGAGGGGAAAAACGCAGAGCCATTATGGACCAGTGAATCATCCTCATATGGAGCCGATAAATTGAAACGGTAAACGAAGTTGAAACTGGCACCGACAGATAAATAAAAGCTCAATAAAGGAATTGGCCGACAGCAGCATTCACACGTGCGGAAGAGAGAGGGAGAGAGAGAGACGGACATAAGCAACAACAAGGACCTGCAAGGATGGCGCAGGAGTGCGAAACTGCAGCAAAAGGCATTAAGAGAAGCAACTCGCGAACGCACTTAATAATCAACATCCTGGTGTGCATATAAATGTGTGTGGCATGAATAAAAACGAGGGATAAATAAGAGTATCTCGCGGTGCATTTCTAGCGGTAGCGTTTACTCGTGAAACGGAAGAGGATTAAGAATCAACTTCATCTGCTTTTCAGAACAATTATTCAGTCCTTCTGACTTTTAAACAAGCTGAAATTTATTTATATTTAATTAAGAAGTATTCACCAAATTAGTACTGAATATAAAGTTGCCTAGCTTATGCTTACTAAGAAATAATACAATTAAATTTGGTAGGCGGTTAGTTTTTAAAAAAATATATGAATAAATCCTCAAAGAAAAAAAAAGTTTTTTGGATTGTAGAATGCGATTTCATCCCTTAGAATTTTAGACTTCGATGTTCTGTATCCCCACTGCTCCCTTTAAACGGATCAGACTAAACACTTAATGTTGATTGCTCTCTGCTGCAACTGTAAATCCATCGGCACATTATTCTTAATCGATTGTTCATACGCCTAACGAGCAGCGGGCCCCAAGTCAAAAGCTCCTCGATGGCCAGTTAATGAAAACAAGCTGCCTGTGACGAAATTAAGCCAACAACTTGTTATTTTTTTCGCTGCTGGCCTTGTGCTGTTCGCCTTGCCTCTGCACTGCCTTTTCCACTCCACTCTCACTCTTAATGTTACCAAATTTGCATTTCATGCGGCTCCTCGCGTCGTCCCCATCAGGACCACCATCATCATCAACATCCTGGCGCTCGCCATCGCCATCGTCTGCGCCATCATTTCTTCGTATTGTCAAGTCACGTAGCCAATTTCCAGGCGGGCTAAAGTCAATATGCCCCAATCCCGAATATCCCAGTTCCCTTAAACTTAACTTAAAGCGCAAAGGGGAGGAACAAATTACATATATGTATGTGTATGTAGATATGACCATTTAATGGTCATTTGGAAATTGGATATCTTATTAAAAGATAAATTGGTAGTATTATCAATACCTATAAGTGATAAATATTTCTAATACATTATTCTTAAAATATAATATGGTTGGTTTAAAGTTAATTTTAATCACTTTTAGCTATTTTAATATATAGAAGTTTCACTTACCATTGATTCGCAGGTCAGAAGTTTTCCTTGATTTCCTTGGCCATGGGTTGTCTGCAGCTTCTTGCAACAAAAGTTGTTTGAATTGTACCATAATTTTTGTAGCTCCTTAACGGCAGCGTATTGTAAACCGTTTTATTGGCGGCTACTTGCACTTTTAATACACTTTTCTATGCATTTCCTCTGTTATTAAGTGATTTGCGTGACATTTCCGCACCGCGATTTCATAATGAACCACTTGCCGCGCGAACGTATGACGGACTGAATTGCATGGGAGCGCGATCAAGCCACTGCGAGAATATCATGTGAGATTGCTCAGCGAAAGTCATACTCATGGTATAATAAGTATAATTAGGGGAATGTTGTCAGGGTTGGGCCGTTGTCAGGGTCGGGCCATCTCAATATTTCGAATATTCGTTCTAGAACAATCTGTTTGTGGGTGTCTAGAAACTTCTATCGGTCACTCGAAACTTTCCACGTGACTACTTATTTCGGAATTTCATTCTTCTACGCGTCGTTGCTCCGTGAAGAAAAAGTGCTCGAAAAAGTTTTTTTTACCTGGCCGAAAAAGGTGAATATCACAAGAAAACAACATGTCATCCGCAAGGAGAGCATAAAAATACGTTATATAGTTATTATTTTACAAAATACTAAGATATAGTTTCATTGTGAGATATAGTTTGGCTATATCATACCATAATAGATTAATACCGCATGTCGTCAGGGTTGGGCCACTTGTGTAGTCAGGCTTGGGCCATCATAATTTTTACATTTTATTCGAGTATTTTCGATTTTTGTTGTAATATTTAAGTTTTTTGTAGCAAAAATATGCAAAATAAATTAAATAGATATCCTTAAAAAAATATTTCGATGGATTGAAAGAAGATGAATCATTTGTATCTTTTTCTTTAGTGTTTCTCTCTACAAACGAAAAAACAACTCTGAATAATTTGATATTGACTGTAAAATCCCAAATAATTAAATAAATGAACAAAATAATGTCAGATTTACCTGAATTCAATTTTATTCCACCACATTACGATATTGTCAACGATTTTCTGAAGGTGGCCCAACCCTGACTACATGGCCCAACGCTGACTACATTTTTTTTTTTTTTCAAACGCCTATAACTTTTTTTTTTTTTGTTTTTTTGTTCTCTTTTTTTGGTGAACACTTCCTCTTGCTTGTACCTTTCCAAAAATGTATAAACTTATTCTGAATTGTCATTGGTTCAGAAGTTATGGACATAGGTCAAAACATGGCCCAACCCTGACAACATTCCCATATAATTATATAATTCTACCATATAATTGTATAATTCTACCATGGTCATACTTTGAGCGTAAGCGAGAATTGCATGTGAGATTTCGCAGTGAGAGAGATGTTTTGAGCGTAAGCGGTGCTCACGTCTTGAGAGAACTAGAGTAAGCCGTGCTTTGTGCTCAGAGTGCAAATGAGAATGCGGAATTCGTGCATGTGAGATTTGACAGTGAGAGAGAGGTTTTGAGCGTAAGTGATGCCCACGTCAGAAGAGAACGAGAGTAAGCTGCGCTTTGTGCTCAGAATGCAGATGATAGTGCTGAAATCATGGGAGAGTTGCTGGTGATAACAAATTTTTATACTCGCTCTCTTCTAAGCTCTCAATGCAAAATTCTCCCATATATATTTCGATCGCGCTCCCTTGCAGTTCAGTCTGTCATGCGAGCGCGCGGCGAGCGGTTCGTAATGTAGTCGCGGTGCGGGAAATTCGCGGAAATCACTCAATAACAGTGTAAATCAACAGAAAAGTGTATTAAAAGTGCAAGCAGCTGCCCCTCCAAGTGTTTAAGTCACGTTGCAGTTAAGGATCTCCAACAAATGTGGCACAATCCAAAAAACTTCTTGTCCTTGTATGAGTGTGATGATCTGACCAGCAAGAAGTTACAGTCAACCCGACGCTGGAAAAAATCAGGGAGTTACTTTTATCCTGTTAAACTGAGGTAAGTCAAGCATATATATTCAAGTTTATTAGGTTAACCAAATTTGATTAGGTTACATAATATATTAAACAATTTTTAAATGCCTAATATTAATTAAGCTACATGTAGAACCAAGAATTTAATGTGTTATACTGATGCAAAATATAAAAAAGTTTTCAGTGAAGATAATTTTCCAACACAAACAGAAGTGGTTAATTTTAATTAATTTCATTATGACTCTTTACGTGAGGACAGTGCATGCGAAGATAAATATCTCATTAGTTGCTTTTCTTAGTCGACGTCTGCCGTTGAGAGACTTGCAGTTGGTATGGCTAAGCAATTGGATATTTTTGAAAATCCGTTCAGCTAAACTTTTTTAATTACTTTCACTTTCTCAAAAAGTTGCTGACGTCAGCCCGGGGCAATTTGTCCCGATGGCAGCCTCTGAGACTATTGACAGAAGCCTATGCCCCAGTCAAGGAAACCTAGAGAAAAAAAACCAAAACAAAAACAGTCTTAGAGAGGAGCATATTACACGGCCTTTTAATTTGAGACCGTCTTGAATTGTGTTGACACAAGTACTCGGGCTAAATACGTTGGAGCCGGTCTTATTCAAAATGAATGAGATTAGACGCCTCCTGCGAACCGATCCCATCACCACCCACGTCCTTCGCCCGTCCAATGGACATAACCGGGGGCAATCTCATCTCATTGTCATTGGGGCCACAGCTTTCATGGTCAAAGTACTCCGAATTGCGAGTGGCAGTGGCAACGAGTGTGTTTGGGTGCTCAGGTGGAGGACAGCTGACTCGAGTACAAGGTGACTGCAAAAAGAATATTGTCTTCATTTAATTAGTTAAGTGCTGGAACAGTTCTATATTGAATGGAATATTAAAATAATTGACCTACTTGCTTAACAACTGCTTGTTTTCCTTCTACGCAGCTAATTACAACCTCAATTATGGAAACCCGCATGTGTGATGGCAAATCAATACAGGTATTCAATTTGTAAACATCAATTTAATTTGCTTAAAGTCATCTATTTTGAACTTAAATTAGGTAACGAAATGTGAGCTATTTAAATATGTCAAATAAACAAACATATGTGGTCTTGCATACATATATGGAAAAGTATAAATGCTTTATACTGGAAAAGTATTTATGCTTTAATATTCCTTAATATTCAATTTGGCAAATAGTATACAGGAAGTTAATTTACTCTAGGGGAACTAATTAAGTATTAAAGTTTATAAATTTAAAAACAAGTTTAAGAAAATTTGTTCTTCAACCTTATATATTATTTATATTAACCCTTTAATAATAATATTTTTATTTAAAATATTTATTTTGTTTGTAAATGTATGCGTTTACTTTTGTTATTAAACATACAACTAAATTTTTCTTTACTATTTTACTAGACCTTGGTATTTCAAATTGTTGTTTTTAAAAACTGGGGACAGTTTTCATGGTCCGAATCGGTTAACAGTGAAGGGAAGATGGGAACAGTCCTGCGCATTGGGGGATG